TGAGATTGGGGGGATAGATGATAGATTTAGCAACAAGTCAGGTCATCTAGAGTGGAAGGGTATTCGCAGATGGATTAGCATATGAACTATGATTCTCTTTAGGCAGAAAATGAGGATCCACGATGTTCGACCTGGTAGAAGTGTGTTATCAAACCTCACAGCATTGGTTTTTTGACTGACTGTAGCGTCAAAACAAACTCATTCATTTACTTGAACTGAATGTTCATCTTAATTTGTTATGGATAGTCACGGAGCCATGATCCAGAGAACAGGGTGTCATTAGATAGAAATAAACTAAGTAATAATAGGATTACTAGAAAAACGGGGTTTTACACACAAGCCAATAAACCTCGCTTATTAACACCAGTGTAAGTCAGTACAAGATTAAAAACTGCCCCATAATTATGTATAACATGCTTGTCGGGTATTGCAACATGTATATGTGAAAACAAAGTTATTAAAATGAAGAGCAAAACTGATGAAAGTTAACAATAAACGTGTATACGTGTTATATAGTCACTGCAAAAATAATGATTGTTTGTCTTTAGTATTAACATTCAAATACGTTATATCTGTATTAGCGATATTGTCTTTGTTCCACCGGTGAGTCAGCGTTAGCCGTACTATCTCGTAGTATAATTGTATTTCTGAAGACATCACGATACAGTTTTTACGATGCATCACGTCTGCACTAGCGCTTGATAACAGCCTTGTGTTTGGGTGTTTCAGTGGTTTAAATCGCTGCTCTTGATATTGTTGATTAAACTTTGATACTATGAACAATATAATGTTATGTGAGAGGTTGACTTTAGAACGGTAACATACTAATAGTATATAGGATGACATAAACAGAACAATGAGAAGTTCGTCCAGATTAGTGTATAGGCAACATTTAATAATTAAAATAATTACATTCAACTCCCCTTTTAAGTCCATTTTCCTGACTTATAAATAAATGCAAGAACAATCGGCCAGTACAATGTATAGTTCTTGTCCACTTCCATATGACTATGTAGCATACAATAAGCTATCGGGTCCCGTTTAGATCGGTTTGGGTGGCAGCCTAGATAGCCATAGAATAGTTTCATCTTGGAATCTCCCATATCACTGGGGATCCTCTTCAATTTAAATGGAGTTACTCGTTACGATTCCGAACCTTCACGTGACTGTGTTTATGAACCATTGTCAAATAGTGGTGAAATTAAATCTAGGAAACAATACGCGAAATCGCGCATGCACAGAACGGAAAATTTGGTCAAGGCATTAAGTAATCCGCATGCGCAGAACGATTGATTTCAGTACTTCCGCTAAGCGCTTCGAGTGCAGCGTTAAACGCGGGCCTGTAATCTAACACGCGGGGACTGACCAATGAAATCTGAGAAGTAGAAATACCGGTAGACGCTGTTGCTTGATTGACAATGTCAATCAAGAAAGGGAGGAGCTTAACGCTATCGTTCTCTCCCAGTAAATTCCGATGTCAAATAACGACGTTATTTGGACGGAAAAACGATGGTTTGAAAACGTCCAAATAACGTCGTTTTTCCGTCCAATGACCATATACGGAAAAAAACGACGTTTTCGTGTTTGCAGTGATATTCGTATCCATACGTTAACGTACATATCTCCATAACATATTCAGTTCATACGTTGGACCCGTGAAGATCCCGGGTCGAATAGGTTTTCAGCAACCCATGCTTGCCGTAAAAGGCGACTAAGCTTGTCGTAACAGGCGACTAATGGGATCGGGTGGTCAGGCTCAATGACGTGGTTGATGCATGTCATCGATCCCAATTGCGTGGATCGAGGCTCACGATATCAATCATTGTATTGTCTGGTTATTTACAGACCGCCGTCAAAAACTGGAATATTGCTGAGTGCGGCGTTAAACAACAAACCAACCAATCAACAGCATTTTCTTTCTCATATATGTTTCAGCGAAATTACATTGTTAGATTCATGACAGAGCGTGGAACTTGTGTCTACGAAGTTGGGTGTCGGGCCGTCGCAGAGAGTTGTTGCTTTATTATAAATTCAGTTTTGTCTCATAACCCTCAAATAATCCAACACCAAGACATATCCCTGAGCATTTCAGTCGATCCTGGACATAAAATTAATGCAATTTTACACGATTCTGTATAAAAGACCCTGAGTAAAGCCATTCAGTCATACAGGCGATTGTCAACAAAATCATAACTGTTTATAAAAAAATTCAAACGTGCTAATAATTTTGAAATAATTTGGCCTCATTGCCTTTTTATTCGAAGTTGTAAACATACTGCCTTTTTTACACACAGTGGAATCTGTTATGCGGATATTCGAGACTGGTTATTCCATTCCGTTGATGTTTTTATGCGTTAGGGGTAAAGCTGACCCAGTCATTTAATGCGCCGCAATTCGCATGCCAAAAACCCGTGGCTTTATGGTCGAATTCTGATTCTCCCTGATTATGTTTCTAGGTATGTCAACACCATACAGTGGTAAAAAATGGTAAACGTCTCTGTATCCTGCCTTATTTCGGGTTTGCACCCACATTAAGCTGACACGCCGTAATGTAACTGGAATTCCTTTCAAAGACGCGTTAAACCAAACTCACTCACTCACTCATTAATACTACATTTTTTGGAGCATATAAATTGAAATGCGATGAAACACAGTTATGAGCAGAAACTTTATACAATTACCAAATTCCTTTTTCTGTGAGTTGTGCTGCCGTGTTAGGTCGTGGTCAGAGAAGAGTTTGACTTACCATCTTGACATGCTACTGATTGCAATCTCATGCTCTGTGGTGTACATTCCTTGGGGGAAAACACATTAACTCGATGCTACCAGCATATACACTGTGACTATTACAATGGAAATGTCCTTACGGAACATATAGACGCTGCAATGAACTCAGGGTTAAAATGGAAGCCAACAGACGATAAACCCAGATATTATGGAGTATAACTTTACATAAAGGGTTAACTATTTTTATGTAATTGTTTTTTTATATTAACAGTAACAACCCGCAACCCCAAAAAGAATATTTAACTACCTTGCTTCCATGACAAAAGAAAGCGGCCTCTGCAGAGCTGATTTGTCGATATTTAGAGATTTCGTTCAAATTTGGTATTTAAGTACAATGTATTTTTAGGACTAAACCGAATAGGTTTTTTTTACCACGGCAATGTTACCGAGGCATGTGATTGGTCGAACTTAAGATGTTCCATTTCGTTCAAAGATATTTGGATATATTTTTGAACACACAGTACATTTTATTAAATAGCAACGGAACGGTGTTCTCTAGTTGGTTGGAATTTAGATAATTAACCCTATCTATATTTTCCCATACATATACGTGCTCTTTATGAAATTAGGTGTGGATGATGAGCACAAGGTCCAGTAAAGTAAAATCTCATTCAGAAGTCCAAGATGGTCTCACAGTCGCCATTTTGTATTGTACAGGTCTCAAACATCTAAATCAGTAAATATCTATTGATGAAGGTCTTTTGAAAACCTTCGTGAATACCATTTCATTAGATTATTAGTTCACTGTACCCCCGCAAGGAAGTTAGGTGCACGTGACCACATGTACACATGTAGTTGGGAACATTGCAATTATTATGGTATATTTTTGTATGGAGACTAGATATATTTTCAGCTACTACTAATAACTGCAAGACCAGATATCATTTAAATTAAAATTATCAGCCTAAAGTCTGAAGCATTATCATATTTTCCGAAAGAATTATCTGTGTCTATTTATCTTTTTCGATAAAATCCCAGCACCCCCAGAACATTAAATGGTCGGTTTCTAACTGACATGAAAATACTCTACAGGTGCCGAATGACTAATGTTCTTTTTCCGCTGTTTTCAGTCAACAATGGTCCTACTACTACTGTTAAAGAAAATATATAGACTTCATGTCCGAAAAATATATGCTTTAAAAAAAAAAAAAATTCATGGCTACTTTTGACTTGACACGGTACTTGTGAAACCTTTGGGATGGTTTTTTAACAAAAACATCATTAATATTATATTCGAATTTCCATCGTTTTTAATATCGTATGGTATATCATTCTGGTATACTGCTTCAAAACGTTCATTACTTTATGCCTAAAACTCTGCTAGTGGACTGTTGTAACAACCAACCACCATCTACGACATCTACTATTTTGTACATTAATGATTGTAACAAAGCAAACTATTTCGTGGCTTGCTGTTGCTGCAGTCTGCTAACATTAGTGGCGGAAACAAAGTTGCAACTTGTACAACAGAAAACACCTCAACTCACGATGACCAGCGACACCGAACTTCACCTTTGCTTACATGTTAGTTCAGCCCCACGATCGCGATGCGGTTGTGGAATATTTCGAGTCACGTGATTAAATTGAAGCATATTAGTATAGAAACCTAAATTTAAAAGTCCTTCTTATTGCTGCATGGGTTTATTTATCACAACACACTGAACGGATAAGTAAATATGATCTATATACATAATAAGCAATCCATTTACCAGCGTTATATTATGCTTAAAACGTGAATATGTCTGTTAGGGTTAAGGTACAGGCAATCAAGTAGAAAAGCCCGCCAGTTTACCTCGTGTGTTCGAGGATTTTCAATTTACGGCACGTTTAGAACAGATTTTATTTTAAACCAATCTCCAATAAATTACTTGGTTAGTTTCAAATTCGGCATCTTAGAAAAGTCATAAAGTTTATTTTTTAAGTACGACAATTGAATCCCCAACAACACGTACATTGTAACTGGTTGTTATATTCTTGACCTACTATGCACATGGCTAATATGTTTAAACAAAAGTATGTACAAAAAACGAAAATCAGTTCTTATTAGAAAAAGAATTAGCATTATTGTTTGACAAGTGGAGTAGAGACAACCTCACGTTTATAAAGTCCCACTATTCGTGGAATGTAACACATTTGGCAATTTATATAACAAACCCCATTCTCAAGAACGAACAGATGGCAGTACGAGATAAGACTCCACTGCACAGGCAGCTGCAAATGACAGACTATTACATAAATAGGACAATATTCATAATGTCGCAATACGTGAACATCTGACGATCAGTCGGAGGCGGAACTCTTCATAGGTCTACAGAGGCGCCATGTTCCCGTCAATATTTGTCATTGGTAAGTGTAGCCATCGGAAACTGATAAGAGTATGTTTTGGGTTTGTTATTTTTGTTTTTAACGCCACTGTCAGCAATATTCCAGCTGTATCAAGGCGGAGTGAAAATGAGTGGACCCGGACCAGGCAAACCAGTGATTGATGTAATGAGCATCCTCCTACGCCACCGGTTCAACCAAGTCGTCTCTTATATTAGGACAAGCAATGGGATACAAGGAACGCATTCTAACATAAACCTCACTAATTATAAATGGCTGCAGTAATGCCCATGACATGTCCGTTTTCAACACAACCACCTTGACACAGAATCCCCACGGTATCAAGATGACTATATCGACCTCATATTGGCGTAATCATAATGAACTGCGTCATTTTGATTGTCACGAAGACAACAGTATGATAATTTCCTACTACGCCCTAAGAAGAGTTATGATAAAGATAGTCTTCGAGTCATACTAATAGGCTGGAATGCCTACAGTAACACGTGACGTTAGTATACCTCAAAGGAATTCCCATTTCTGCACACCATAGCACCATATCTTGATTAAACGTATCGTATTTTCTTTTCAGTAAAGAGTATATACACTTAAGTTACTGTGCGTCATAGTTATTGACAAAAAAACAAAATAATTTGTCATTCGCCTGATCGATGTTGATCAGAACAAATTCATTGTAAATACCCATACCTGATAACAGGAGAAAACAGACACGCACTAAAAGAGGGGCGGTGTAACAAATAAATTAAGTCGTTCCTAACTTTGATAATAGAATGAAACCCATCCACTGTTGATTTCTGCCATAACAACTCGTTCGTTATTGATCGAAGATATGCCGCGTGTTAATTAGATAGTCATGTATTTGTTGCGTTTTTGTGTTACAGTAATATCTCTGTTGAACGCTTCTACCTGCGCCCCAAGCGCTGCAGTCAATAGGAATGACCCAGGTGTGTACAAGAACAACAACGACGACGATACAACAAATATTGCATCATATAATTGAATACAGTTTGCAGTTATTTAGAATGCACGAAGATTCCATCATTATCACGGTTGAATTGGACTTTACTGGGAATCGATCCCAGTGTAATAAACAAACGTTTAACAACCAGGCTACCCTAGGGCATACTGCTTGACTTTAGTTTATCAAGATCAAGGGAATCTGCATGTATGGATCTGATTTCAGGTGGTCATCGCTGTTACTCCTGTGCAAGTGTGAACAAACCGTATCAGTGTAACGTGACCACACATTGCAGACCTGATGAGGTAGGATCACCTCCATGATACAGTGTACCTGAGCAGAATATCAAGACGGGACAGATTATATGAAATCGCGGGACCCGTGTAGATTTCTTCAGCAACCCATGCTTGCCATAAAAGGCGACTAACGGGATCGGTTGTTTAGGCTCGCTGGCTTGGTTGGTGCATGTCATCCTATATATTCCAGTGATATCAATCACTGGATTGTCTGGTCCAGGCTCGATTATTTACAGACCCCCGTCATATAGCTGGAATATTGCTGAGTGCGGCGTTAAACAACAAACAAACAAAGTTGAAATCGCCGCAACAGAGGTACTGTTTGTGATAAGCTCTAACTTCTTCGAAATACCAGGATTTGAACTACATAAATGGTACTTGGATTTTCGTCTAATGCATACGTTGTTGTTAGTGCCTAACCAGTCGTATACGTTTTTACTCATCTTGTCTTCCTTTAACAGCTATTTTTTTTTCTGTTCTCAAATAAATGTTAATGATGTACATTCATAAACTGGGGCGGTCGGGTAGCCTAGTGGTTAAAGCGTTCGCTCGTCACGCCGAAGACCCGGGTTCGATTCCCGACATGGGTACAATGTGTGAAGCCCATTTCTGGTGTCCCCCGCCGTGTTATTGCTGGAATATTGCTAAAAGCGGCGTAAAACCATACTCACTCACATTCATAAACTGATTGTGTTATCTAAAAACTCCACTTAAAATGTGATCACAAAGTTGATTCTTTGTTTTTCACTCATAATCCCATTGACCTACAAAGTTTTCATATTTCATCCACTATTAAATTACATGACGAGATATGTCTGAACCATTGGTATACGGGCTGTTCTATCATATACTTTCAATAATGGTCAACACGGTGTTGCGTAATCTATCTTCAATACTGGCCAACATGATGTTATGTATTATGTCCTAAATACTGGTCAACGCAGTTGAGGGGGATATTTTTTATATTGGTGTTTCGTAATATGTGTGATTTCCTGGTCAAGATCGTGTTTTGGAATATGTCTGTGAATACTGTCAACGTAGACTACAGACGTAGACTAAAGTGCTGAATGATGTATCTGAAAGATTTGTCAAAACAGCAACTTCTGTTATCGTCTTATATTTCAGCAATGTTACACAGATGAATATTCAACAAATCATGGAACGAGTATTTTCAGCGTCGGGTGTCGAAGGATTTCAGTGAGTTTTATAATACACGTACCACTATTAATATCTTTTTTATAATTATGAATGAAGAAGGAAGTGCGGGTAATTCGAAACAACAGTATAATTCGAGATAGAAGAGTTCGATTCATTAGAATACCAGACGAGTGCATGTATGGCGTTTTACAGGAATGTTACGCAGAGATCGTCAGAAGATCAAACTTCAGCGGACGACTCAAGTGTGAGGAGTGTTGCCATGGCAACCTTTGTAACAGCCGCGGCTGCAGTGCAGGTCGTATGTTAGATAATACCCTATTTATTATAACACGTTATAAATACTACACATCTATCGAGTACTGATAGTTTTGTCTCCAGGCTTTAAAATATTAACACAGAAAACAGTTACATATTTATCTTCCATTTAGGCGCCCATGTTATGTATATTGAAAACATATGATGACATTTTACAGATTTATCATTAATTGTTTTTTGCTTTTAGTAATTATAAAAAAAACTATATCTTAATCCCCACGTTGTAAATCATGGCTGTATTTCAATAAACACTGTGTGAACCAATTCTAAAAAACAAACTTTTAACTATCGAATGATTATTTTCAAACGACTTAACGTACTTGCAGCTGCCAAAGGCGACGTGTGCTACAGCTGTCGCTTTATAGATGACCCACGACATTGCGAAAATGAGACCAGATGTCTGGCTGATGAGGTTTGTTGCTGATTTCACCACCGTCCCTGTCTTTTATTATTATTAACAGATTAAAATAAAAAATGCAGCCAAGAGGGTTTTGGTGATCCTGGCACAGTCAGGCTGATTAAGGTCATCATCAGCTCAGGGCCCTTGCCCCCTCTACACGCAGCATAGACAGCGAATGGGACTTCTCCCAGGATGCGCTGCCTAGTCAAACCCACCCAGAACCTTTCGGAGAATGTGAAGACTCCCCAACACTGCAGCCTTCTGCATTACCCAGATTGTCAGAAGGACTGTATTCCTGGTAGCAAACCCGGGTACTCTTCCAATGTCAGTCAACAGATTGGGAGGTACCAAACCTAAGGCACCGAGAATAATTGGGAGTCGGACAACTTGGTACTTGGGATGCAAGCGTGTCATTTCGAAAGCGAGGTCTGCATATTTGCTATGTTTTCGCCAATATTTTTTTGTTTTTTGTTTTTTGTTGTTGTTGTTATTATTATTATTATTGATCACAACGTGGTGCCTTTGTTAATAAGAATGGTGTCGTACTAATCCCTAGATTGTCTGGTCTAGACTCAACTATTTACTGGCCATCGTTGCATGGAGTATTGCTGGGTGCAGCCCAAGGCAACAAATAAACACTTAATCTTAATTGCAAATCGTGCGAGTGGCTGGAGTCAATTTTAGCTGAATATGTTCCATTTACGTAATTTTCATGTATTCATTGACTGATATAGTCGGAATCATACAAAGGTCTCAGCTTTCGGCAGAGATTTATTATGAATATAGAAAAGGTTTGTCGCTTTTATTACAGATATCATTGAAAAAACACTACATTCCTTTGCTCATTCATGTTGTGCCTTCGTAAAACAATAGTGAACAATAATGAGACAAACACAGTATATTCATTAAAAATTATAGATTCTGAATAACAGACGAACCTTATTGTGCCAAACCCGTGGGGACCGGGGAAAAAGTTCCAGTTATCCGGGGTTCGAGACAATCAACAAAGTGAATTTCCGAAAAACAAACATCATTTTCTGAGAGATTATTACATGTAAGCTAATATGTATATTGTACTTACAATTCTTAACTGAAATTTCATTTCATTTCAGCACTGTTATATCGAGAAGGTGTTGACTCAAAACTTTTATATCAAGTATAGTCTTGGGTGCGTTGATAGAGCGGTGAGTACAATACTGTTCAAGGAAATAGAGAGTAATTGGTGGGAATTAAGCTATCATTTCAAGCTGCTTTTATTCCAGTTTTGATTATGGAGTGAGACTAATGGGGTGGGCTTTACTGGGTGTGTAGGGAATTTAAACAGGATTTGTGATGACCAGTCCTTGTTTTAGCCACTTAATGCCGAGCGTCAGGGAAGGTAACAACAAGTACCATCTTTTAATGTGACTAATACTGAGAAATGACGTCTTCAAATTGTATGACGTCACGCATTTTAACATTAACGTCATTAAAATACATGTTGGTTTGGGCCTGTAAAGAGATGTCAGCTCTTCTACATTATCTCTATGTAACGATATATAGGCGCCATAAGTAGTAGATCTACTACAAATATGACCGTGTATCTAAGTCACTTGTTTTGTTGTAGGAATGTGAGACTCTACGCCAATTTGGAATGTCGATAGGGAAGCGGGATACGGCGATCTCAACCATGTATGCTAGCTGCTGTAATGGTGATAAATGCAACGATGTATGGTTTGCCAAAGGTAGGAGACAACAGGAACGCTTTTACAAACAACGTCCGATGACATGTGTGACAAAAGGCTTCACTAAGATCTTTGTCAAAAGGCTTGACATGATGTGATGTAACATTCTCGAACTCCATTTTCCCGCTTCTTAGACATCGCCATATTTAGAGATGATTGTATTGATATTACACTGCAAATCCCATGTCACGGAACAAACCTGAATAATATTACCATCACGTTGGTCAAAGTGTGTGGTGCATTTTTGTTTCATATAATATTGTATTTGAGACACATATAACACTGCCTATTACTTGTATGACTTTATCTTGACGAAAGAATTTGTAATACCCTTAAGAAAACAAATTTATTGAAAATCAAATGCATTCAGATGAAGTTCTTTAAGTGTCGCGTGACAAACAGGAAAATGTTTCAATTGATTATTTTGGGGATTGTAATACTTCATCAAAACTGTGATTTAACAGAAGTTTCCCATGTACCTCTGGTAGCAGGACGTACACCTTATATAAAGCAAAGTGATTATATTTGCAACCGGTGTTTCTAGAAGAAACAAATAAATAATGTTGACATTATGTTTCTTATATTTGTCACCAGGTATCACAAGTGATACACCAAGAACATCTTTAGCAACCCCCAAGCATCACCCAACCACCCAGAGTTCATATGTAACTACCAGTTCTTCGATGACTAAAGATACTAATGTCGTTGATGCAACAAATGGGATGTCATCTACAAGTCCTTCAAAGACTAAAGATACAACTGTCGTTGATGCAACAAGTGGGATGTCATCTACAAGTCCTTCAAAGACTAAACATACAACCGTCGTTCATACAACAAGTGGGATGTCATGTACAAGTCCTTTAAAGACTGAAGATACAACTATCGTTGATACAACAAGCGGGGCACCAACTACAAGTCCTTCAAAGACTAAAGATACAACCGTCGTTGATAGAACAAGTGGTATGTCATCTACAATTCCTTCAATGACTAAAGATACAACTGTCGTTCATACAACAATTGGAATGCCATCCTCAAGTCCTTCAAAGAATAAGGATGCAACCTTCGTTGATACAACAAGCTTGGTATCATCTACGAGTCCTTCAAAAACTAAACACACAACTATCGTTGATACAACAAGCGGAGCGCCATCTACAGGTCCTTCAGTAAATAAGGATACAACCGTCGTTGAAACAAGTGAGATATCATCTACGAGTCTTTCAAAGTCTAAAGATACAACTGTCGTTCATACAAGTGGAGCGCCATCTACAAGTCCTTCAAAGACTGACGACACAACCGTCTTTCATACAACAAGAGGGACAAACTATAGTCTCATTCCTAAATCCAGTCTTTATACATTTAGTACCATGGGATATACAGTAACAATATCGCCATCGACAAGCACCACACCATCAAAGTCGACCCATGGTAAGCATTTATGCATAATTCCACGAACGATATCCAGTTTTGTACTTGAAATATATACCGTCCTGAGTGTATGTCTCTGATGTACAGACACTTCCCCTCTGAGATGAACAATTGATGATTAACTAACTTCATTCAATCCAACCTCTTCCTTAAATGAGACGACTACATTGTGTCTCGTATACACCATAAGACAGAGTCGTTAACAAAGTAGAAATGGTACTTCAAGATAGTTCCTCATTAATTGTGTAAACCATGAAATGGTACACGAAATGCACATTTTTGCTTTAATTTAATCTTTTCAGTTGTATTGGAGCTGTATTGGAGCGGTTCTCCAACATGTTAAACACAGATATTATAACAAAGCCGGCCAATTGCACTCAGTCCCACAACAGTGCCACACATCAAGTTTCAATAATCAATGTCATGTGTCATCTCTTGACAAACAGCTATAAGATGTGCTTGCATGCAAACGAATTGGAGAGTCATGGAATGGTAATTATAGAGGCAATACACTGACTCTGTTTTCCATTTATTAAAACTGTTATTCTTGCGACATTACAAATTCAGTGCATATTTCAAGGACATTTCGAAACGTATAGAAACAGAAATTTATATACACGAGTCTGCATGTCATGATTTAATTACAATCTTACGAGGGTTGATTGTGATTGATAATTAAGTTCTGACCCTCAATTAGAATGATTTATATTCAACACAATCCCCTTCCACATTTTTTAATAACGATGTTGGAGGGATTCTAGTCCTATTTCGTAGACATCCTTTTCTTGGCTGTTCCTTGGCTTCGTTTATTGTCTGGACTTTTGGAAGTTGTCTTTGGCAGTAGTTTAAGTATAGGCAGTACTGTCTATTCTACATGTTAGTGGCACCAGATTGACTGAGGCGGTCGTAAAATATCGTGTTTTGGTGAGTGAGTTAAAAGTTAACGTCGCATCGGCATTATTTCAGCCATATAGCGACCCAAGTTTTGGTCGTGACCTTATGACCTTAACAACTAGTAATATAGAATGACCTCCTTTAGTTGTTTATAGAATTTGGTGGATTAATGCCGACTGTAACATAGCATCATCGACTCACTCACTCATGTTATCATCTCTTACTTCAGATAGTCATCATCCCGGTCTACTCTGTGCTCGCTGTGACAGAGTCACAGACCCACTCGACTGTACATACACTACCATATGTGAAAAGGATGAGGTAAGTAGGGATTCCGTCCACAATGATCTCGACAGTGACCTTCGAAATATCCTTTTGTTCATCCAGCAATGAATAATTACCCTGTAGTACGAGGTACGGGGTAATGTTTCTCTCTATATACATGTATATATGTGATGTGGCATGACAGGAAGCTATGGCAGCGGGTTCGAATCAAAGTTTCGCCCTCAATATGTATCAAGGACTGTCATCACCATTCTGGTGCATCACTGATGTAACTGGAATACTGTTCAACCCAATCCACGCAGTCACTTGTCGTTGTACATTATTGTGTACTCGGTACGAATACAATTAAAAGGAAGCGCCCAAACTAATCGAAAGTGTTACAGCGCTGCGTAAAGACAAACATCTTGGTTATCAAGCATCAGGGGTCAGTGTGTCCGTGCTGACCTGATGGCTGCTATAATAATTATCATGATCTGTGTTCGAAAGATAAAATTCCTGGGTATTGTGTTTAATCGGTTTTTTAATTATATAACTGCTCACCTGGATGCTTTCTTCATCTGATCACACCTTCGAAAGAATCAAGCGTATAAGTGTTATTATGGAGCCGGTTTGATTGAGAGCTACACTAACTGCTGTAGAAAAAATATAATGTTTTGATAATCTCGAGGTGTTAATATGTCCAATTAAATACCGCTTCCGTTATCTTGTGCACACGTAACTCAGTCTCCTAATGATGAATGTTTTCGAATTGAATCTCACAACGAAACAACGAAGTAATACACGGTATTAATATATATCTTTGTGATTCTTTTACAGGCGTGTCACACTGCTCATTTTGTAACCTCGCAAGGGAATCTGTTTTATAAACTGGGATGTAAGGCTAAACAGGTAGGTATGGATGGAGTTTCTATGAAGATTTCAAACAATTGTATGTTCAGGGTTACAACATTCCAGGCCACAATGAAGTTTTCAAAAAGCTTTATGGAAACATGTGGACATTTCCAAATGATGTCCGGTGCAATTCCCTATTTTGATTTGTACCTGTGTACTTTGTGATGTTCCCATGGCTTTTTTGTCAGGTGAGCAGATGATGCGCTCATCTGGTACCATCACTAGAGTGATTTAATAACTTATGCTTATGATATAGTCCAACGGACTCAGCTTTTCGTAGAGAGTTCTCAATATAATGGAAATGTTTTCCTCGCTTTGATTATCATAATTATATTTCAATAGTTGCCCCAAGTCACTGCGAGTCATGAGAGGTCCAGTCATCTAAGTTGCGTCCATTAAGCAAGTTAAGAAACCCATCGTCGTGCATTCGAATTCCTCTTTTCTAATTTGTAGTCCCAAAAAATAAAGTAATTAAGATAAAATTACATTAAGTTACATGTACATCGATTTAATAAACAACAATAGCATAGAACCCGTGAAGATCTGGGTTAGGATTGGTCTTCAGCAACTCATGCTTGCTATAATGTTATAAGGGACGACTAACGGACTCGATTATTTACAGACCGCCGTCATATATAGTTTAACTTGTGCTTAACAAAGAATATCAAAGATAGTTTATCAAGTACTGGTCTGAAATTAGGGGATATTTATATGTATGAAGTTGACACAGGGTCTCCATGTAAACTGCCAGGAAAAGGAACAAATAAACCCATATTGGTTTGATTGTGGATAAGAATGAAACCAACAAGAAATGGTTATTCGGTGGTGATGTATCTGATATGGGTAGTTGTGTCTTGGAACTTCGTTGTGATTCGGCGATTGTGTTCAGCCCAGTAACGTGTTGCTAAGTTAAACGTTTGTGAAGTGTACTCTTTCTTTTGCGCGGCAGTTTAACTTAGGGTACGCGTATGTGTGTTGATAAATGTCATTAAGACAATCACATTGTAGTTAGCTCACAAAGTTAACTTTTAATGAATGAATTCGAACAGGTTTGCCCGGGTAAGAATATATCATTGATAGACGGACGTTACCTGGACCATTATCTGCGTAAAACAACATTCATTTTATCACCTTTAGTCATACACACTGACCTTTATGTATGAGTTCCCTCCACAACTCTTCAACAGATTTTGTTCCGTTGTTGCAGTCTAGTGGTTAAAGCGTTTATCGAAGGACGGGGTTCGATTCCACATAGGGTTACAATATATGAATCCCATATGACCCCGTCATGTAAATGTAGCTTTGAACGGCGTTAAAACATACGGACTTACCAATAGATGCGGAATAGTTATTTCAATAGAAAACTCTGAACATAATTATTTGTTTATTTACGTGTTTTTATTCTATTTTAGGAATGCCAAGCTCTTCATGTTGGTCGTAGACAAAACGGAGATACCGTGTTTGACGAAAGATGTTGCACAATACACCCCGAGTGTAACCGAGATATATTCAGTAGGTACAGGACATGTTGTTTAAACTTATGTACTCAGTTATACTCGCAAGGAAGAGGACTTTAGGCCTCAACTTCAGCCTTGCCAGAACCAGCTCGTCGTAGAATCGAATCCTGGATTTGCCATTAGTCAAACACGTTATCGTTCCTTCAACGAGGTCAGTGTGGTCTTCGAAATGCATCCTTTTAATTGTACCTCTTCTATTAAGCTGAAACACGGGGAAATAACGGAAACACTGTCTGAAGCCATTAACTCACTAAGAACCCATGCTTCTTGAGTGTGAGTATTGACCTGCCTTCCCATGTGTTTGTCAGGGGTGTTACCAGTCGGACAGTCACGAAGAAGCTGTCATTACTATTTGACAGTGATTCATAAACACACGCTTACGTTTCAGTGAGAATTATTTATACTCGGACCCCATGGTACCGCGGCATTCATCGTATCGCGGCATTTGTGATTTCCGGTAGTTCACGCGGGACACGCCTCTTAGCGGCTGTCTATTACTGCTAATCAGTAACCAGGAAGTGCTCACTTCGTAAACAATTTCAATTTCCTCGGAATGTGAAATTTTGCTGTAAGTAAGGAGTTATTAATCCGTTGATACATATTTCTGGCATCTGTTGTAATATTGCCTTACCCCCATCTATCAATGGCCAACGATATAAACCGCAGTTCCCCAAGTAAACTTTCTCTATCGACCTGAACTAGATCATCTGCATATTCATGACGACTAATGAGGTAACGGAAGTTACGTAGTCCGCACAATTTTTCCCGCTCTGTGCCCAGAATCTATTGGGAGATCATAAGGGCCATAATGCCAAACTTAGAAATACGTTCTTCACTAGTAACCAAAAGATAAATACATACTTTGGGCATACTAGGAGTGCTTTTTATATATTTATTGTTGAGTTTTAACATTTTTCCATTTTGTGACAAATTATTGTCATTCAATTTTTTTTAAACAATCTTAAAATATCATTCCTGATATTTTGATGTTGACTTATAAAAATATTTTTCTCTTACTTTTCGGTAAATATGCATTGAATACCTATTGCTGATAACACATTTAGAATTTTACTTGTGCTGTCTTTGCACTTGTCTGGACAAATCACTGATGTCTGGCATGATCATACCAAGTGGTTGGTAGAATTATGTCCTCTTTTTGTCCAATTCGGACCTCCATACACAACTTTTCTCTGTACCGCGATACGATGGAGTTCTCTCCCTTGTCAAACTGAGCGCGAGGCCCGGCATTTACTCGGAGCTACTGATGTAAATAATGAACTTTTATAAGTAAAATATGCATTGTTTGATAACATGAATGATATCTGATACAGAGAACACGAATAAACATAAAGGTTAGTGAGTGCATTTTGTTCCGTTTAGCGTACATGACAAGTACCGCGATACCCCGAGGTTGCAGGCTAATTGGTTTTTGGAAGACATTTCACATCACTGGGGAAATGGTTTTGTCCTTTAATTTCAATGAATTTGTATCACTGTGTGACAGTATAACAGTTTGTATTCGAAAAGGCATTGACATTTTGACTTGATGTAGACTGAGAACACGTAGCGGCTGTGATTCAACAGCTACTGGCATGTTCGGATTTCGATTCATTTGTTGTTTAACGCCTCACTTGTCAAACTATATGGCGGTGGTCAGTAAATAATCGCGTCTGAACCAGATACTCCAGTGTTTAATGTCAAGAGCAACGATCCACGTCATTGGGGTATGACGACGAACTCGCCTCTTACGACCAGAATAATAGGTTGTTGGGGGGCAATAATTTCTAACCTGGAGTTCTATAGGTATACATGTTATATCGTTATCCCGGACAGCTGTTGACAGTTGATACACCAGATTGATTTGAATTAATTTGAAATAATGAATTCCGATTTAATATTTTTAGAAACATCCAAGGATCTGTCCTGTGGTTCCTGTAAGGCTGTGACCAGTCCTTCCGACTGCGAGAAGGTGACCACATGTCGTTCTAACGAGGTACGTTGTTCTATAGAACACAGTGAGAGTGAGTTGGTTGTACGCCACTTTAAACAGTATTCTAGTCAGCTAAATGCCAGCTAATATTATATCATCACTGAATTCACCCTTTACCTGTTTGACTGTTGCAGGTGTGTGAACGTACTGTGTACTTATCTGATCAGTTCTTTCTTCGATACACACTGCAGTGTATACAAAGAGCCGTAAGTATGTAAAGGATGCTTGTTAGATGAATGCCAAAACGTTCGTCCCTACAACTCCCATGAAGATCCTATGAAAAACCCAATGTCTATCCTGTGACTACAATTGTATCGAGTGATTGCCATGAAGTGTGTCCGCTTCGATGTACCAATATCCGACCTCACCTTTAAGCAAGATAGACACAGTGTCGTATGTCCTTCAACACGGACATCGGTATATTTAGTGATTTAATTGCCTGTAGGAACAGGGCCTCGTACCATTTGCATCTCGCAATATAGTTATGAAGAGGCCATAAAATATCTGAGTCCTGTGACGGGATTCGAACCAAGGACCTTCTGATTAGAGGTCGGTCGCCTTGTCCATATGAGTAGAGAGGTTTACACCATCATCAAGCTGACAAGGTAAGGATGTCTTCACACCCTGCTACATACTCCCCCTTGAACAGAAGACGTCCATGAAGTCCACTCTTGTGACTAGCACAGGTCGCTTGAGACATATTCCAACTGCAATTCAACAGCGACAGGATTAATTAAGCATCGAATGAAATGCACATACATGCATGTTTCTTTGTGTGTTTGACAAAGAACGTTTAACCCTTAAAACAAATTCTACATTTTCATTTATTACAGTATTGTGGAGGCCACGTGCTGCACAGAACTTTATCTGACGATGAATACACAGATCTGTGTTGCGATACCAACTACTGTAATATGGCCGTGAACAAGAAATGTAAGATTTTTGGGTGTGACTTTACAATAAACATTATTTATTAATGTAATTTAGGTTATTGATCATAAATATTCGTTTGCTGGATGACCGAATTTGACAGGCGCATATTTAACGGGTTTTCACTCTCTCTAACCATGCTCATTTCATGTTAACCAAGTAGCATTTAATATATAGAACGATGGTGTAAGATATTTAGGTTTTATCGCTTGCTTTATGGATCCATCGACTAACAGACAGACATTGTTTCTGTTTCACCGAGGAAAGTTGCCGTGTGTTTTTTTCAGTGTCCGTTTTATGGTTTACATCTGTTTTACCTTTCAGAACCAATATGAGGTAGCGACCTTGGGATCATGTCCTACTCTCATATGTGTTCCAAAACTGAAACCAACGAGCAAATCGAAATCAGCCTTGGCTCATGTGTATGATACAGGTGTGTTTCAAACGTAGATTTCCTTAGGGCCCAAAACTGGAATGTGTCTATGACAGATGAAAGTAAATGTATGTGTTTGAATTCCAAAGGGACACATACGAACTACATGTATGTTTATTTATTGGGTGCTTTTTTGCCATGTCAAAAACCACGTTGAACGAATTTGATTGTTTATAACATATATTTGGGATACATGGAAACCAACGACGACAACAATGATGAAGCGTAAAGGATTCTTTGATTGCATTTCTTGGAACCAAGTGTAACCTTTGCAATAAATTCATATCTCTGGTCCGTTTAACAATACATTGTATATGCGAAGCACATGTATGCCTGTGACGTTAAAGACCGATATTTTGGATTTGGGTATGAGAGAGTATGTTCCATTTTTCAGCCAGCTCTTCAATTTTTATCTCAGAGTTTCTCTGACAAAAGAAACAATATTTTGGGGTCCTCAACACATAAAGTATTATCAGAACATCCAACATCCAATGAACGATTTATTTCTTTTAGAAAAACCTGAAAACCAAATGTTTTTTCCAGTATTTTCAGGAACACATACTTTTTAAATTAAAGTTTATAGCTATTTAGATGGCAGTAGAATGTCATGTCGATATGTGAAATTGCCTGAATTATTAACATATTACACTTGATATAATGAGTTTATTTTGCGTACAATGTATGTGGTTATTCAATTACAACTATGTTAAATGTAGATTTGATATTACAACGTTTTATCTGAAAAGAAACCTGAACGTTCATAGCATATCGAAAGCCCTATGATAAAAAAAGGTTAAAGTTTTGAAAAAATGAAGTATAAGTTTAGACACGTTTCTTTCGTTCATTCTTTAGTTAGCCAGTTTATTATCAGTTCAGAAAACACTTTCGATGTAAGATCGATTTTGGAATAGAATTATCGCTGAAATGCATTTGAGGTTGTAAGGTATTTGTTACCTGTAAGTGCCATTTTAGAAGCTATTGTTTCATTGAGGACGGACGTGACTTTTGAATTCAACTTCTCTGTTCTTTCAATGCGACGTTGCCATACAGATGTTGAGTACAGTACCTTTTCAGTACAGTTCTTTTATAAGGCATGTGATCAACAACTGGGTAGGACGTGGTTATACAGTTATGTATACGGGGATTAACAAAACAAACAAAAGCACAAACAAGGGAGACAGAAGTGATGAAAGGGATGAAGATAGGGATGGAGTCTATGTCTGTCACACCAAAGGAGTGCCGAAAGGTCACATTGAAGGGGAAATCAATAACTGAACGCTGTCCTCATAGACGTGGTACAGTGGAAAACATGTCTTTTTGGAGTGAGGAACGTATCCATATTACCAGAACATTGACGTGACATACGTGTCAATACTACCAGAACGTATATATCTCCACCCCGGGGATGCCAGGTAAGAATTGATATCCAGCAACATACGAGTTTCTAGCCGGTATTGGTGAACCAACACAGATCCATGGCTACATATTGCTAAACACAAACTGGATCTGCTTCAAAACAACGTGAAGAATCACGAAAGAGGATGAACCTGACGTGTTTCTGATCAGAAGTCAGAAGTCGTGGAGCCCAGAGTACTGAGGCCTTTGTCATGCCCAGTTCACGCCTCAGAATGTTCTTACATCTTTCATGAGAGATGCCTTGTATTGGCCATTTGACGAGGGATTGGTCGTCGATCATCCATAATCATATCATGCATTTATCAGCATTTTCCACAGTGGTTGCAGTTGAACGTCTTTCGGATCTTGGATCATCTTCGAGTCACTCCTTTCATATCTTGAACTCCGCTGCCCAACTCTCAGCAATGGCAAAAGGAAATCATCTTCTAAAGTTGACGCCATTTTGCATGAATGTGCAGTGTCATCTGTCACCAGGCGATAGATCAAGAGTCATTGACCGTTCACGTCAATACAATCTCAATCGATGAATATACTCATATAAGTAGGACGAATGTACCGTCAACTGCGCACTGTGATCACACGCTTTTGGAAGGATCGTCTCCTGTAAACAGGTAAGCTACACTACAAATTAGGTATCTGATAAATGTGGATACTTACAGGAACCATTGTACAATATTTGTTTGTTATTTCCTCATTTATCAATATGGCGGCAATCGAGATGCTTTAACAATGTCATAGTGCGATGAATACTGTGTAGAATTATTTGTGGTATTTGATATTATGTAATGTCTTAATGGATCCATCATGCCCTGTTATACGCCGCACTCGGCAATATGGCAGCTGTATGACGGCGGCTTGAGTCAGAAGCTGATCGGTATTGTGAACAAGGATCCACGCAATTAGGATACGATGACATGCTGTCAAGTCCCCGAACCTGACCATCCGATCCATTTAGTTGTTGCTTACGACAATCATAGGCTTCTGTGGATATTCCTAGCCGGAATCCCAATGGTTGTACAAAATAGTTATACTTTGACTCACGTTCTAATCCAGGTAATAATAACAATTTCACACAGTGATTTACCAAAGAAGGACATGGCTCAGGACCTATACGACAGTTTGATGAAACTGTATCTGTCAAGTAGCAAGTATTGTGGTTCAGCAAGTTGATGTTAAGTTTTGCTCTGCCGGCCTGCCGGAAAATAACAATTTCATCCACGTATTTTATTTCTACCATAGTTTTAAATCAACTGTTACTCTACTTTCAGAGAGAAACCCCCTCAATACATCATGTATATGCAAGTATTCGTTCTTCTACTCCTGGTCACCTTGACCCAAGGGTTTTCGGACGGTGGTCAGATTGAAACGGAAACAAACAGTAAGTTGGCAAATATAATTAACTTATTAATGCATCTCTCTTATTTTGGTTACAACTGAAACAGATTCGATACACGAACTCACAAGGATGGTCAAAATGAGTCAAATGATTCTTGTTCAAAAGTTGTTACGTTACAACATTCAAGGCCTCATGAAAGCTTTCAAAAAGTATTATGGTAGATACTGTACATTTACTGCTTCAGCTGACCCTGTGCTCGAACCCGTGATGATTGCGGGGCAGAATAGGTCTTCAGCAACCCATGCATGTAAAAGGCGTTTAACGGGATCGGGTGGTCAGGCTCGCTGACTTGGTTGATGCATGTCATTGATCCCAATTGCGTGGAACGATGCTCATGATATTAATCACTGGATTGTCTGGTCCAGGCTCGATTATTTACAGACCGCCGTCATATAGCTGGAATATTGCTGAGTGCGGCGTTAAACAACAAACCAACCAACTAACCAACCCTGTGCTCGACGTGTTGAGTAAGAACTTAAGGGTATCTTTCATTTTCAAAAACCTTGTATGTTTCACATCTTCCGAATAGAAAACAAATATTCTTTGATACAAACACATTAGATCCTCAGTAAATCTTTCAAAAAGATATATGACAGAGCAAGATACGCTCACCCTTGTGCCAACAGCTATTATCATCACTATTTGATAGTGATTCATAAACACATCCTCGTGATATAGTCGGAATTGTACAATGGATTTCATATGGTTATGTAATGGGATGTGTCGCTGTTATTGTACTGTCGGTGGCCTATGACGAACACAAGGCCGAAACGACGCAGATTGAGAAGGTCCCTCAGAGGATTAAACCCGGATCTAATACCTAAACTTTTACACAATTATGGTCAGCCGGTTGTATTTCTTGTCGTGCCCAGTTTGTTAGTCAGTCAGTAGTACCAGAGATTACCAATGGTAGGTGTAGTATCAGGTCTTCCTTGCAGTTGTCTCAATTTGTCCATCTGGTTCCCAGTGCTTGGACATACATGGAGGTCTAAGACTTCTTTGTCACGTCCGAAGGTTATCATCTTGAAATTAATGGGTCACTTTAATTACGAGTAGCCAAACACCCGACCCCCTTCTCACACCCACACCCACACGCACACCAATCTTTTCCATGGACATCACTTCAAGTCTCTCAAAGCATGCAGATTCATGATCATTTGATAAATTCACTGAAATAATGACAAATATATCAAATAAATAGGAGTTACCTCAGAATGAATCACGAACGATAACAACTTACAAATGAAAAAAAAGTATGAAATGTATGTGGTTCTCTTTTCAGAATGGGGGACTGATATTTTCTATTGTACTTACCATGGTATTAAGTTCATGCCCGGATCGATGTGGAAAACAACGGAATGCGAACAGTGTTCGTGTTTTGACGACGGATTGTTCTGTGAGGGGTAGGTAGATTACCATATGGAGATTCTGGATTAGAATTGGAGACTGTCACAAGCAAGAGGGGACTTATTCAGAGTCAATCAATAAATTTGTCGATGTTATCGCACCCGGAGGCGTGGATTGTTGCCTAAAATATCCTTCATTGTATTGTCTTCATACTCCACCATCATATAGTTGAATATTGCTGAGACTGTCATTAAGCAACGAACACAATAATCACCCTTTGCTACAATTGATGTATATCATGTTTTAACTACTATAAAGTGTTTTGTAATGTTTCTGAAATCATAAAATTGATATTTCAATGGAGTGAAATAAGACATTTTGTCTGCACTGATCGGCCCGCACCACTCCTTACATTATCTTACTTGAGTCGGCAATCAGAACGTTATCAAATGGATTAGAATAGGTGACCGTCACAAGGAAGGGGCGACTTAATGCGACTCAGTGAATTTGTTGATGTTATCGCAGCCAGTGGCGTGGATTGTTCCCCGTAATATTATTCATTGAATAGTCTTCTTCATACTCCGCCATTCTTTAGTTTGAGCATTGCTGAGAATGTCATTAAGCAACGAACACAAATAATCACCCTACGTATGTGTCAATTGGTACTTTGCTTCAATAATTATATTCAATATTTCAAGTGATGTTGTCGGACATATCCAACCAAAATGGAATGTGTTTCAAAGTAATGGAAGAATCTGGTTACATATAATGTTCAATCAAGACTGTTCCTACTAAATCACATTTTCAAATAATCAAATGATATCCAGCGTGTTATTCAGGTACCTGATTGTATTTGCTCCAAATGATGACCTCATATAGTTTGATGACAGATATTGATTTGAGTAGAATTATGAATGATTCTGAATATCGATATAATGATAAATATTACAGCAGCAGTTAACTGTGAGATGAACAATGTCTTGTGATTATCAGTTTGAAGACAACGCAATGTACATGTAACCTGTTGTCTCACTTTTTTCTTCAAGATTTGGATATGCGGCGGGGGCATTTGATGCACCTGAAGGCTGTGAGGTTGTCAATGATGGATGTGATCCTAGAATGGTGGATGCTGAGGATGCGCTGAAGCCCTGTGTGGCAAAGTGAAAGTTGCCAACCTGTCCTTTATGTACAATGTAATGCAGTCACGAAGCAGATAAACATGGAATACCCGTATATGTGTCTTTTTTTGTTTAAGAGATGGTAGTCTGCCAAGCGTGCGAGCAAGATACTCGTTCCACCTGTATTATTCAATTCACAATTTAGAGATCCACCTATATGGTTTGGTGCTCTTCGAGCAAGTGTCATAAGTAGTACTTGATTCACCAGCAATTCTGGATTCACAATTGAGAGATTGACCTATGGTTTGTGTTCGCACAAATGTGCTTATTGCGGACCCATTTGTTATTCAGGGGGGGGGGGGAGGAGTTTGATATTGGATTCTTGGAATAAAAAGATGGTACTTGTTGTTACCCTGTCTGGCGCACGGCATTAAGGAGCTTAAACAAGGACTGGTAGGCTCGGAGTCAGTATACTGTCTGACTGGGGTATTCATATTAAACTGCGGCATGGTATCTCAGTGTGCTAGCGCTATACATCGGCATCAGTCCGGACTAGTACAAGCAGCCACACACACACACGTGCAACATATAAGTGCAATAATCGTGGACGCGATGTTAAACCCCATTTCACGTCACCTTCCTAAGAGACGCAACTTTGCCAAGAATTGAACCCTTAACATCGTATATGTAAGAAGTGATCGATTTCACTTTCGACTGAGCGATTTTAATGATTCGTGTAGTTATTTGATTGCGAAACTTGGACATTAGCGTCCCATTGTCAATAGCAGAGCCATATGGCGATTGTATTGTTTCCATGGCGATTAAAACGGCTGTTGCAAGAATATACCTGAATGAGAAGAGGATCCTGTTGAATATCTTTCAGAGGTTAAGTCAGCGTGTAATGTTGTCATTGGTAGAATGCACATGCTGAAAAGGAGGAAACAGAATCGGAATAAAAGCATTCTGCCCCAGCCAGCTGTCGTCATCAGTCTGGCTGCTCTACATGTTTGTATTGTTCCCACTGACAAGGCATCAAATAACATAACCATTAAATGTAAGAATCACTACATTAATTGTTTGATCAAAGAACTTGGTATGTGTGACATATCAAATCATGATACACATGAGGTCAGTATCTGAACTGAGGAAGACATGTGACCAAACTATGCATCAGTACAATCAACTTGTGCCTCTAAATCCTTATTCACAGAACCACTCCTCTTTTGAACTGGATCCCGAGGCTCCATAAAAATCCGTACAAAAAGGGGATTGCTGGGTCCGGCAAATGTACCACCAAATAGCTGTCTCAAGGAGTAACCATAATTTTGTACACAATTCACAGAACGTTTGTCACTTTTGTTTACATATATCATTAATTGATTAATATCTTTTTGTAGTGAAACCAAAAAGTAAAAAAGTAGATCTCGACATCTCGTCAAATAAGGTGTCGACCGCTCTTTATGTTCCTATGTGCATGACTATTGTGCACATATGAATGCTTAATTTCGCCGCCGTGATATTTCTGCAGAACTACGATATTAAAAAAAACTTAAAGGCAGTAAGAGGTGAAGTGAAAAAGGGTTTATGTCTATACCTGTACTTGTTTTATAGTACCATTCCACTGAGATACCATGTTTGCCCCACTTAGCATATTGACTCCGAGGCAACCAGTCCTTGTTGTATGTCCTCATTCCACGTTCAGCGACATATCGAGGCTCTTCCCCGACATTACAAGGGACCGGTGTTTGTACACGTGTGTATGAGAGCTACCACCGGAGTGTTGAGTCAAATTATTGTATGAAAGAGTGAGTGAGTGGTCGAGTATGGGGTATACCTCCGCTTTGAACAGTTTTACAGTTATTTCACGACGTGAATTTGGAAGAAAGCTTGCTTTTTTTGTTATTTGGCTGTTGTTTGTTCAACGCCGCTCTCAACAATATTCTGTATGACGGCAGCCTGCAAATGTGCAGTTTGGACCAGACATCCCAGTGATTGACGTCATGAACAACGATCTACGCCGTCAGGATACGTTGACACGCAATCAACAAATAGCCTTGCTACCAGTTCCATTAAGTCGCCTCTTACAGCCAGCATGGGTTGCCGTTGTCTTTTCTAACCCCGCATCAACAAGGGTTCCTAATTTAGTCGCCTCTTCTAAACAAGCCATGGATGCTTTTTGGTAAATTTAACGTAAATTGATGTTGTATGCAGAAATCCAATTCATTTGTGAATATTTTTTAATGAAATCAATTTTAAAAGAATCATAGGCTCGGAGTCAGTATATTGCGTATGAGTGAAGTATCCATGTTGAATTGCGCCATGGTATCTTCGTGACCTTGCACTATAAAAACGGCAATAGTCTGGGCTAGTACAAGGAAGCACACACACACACACACACACACACACACACACACACACACACACACACACACACACACACACACACACACACACAACACACACACACACACACACACCGCACACACCGCACACACCACACACACATACATTCATGCACGCCGCTGTCTAAATGCAATAACATTGAACACGAATACCCAATTTCACTACCTCCCCTCGACTCGACTTGACTCATCTCACCCTTTGAGCCATATTCAAAAGAAACTCTTCTAAATATAGCGAATGGATTCAATGTATTGATCATAATAGATTGGAGATATCCTTGATAACCGCACAATTCATAACCCGTTCAATATAAAACACCGCTAAAAGCAATAATGCTGACGTTATACGATTCCAAATATTGTCCCGAATCTACCAAACAAAACAGTACACAAAACAAGAGCTCCAAATAGCGCATATGAACAATACTTTAAGTGTTTTTTGTGTATGTTTGGAATAATAATGTATTTTAAGATAAACTATATAGCGTGAGAAATTCCCAGATGCCACCTGTGCACATTTACGCAGACAGACACACTAATACAAGCATAGCATGAGACATAAACCGACTGTCAGTAGATAAAAAGATAAAAGCAACGCGTGACGCGACGTCGTTAATGACACCAGGCTGAGTTTAGCGTTATCGTTGTACCATGACATTTGGAAGTGTTAAACTCCAGACAGCGTTATACCTTGACATTTGAGATTTTAAACTCTAGACGGCGCTTACACAGAACCATTCGATATTGGTGTACATGCAAGTATACGTATACATGCATACATACATAAAACTTCAACACGTTTTCCATTGTCTATTCCTTATTCCTACGTTTCGTTTCACAAAACACAAAACACGTATGTATGAATATATATTCCAGCTGAATGTTGTGTAGAGGATTTTGCAGATGCATCTGATGTGGTTGTATTTTGTTGCAAGCATCCATGTAAAGGCTTTGAGTAGCACACACCACTACACATCTAGCCCAGTCTTTACAGCACGGAGTGAGTGGGTGAGTTTCACTTGACGCCGTTTTTCAGTCATGCCACGTCAGTTTGTTATGCGAGAACTTCTGGTAAATGTCTTGGACGTTTACTTCTTTGCTGAAACCAACGAACACGGATGTCTGCTGACAAACCTAGAAACATAATCAGGGTGAATCTGGGATTCAAACCCACGATCATAGGATTCAGGCACTCCTAATAGACGCAAGTTACTATGACAGAGATTTTCATGTATATGCAGGAATAATGAAAGACAATTGCGTCAGAGTAAGATTAGATAGCACAGGGGCACCACAATGTCAGCACACTTTGTGCATTTAGTTTAATTTATTCCGAACAGAGGGAACCAAGATTGTTGCTGAGATTTTTAAATTTCAAACACAGTGACTATAGAAACTACAGCTTTGGACAGGCCCGCAGACTACTGATTGGCCATGTTGCAAGTTTTTGCTTGTCTGGGTAAGACTCTGTGGTTGTTGCGCTTGTGGATTACACCCTTCATGAGATAAAGATAATAATGTTATCTGTATAGCTTAATGGAGGCGGAAAAGAGCTCAGTAATAGTAATAATGGCATTAGCAATTACAGTAGGAGGAGTCGAAGTAGTATTAGTCGAAGTAGAAGTAGTTACAGTAGGAGTAGTAGTTACTGTAGAAGTAAAAATGGTTATAGTCGTAGTAGATACAGTAGTAGTAGTAGTAGAAGTCGTAGTAGATACAGTAGTAGGAGTAGTAGTAGTTACTGTAATAATAGTGACAGCAGCAGTAGTAGTAGTTACAGAATTAGTAGCAGTAATAGTAGTAGTAGTAGTTACAGCAGCAGTAGTATTAGATACAGTAGTAGTAGCAGTAGCAGTTACAGCAGTAGTAGCAATTACAGTAGCAGCAGCAGTTACAGCAGTAGTGGTAGTAGTAGTAGCAGTAGTAGTAGCAGTAGCAGTAGTTACAGTCAAAGTAGTATGCGTAGTCGGTAAAGCAGTAGTATTTACAATAGTAATAACAGTAGGAACAGTAGTTACAGTTCTATTAGCAGAAGTAATGACAGAAGTAGTTTCAGCAGTAATACTTGTTGTAGAAGTCGTAGTAGTAGTAGTAGTAGTAGCAGTAGAAGTAGTAGTAGTAGTAGTAGTAGTAGTAGTAGTAGTAGTAGTAGTTAAAGCTGGAGCAGAAGTTACAGGGGTAGTAGCAGTAGTATTAACAGTTGTAATAACACTAGAAAAGGTAGTGAAAGTTTCTGTTTCAGTTGTTAGTATATTACTGTGAAGAATATTACTTTGCTGTTGGCAATATTTACAACATGACGTCTATGTCTTGGGGTGTAGCTCAATCACAATGTTATCACACTGTCCCGACATCAATGTTGTCAAAGGTCACAAATGAACACGGATATTTAATATTGTGTTATTGATATGTGTTACAGTGCTGTGTTTGCCGGTAGCAACCAACTGTCTTCACAGCAGTCAAGTACGAAATAACAGACAACTGCAAGGTGTGTACTAATCATCCTTTCATTATTTTGTCTGTATAATCATCGAGTATTAAAGAACGCTGATTATTACAGAACCTTGCAAAACAATCTACTGTATATATATGTCACGTCGCGATGAAAAGATCCTATGAAAGATGAGACATTTTGGTGACAGGTGAACTGTAAGCAATGGTAAATAGTGTTGTACCTGCTCTCAGCTGGACCCCGCTGCTACTCCTGTCAGGGCGTGAACCAGCCGTACAACTGTAACGTCACTGTCACTTGCCAACCACAGGAGGTATGTGTTCTCAGTTATAGAACCCAATGACACAAACCTTTGACAAATAACAAACAAGAGGTATGTGTTTGCAGTTTTAATACCCTATAACACTAGTATGCAATACAAACAACAGGAGGTCCGTGCTCTCTGTTTTAGAACCCTATGACACCACTATGTAATATAAACAACAGGAGACCTGTGTTCTCTGTTTTAGAACCCTATGCTAGAACTGAAATACTGTTCAAACGAAGTAAAGCCAAGCGCATTCACTTAATGCGCCAGTATGTAACACGAACATTACTGTCTGTCGGGCGACTGACGAATGAATTCATTTGGTAATGCATATTGCTGTGACAATGGCTGATTGTGGCTGTTGTCATGGCAGTATATGTGTCTAAAGCTGCGACGCATATTAACATAAGATAATATATCAATATGTAAAGTATACACTATATCGGACGATCATGCTGATCTATAAACAGATGTCAATTTCCAGCAATGCTTCACTGACGAGTACTCCACGGTCAATGGACACACCAGCTTCACCGTTGGATGTCGACCTATGGCGGTGGGAAGAAGTTATTATTTTTACTGCTAAATGACTTAAGTAAAACAATGCTTAATACCATAGCCCTAACGTCATGACAACATGTCCAAATACTCCACATCAGAACGGTCAATCACATAACGAGTACGCTGGTAATATGTAATAATTTAACGAGGCATGCCATTACAAAAGTCACTCAAAGAGGTTTATATTTCCTTATTCCCTGTTATATGTTAACTTTATTGTCACCTTGAACTTTACTTAAGAGGTAAAGGAGGTCATGGTAATGCGTTTCGCGAACACCTGGTGTCATCACTTTAAATTTGTAGTGTTTGGGAGTGAAAGTTCTTAACTTGTCTCCTCTTGATGCCATGTCCCTTGCATTGTAATCAAATCCCTGGGGATTTCACTGGCGTTTGTTAATCCGACAGATGTGCAACTCTGCGTTAGGTAGGAGATCGGAGGTTAGGAGAAGTAATGATCCAACCCTAAAGTGTGAAGAGTGTTGCCATGGTGACCAGTGCAACAGTGGGGGATGCAGTGCTGGACGTAAGTTGTACAAAATTCGATAGAAACATAAATTCGTAAAATTGTCATACTACGTTTATAACGAACTGACGGATATAACAAACTTGTTTTTTTGTCCCGTCCATTTGCTGTATATTCTATTAATATGCTTATAACGAAATTCGGTTTTCGCGAAAACCTGGTGACATCACTGATTTTTACTGATCCATCCATATAAATTTCATCACCATTGTCCTTCTTTCGCCCAATGGTCTATGTTGTTTTGACAGGTATTAGGGACTAATCATTCTCTGGCGTAGCCTTGTTGATTGACACAGTTTTGTGTCAATACAGTCATAAATCCTGTACATTATGTACAAAGTAAGTTAACTGTGACAAATATCGCGTTTAAATATTGAACTGTGAGTGAGTGAGTTTGAACAGTATTCCAGTTATATCGCGGCGTGTCAGCTTATGTGGGAGAAAAGCCCGAGGTGATGCCGGTCTCAGACGTTTACCACTTCGGTGAAACCCACGAGCACAGGTATATGGTGCTGACAAACCTAGAAACATAATCGGGGCGAATCGGGATTCGAACCGAAAGTCATAGGTTTCTGGCGTGCCCAAGGGACGCAACTCTGCACAGCGAATCGCGGCGCCTTAGACGACTGGGCCATCCGTGCCCGCTATTGAACTGTGACCAATATCCCGTTTTTTAATATTGAACCAGAAAGGTCATGCAGGTTGATATGTTGTCATACTAGGAACCAGCCATTTAACATACAGAAGGCGAAGAACAACAAATATAAGGCTCCCTCCAGAATATTAAACAAACTGACCCGTTTGTTAATTGTTCTCACCAGCACCGAAAGGATACAGTTGTTACGAATGTGACTTCATCGATGACCCTAAAACATGTGACAAGGAGACGAGATGTAATGCAAACGAGGTAGTTCCATTGGTCGAGGACATCAACATCTGTCGTTCGTATACGTTAAATTTAATCTTTTCTGGACAAGGCGTATAATCAGAAATAAGCATCAATTATGAACATACCTGAGTATTTACATCTGGTATATGACAAATCATAAGGAACTGTAGAGCAAACAATATACCTGTCCATTATAAACGTAATTTATTATCATGTACAGATTAACATAAAAAATGCAGCAAAGAGTGTTTGGGTGACCGTGTTAAGGCTCATCATCGGCTCAGGGCCCTTGATACTTCTACACGCAGAGAGCGAATGGGATTTCTCCCAGGAAGCGCTACCTTGTCGAACCCATACAGAACGTTTTGAAAAATGAGACGACTCCCCAACACTGCAGCTTCACATTAGTGCCAAACGGGACAGGAAATTCAATGATATAAATGATTTCATTGGATTTATCAAAAAGGACAAATATCAGGTTTGTCGGCCTGGATATGACTGAAGCTGTCTACGGGCCTATTCCAAGGAATTTTGTATTTATCATTTTCCATGACGCCCTCTACATATTCTGGTTCGTACCATGGATGGACCTCTGTGTCAAAATCACACGTATGGCAAAGATATTAATAAAAGGATCGAACCAATCCTTAATTAGTAGCAGCAGCAGGAAAATTGGATGCACTGACATTGTTGTACGATTTTTTAAGAATACTTTCATGTATGTTTTATTTATTTTAGCACTGTTACGTCGATAAGGTGTATACAGACAACTATAACATAAAATATAATCTTGGCTGTGCAGAGGATTCAGTAAGTATTCAAAAACGTACCTCGACTGGTGTTTTGAATGCAGGAATAAAGCATATAGGTACATTGAAGACGATTTAGTAATTGGATAGGCAGAATAACAAGCAGCATAATGTTTTGTCTCGAACGAGGGAAAACTCGATGTTCCCTAGATAACACTGTGACTAAAAATGTTTTGCGAGGTTTTGTATGTCAGTTAGCATGAATTGTAATAACTCGAATTGAGTTTTTTTACCAATGACCTGGCTCCCTACCAGGTCCCAGATTTCATTCAGTAAATGTATTTTTCTTCATTTTTTTCGAAGGAATGTAACATTAAAGGAGACAGGAAGCGAGACAAGGTGCTCTCCACAATGTGCTCCGCCTGCTGCGACGGCAACTACTGCAACCAAGACTGTCAAAATCCGAGTGAGTCCAATACTGAGAACCTTGATGTTTCCCGTTGTTACTCTTGAAAACAAAATATATCAATTTTCCATATTTGGCTTTCTGATTGGTAGGTCATCTTCCTGTGATGCAAGTCATACAAGTTGGCTGGCCGTTCTGCACGGACATCAAAACTTCATTGTGCTAATTAATATGTCACTTGCTTTTCACTGTGAATGGCGGTGCTACGTTAGGGCAGGATATGCTTTCCTTAATCGCGAACACCTGTTTTCATCACTGATTGTTAGTGATTCATTCAAATGATTTTCACTTTTATTTTCACTTTTACGCCCAATGGAATCTGTCCCGTCGTATAAAGGAGACTGGGTATTCTCTGGCGTTGGCGTTTTATATTTGTTTAAGGCAACACACATCAGTATTCCAAATGTATGACGGCAGCATGTAAATAACCGACCAGCCTCGTACAATCATATGTTGCTGGGGACCTATTCTAAGAATCCTTATGGGAATCCTTAGGGGGCGCTTATTTATTACACATGAGGTAAAACTGAAAAGTTGCTATCCGCAGGACAGTATGACAAGAGGGATCACTTTAATTTTCCAATTATTAACTTATGTGAATAAATTTTTCAGCAGCTCCAGACTTTGGGGTCTACATTTCACAATTTTCGAGATACAATCGAGAATGTTCTATTCATGAGTATATAAGAGCGTCATACGGCTCTTGTTTAAAGGTTGTTCGATCATGGTAGAACATTCAATGCCTTTGTAAATCTTTCGAAGAGTTTTGTTGCAGACATGTGGAGGTCATTTCTAAATTTGACGGATCAGTGACCAAACGGATGGACAAAGGACTCTGCTTTTAGCAGACATATCTTGCATTTATGGAGACGGTTCTGTCGATTTATTTAGGTTCTGCTTTAGAGGTAACAGTTTAACGTGGGTTAGTCGAGACAACATCGCCTGACATGACGTAACATAGCATTATGCCAGCCTGTTTACTGGAGGCTACAGCAGTTGATGCTTGTACTGTGCTTGCAAATGTTCATGTTGAAGAGGTTAATTTGTTTTTTAAAAGGAGCCCTACGTTTTACTATATCTTATATCCCAACCTTCCTGTACTTGCAGTCTTGACCCACTGCTACTCGTGTCTGCGTATAGACCACCCCTACAACTGCAACCTCACTGTGGAGTGCAGACCTAATGAGGTAACGTTCCTCCACCTCCATACAGCGGAATCCCGTAAATACCGTTACCCTTTCCCAGCGAAAGAGTGCCAATTAACAAGTTTTGGATTAATGAAATATTTGACACATATTGAGACCTATTCAGAGTCCATGCGTTCACGTACTCTTCTCCCTAGACATATTCATAGTAAATACTTAGTCGTACATCTCTCCTAGACATATCCTAGGAGTCCTTTGTTCCATATTTGTCGAACGTCTCCCCATGATATTTTCAGTCCATACGTTGACGTACGTCTCTCCATGACATAGTTATAGAGCATAAATTCATCAAATGTAATGATCCTTTGACTATATAGATTTACATTTTAATTGAAACAAACAACAAATAGTACGTACACGATGCAAAGTATGAACGACATTAGAACATGGTTTTGTAATTATAAACGTGTTTTATATCATGCAATTGGTTAGTCGAAGTTGCTATCAACAGATGTGTTTCAGATCAGTACCTGGTCAATGTGCATTTCATTTCTATTTGTCGCTTTCAGCAATGTTACGTAGACAAGTATATGACGGAACGTGGAACTAGTGTGTACGATGCTGGGTGTCGGGCCGTCTCAGTGAGTTGTTGCTTTATTGTACAATTCTTTCTGCTCAACCCTTTCCCTGTCAAAACGATCCCATACCAAGACATATCCGGGGGCATTTAAGTCGATCCTGGACCTGGACCATATTTGCACGATGCAGTATGAAGAAACATTGAGTAACTTCACACAGTCAAACTGACGATTGTCAGCAACATCATATCCTGAGCTATTTATACAAAAATTACAAACGTAGCATTTTTTGTAATATATTGGACTAACTGTCCTCTTTACCGAAGTTGTGAACACATTGCATACGAACACCTGGTGTCATCACTGATATTCAGTGATCCATTCACATAATTTTCACCACTAATTTGAGTTTTACGCCTACCGGAATGTTTCAGAGGATAATCAAGAAACTTTTCTCTAGCGTTGACACCTCAGGTATACATAATACTGCCTTGTATAAAACATATATTGAAATGTGATTGTTTAGTGATGAGCTGAATTATAACTTTACACATGCAGAACATTTTTCCAGATTTGTGCTGCCAAGTTAGGTCGGAGGTCAGAAGAGAAGAGGGTTCCCCCTACCCTCAAGTGTGAGGAGTGTTGCCATGGCAACTACTGTAACAAAGAAGGATGTGACGCCGAGCGTAAGTTGGAAATTAACTCATTACTTGAAATATTAACCTCAAACAATAATCACCACTTTAAAATTTGCCTTATATACTTCATGACATGAAGAAGTAATCTTAGGAAATCTTACTGGGCCAAAATAAATAAATGTTAAAGCATTATCGTCTACTAGAAACATAATATTGATATAGAATCCCAGCTGGGTGGTTCCAATGTGACCATATGCTGTGCAGAGTTGCCTGTTTCAGATCAGTTCACATACTTGATGGTTTTGAACAAAGTGGGAAAGGCCAGAGGAACTGCATCACTTTGCAGACACGCCGTGATATGACTGAAATACTGAAATATTGTTCAAAGCCGTTATAAGTTCATTTCACCCTCTCAACTTTTCATAATTTCCCCCACGTCATATCTTTTTCTAGCTGCGAAAGGCACCGTTTGCTACGACTGTAACTTCATCAGCAATCCCACACTTTGCTACAAGAAGACGACATGTCGAACAACTCAAGTAAATGAATCCTTAATACTCATTGCATGTTAAACTGTTGTGTGTCACCACGGCCAAGGGAAGTGTCTTGTGTACAGTTTATATATGTCAATGTCAATCACACAACACGCTACTTAATAATACCGGATACAATATGAAATTACCTAATGGACGTAATGCGAACTGAATAAAAGCAGTTTCAGACGTCCTCAGGTTGTCGACAAACCGTATGTAGACAGAGACGTCTTGCGTTGTGATATATGAATAAAATGTTTCTCACATGTTTACTTGGATATCTCACCCATAGTTTAGCTAAAGAGCATGGCTTGTTATGGCTAGTTGCGACTTGTCACAAGTTGTTACGACTTGTAACAGCTTGTAACGGCTTGTGACGGTTTCTCACAACTTGTCACGGTTTGTCACTTGTTATGGCTTGTCATGGCTTGTTACGACTTGCATTAATACGCAAGTCGTGTCACCAGATCTTTTGGGACATTATTGTCCTGTTTTCAAATAGTATATGTCCCGTCGTCAGAGCAGACCAGAGAATCCCTTGTCTAACCACGTGACACTTTCCCGGCAGTCTACTCTCATATACCTTGGGACTGATGTTCTAAGTGAGATAGTGACAGTTCCATCAGGTGAAGTAGGCGATACCGTCCAACACAAAGGCACCGCGCCTGAAAGTGTCAAGAGGGTTTTCTTACATGTGGTGCTTGCATGTGAAGTCTGTACATGTTGCGCATATGCTTTCATCATAACATCTTACGGAAATAGACAAAAAGGTGGCATGTGGCACCTACAATAAAAAGATATCTTATCAAATCTATGCAGAGCAATTGGAAAAAAACTTTTATATAAGGGACTGTCTCCGTGGTCCAGGGGATAGAGTGTCTGCGGGCGGAAAGTCGTGGGTTCGATCTCCGGGCCCGTCATACAATATGGTACTTATTGTTACCCTGCCTGGGATAAATTGGGACTGGCCGGCTCGGAGTCCGTATACTGTGTCTGAGTGGTGTATTCATGGTAAACTGCGGCATGGTCTCAGTGGGCTCAGAGTCAGTACACTGTGCATGCACGTCGCTATATGAGTGCAATAACCCTGAACCCTTTAAGTAATGAATACAGCTCAATGTCTTTAACTGTGGTTAAGCAGCATATAATTTTATTATTGCGTGCCTGACTGTATTTTTTGTCGCAATCAATAATAATGAATTGTGTATAAAGGACAGCAGGTTCACATACAATTATAGAATACTGTGGATGTATTATACTTATTACTGTATATTTGTATCTTACACGCACATCTTTCATATTGAACTAGCTAGAAGAAGTGTGCTTGAATATTTTTTTCTATTTTTTTCAGCAATGCTACGCTCAAAAGGTTTTGACAGACGCTTTTGTCATAAAATATAAACTCGGCTGTCTGGATAATGATGTAAGTACTCCCAACAACGACCCTTTTTATTTCAAACCTCTTTCATAATACTATTTCTATTAAACAAAGTATAGCTTAAACTGTGAGCAGGGGGTAATACCTTGGAGGAATATTAGGCTTATAAGACAGTGCCTCCATTCAACGAAGTTACAGGGTTCAACTGTTATTTTGTCGAGGATGGGTTTTGATATAGTCGGAATTGTGCAATCTATTCAGCTTTTAGTAGAGATTTCTTATGATTATGGAAAGGGTTTTGTCGCTTTTACCATTATGAGCTATTTTGATATCAGTGTCATATCAACAGCAAACGCATGTGCCAACATGATCTTTGTAGTTACGTCTTAATGTTGGAGCAAGCACACCAACCTCTTTCACAGTAGAATTCATGTTAAATGAAGTAACTACTTATTGCAAACTATTGCCATTTGTGTAGGACTGTAAGACTCTGCAACGGAAAAAGCGGGACCAGGTTCTATCAACCATGTGCGCCAGCTGCTGTGACGTGGACAACTGCAACAACGACTGCGCCTAACCGAGTGTTTAACAGATGATACAACCAATGTTTGAGCATTTCATGTCTTCTAAAACATGTCCAAGTAAATATGATGACAAAATAAAAGTTATTCACTCATGGTTCTGTATTGCACAAAGGAGGCTTAAAATATAGGGTTGTTTTCATGATTAGATGTTTGTTTGTATATATGAAATGGACCCTCGTGGATTTGCAAAACAAAACAAGGGAAGGTGGCCAAGAAGTTTAACTAAAGCTTCAGGTGTATTGATGATCTGATATCGGTGAACAATGGTTAAGAAGTCAATTCCCTCTTGAACTAGAAAAAAAGAGACCAGTGAATATGCATAACGATTCAGACTGAGAAGAACTATCCACAAGACTGCATTCCAGGAGTTCTAGCCTTTGGTATCAATATTGCACAACTTTTGATGTACAATCTATTCTGAACAACGTCAATACACACATTGTTTGATCATGGTTACAACTTTCAATGCCAATTTTACGCATCAGTGACCAAAATATTGTTTAATGCAATTTCTTACTTTGACCTGTACGATGTGTTCCAGTTTTTGTGCAGGTGCACACTTGTCCTGCCTTTGTACGTGTTTTTCACGGGTTCCACTGTAAAGGGGCGCGGGTGTCCCAGTCGTCTAAGTCGCCGCGATCTGTTGTGTAGGGTTTAATCCATTGGGCACACCAGAAACCTACGATCGTGGTTCGAATCCCGGTTCGACACAATTATGTTTCAAGGTTTTCAGCACCATACTCGAGCTCCTGGATTTACCTAAGTGATAAACGACAGAGAGCATCACTTTGGGCTTCCCTCCCGCATTGATATATATAACTAGAATACTGTTCAAAGCGGCGTCAGACCGAACTCATAGGCATGTGCAATATTATTGGATAGGTTTTGTCCCCAATCATGGATCGCCGCGGTATTATTGGCACACTCACGCACTCACGCACTCACGCACTCACGCACTCACCCACTCACCCACTCACGCACTCATGCACTCATGCACTCTCTCCTGTATATAGTACATGAACTAATATCAGACGAGGTCTGACCGGGGTCACCGATGGCGAAAACTGTTATGAGGCGAGTGAGTGAGTGTGGTTTTACGACGCTTTCAGTAATATTCCGGCAATATCACGGCGGGGGACACCAGGAATGGGCCCCACAGATTGTACCCATGTCGGGAATCGAACCTGGGTCATCGGCTTGACAGTGAACCGCTTTGACCACGAGGCTTCCCGACTGCCCCGTTTTGAGAAGAACCTCAAGAAATATATACAGTTTGATTTACAATGTTCTTTGATAATTTGGGTAATTAGCATAACTGGTGCTTAGTATAAATTCCTTGCGCAAATAACAATTTATATCTTTCTTTTGAACAACGTCATTTTATCGTGCAACACGAGCATCATACACACTGTGTAGATCCGAATGTCTTTACGTACCATTGAGAAACTGAAGTATTGAAACAGAGTTAGTTTTTACACTAAAACTGATCAAAACCTAGAATGACTTTCGGGGAATTAGCCACGGGATCAACACACCTTCAAAGACAAACAGAGAGAGTTTCTCAGGCAAAGCAGGAATGACTAACAGTCGATTAAATATCCCTGGGCGTCGTGGAGCTTTTGACCTCAAAAGCTTGAAGTAACATCAGGTATAATAACGGTAATTAAAGTCTAAGTGTACAATCATAAGATATGATCACATCTAAGAACATGACAACAATGACACGTACTGTTCAGAATGCCCAAATATAATATGTACATTCAATAAGTATAGAAATACACATTGCATCAACTAAAATTGAGGTAGAAGTGATGTTGGGTCCACTACCTTATAATATCCATTGTGAACTAAATGGACATAGGCAGTGAATGGCTGTTTAAAGAGTCGCTGCAGCTTTTGAGCTGTAAAAAATGAGTTGAATGTTGGATGGGAACGGTAAGGGATGTGCTAGTAAGTTTATTTGTTACCATAAAGTCTGTCCAATCAACTGACAGAGTGGGCAATAAACGAGAGTAGCCACAGGATAATCAGACTCCATGATGAACCTTAGAGAAACGAAAGAGAACATGGGACCATTAGATGAGATGACCTGGTTGAGCATGATGTTCTGGCCAGCAACATCTGAACAACCTAGCACTATAAGACACAGAAACGACGTAACTGTAAGAAGGGGTGGTCATTCAACATCTAAGGCAACAGTTAGAAACATCTCAAAGCTAGGTGGGAGCTGATGAAACCTTGGTGTATTATTTAAAGTATTTTCGCCCATTTTTGCGCCTTTTCCCGGACATGGTTCTAGATCTATGGAAGTGTTGGATTGGGTCCTGACTGAGATTGCAGGATGGTTCCCAAGTGGTTTTGGAGTAACCTAACCATTTAATGTGATAGCGTTTGGTGGCATTGACAACTTTGCATTCGAGAATGGGAGTCAACAGGATATGTTTGGTCATCTTGAGATGTGGTGTCTGGCTGTTGTGAGAAGCCGGTACCTGACTGAGATGTAGATGGTGTACTGCCTTGATCAGAGATATATGGCTGTGACTGGACAATCTGTGTGTCTGGATGTGTGTCAACATCATTGCTTGGAACCGGAGGTTGACATCTTTGGTCTTGGACATGATCTGGGAGTCTATTGTTGGGTTGTGCAGGCAATGTGAGGTTTAATCTTGGAAATCCTGCCACCAGGACGTTGCCTCTTCTTGTCCAGTGAACGGACGGAGTTTGACATGTGGAGCTGCCATTTCACTCCAATGAGCTTCAGCAGAGGAAGATGAGCTTGATGGTGGTGATGATGATGAGGAGGAGGAGGATGATGCTCTTGTCACAGCCACTGATGACCTTTGGCTTGCTGCTGATGGTGTTGTCAGTGACGGTGAGGATGGTAGAGGTGAAACCTGTTTGAGCAAGCTGGTCAGGATCGACCTTGGCTCGGGCCTTCGAAGCTTCTCCCTGTAGTTCTGAGGTGTGGCACCGGTCATCTAGGATTTAAGCTCCACCAATTGAAACAGAGTTAGCTTTTACACTAAAGCTGATCAAAACCTAGAATGACTTTCGGGGAATTAGCCACGGGATCAACACACCTTCAAAGACAAACAGAGAGAGGTTCTCAGGCAAAGCAGGAATGACTAACAGTCGATTTCCACCTATATTTATACCTGAGACCTCCTTTGTTAATCTGAAGGCAAGTCTACACGTGCATGTCCAGTTTGAAATTTGAGACTTTGGACTAATAAAGACTGGACATGTTATACAATTTTGTATGATGGGTTTGGTCTGTTAATAGCCAAAGCAGACGGTCAGTTTGGAAAGTTGAGTAATAGAAGATTATAAATGCCGATAGAATCACTCAGCTCGTGTTTGGTTTCGCGTTTTCAATTTTCTAGTTTGGTCAGTTGCAGCTAAATAGCTGATACCGGTGCACTGGTAAGTGCCGAACGCGCTGACCACTACCAGTTGTTATTCAACATGTAATTAATGTTTCGCCCACCGACCTGATTGTGGCGGCGTAAATCTGAAGTGCCAGATGTTGTTATACAATTTCTTATCGCTAGTGTGTACCGACAGGTCTTAAATGGTTAACCGACAACTTATGAATTGAGGGCGAATTTCACAAAAAGTTCAATAAAATATAGCAATTTTAGCACTGTTACAGTATCAACACAGGGTTGAAATGGAAGCCAATAGACGATGAACCCCAACAGGTATTCATAGATATTTACTTCTTTTTTTCTTTGAATGCTACATTAACATAGCCTATTGGCTTAAAACTCGCCGCTGGTAAGGTAAGAAACTGTAACACTTTACAATATATACAAAAAGGTATGTTTGTAAACATCGTACATGTTCTCGTCAGTCTCAGTCCATATTCTTTGTAACATATCCAACATAGCACCCCAGGCCAGGCCACGGCATGCTGCCTGGAGTATTGTACGTCATCTTTCCCGAACGATTATAGATACAGGCAGCTGATTGAATGTTGCTGACTACGACGAACAACGGCATTCATTCATGAGACAGGCGCCAGGCAAACATAGTATATGTTATAACAGGGTAATGAAATGTATTGCACAATTGCTGAACTTAGCAGTTTGGAAGATATTAAAGATAACATATCACCTTTTACCTGTTTGCCCAATGTACCAACTTAAGTCTCAAAACAAAATCATATATGACCCCCCTCAAAACAAATAAAAATTAATTAATTAATATAAAAAAATAAAAAAATAAACAAACAAACAAAAAATTATTAATAGTTGAAGATTAAGTTTTATTTCAATCGAATATACTCAACAGCACGTTTTCAAAGTCTCACTATTCGTGGAACAGGAAGCATTGCAAACACCATCCTCAAGAACGAACAGCTTGCAAGTCTGAAACGAGATAAGATAGGACAATTAGGTGTTGACTCCTTCGCACAAACCTGCACCTGACAGGATATTTCACAAATAGAACAACATTTTTGCTTGGTATCCTTTTAGAAATATTCCCAAAACTCACCAATAGCCTACAGAAGCGCCATGTTCCCGGCAATACTTGTCATAGGTAAGTGTAGCCATCGAGAAAGTTTCCAATGTAAACTAGCCAGTGTTTGTTTTTGTTTGTTTCTTCACGCCGCAGTCAGCAATATTCCAGCTGTATTAAGGTGACATGTAAATGAGGGGTCCTGTCCAGGCACACCAGTGGTTGATATCATGAGTATCATCCTACTCCGTCGGGTCAACCAGGTCACCAAATTAGCCACCCAGTCCAATTTAGTCGTCTACTACGACAAGCAATAGAGTACTACTATTCCCAACGACGTTCCATTGAAAGAACAAGGGATGTTAAAGTGTTACACAAAACCGGCAAATTGGCTATTATTAAACGATATCACATAATCTGAATAATAAAAGCAACAAAAACGTTTCCATATTCATGACAATCCTCTGCTAAAAGCAGAGTCGACTATATGGTGATCATATGTTTAAGAATCACTATCAAATATAGCAATGATAGCAGGTGAAAAGGTAAATGTATCCTGACCCAGAAATGGATCGTTATAAAATCCGAATAAAACATGCTTTCTTCGTAAAATATTTTCTGCTGTTTCAACACTTTTGTTCATAATCGTAGAATTGTCACGTGTTTAACCATGTATTTTTTGCGTTTCAGTTATATCTCTGCTGAATGTTTCAATCTGTGTCCCAAGCGTTCCAATCAATAATAATGACCCAGGTTTGTACACAAAGGACAAGAACAACAACGATGATTACAACATCAACAAGTCAGAGAAGCTTTGCATGATATTAATGAATACAGCTTACAGTTACGGTATCATTCAAGAATATGATAGCAGTATCACGGCGCGAATACCGGAAATGGGCCTTACACATTATACCTATGTTGGAAATCAAACGCAGGCCTTCAACGTAACAAGCGAACAACTAGGCTACCCCAAGGCCTCACTATAGTTTACTGATGTCATCTGTAAGGGGGTGAGTGAGTATGGTTTTACGCCGCTTTTAGCAATATTCCAGCAATATCACGGCGGGGAACACCAGAAATGGGCTTCACACATTCTACCCATGTCGGGAATCGAACCTTGGTCTTCGGCGTGACGAGCGAAAGCTTTAACCACTAGGCTACCCGACCGCCTCTCATCAGTAAGGTCACGATCTGCATGGATCTGATTTCAGGTGGTCATCGCTGTTACTCCTGTGCAAGTGTGGACAATCCGTATCTGTGTAACGTGACCACACAGTGCAGACCTGATGAGGTAGGATCAACTACATGATAGAGTGAACCTGAGCTCAATATCAAGACGGGACGGCTTATTTGAGATTGTGACATGACGTGATACATGCGTATGTCTCAACTTTGGTCAACACGACGTTTCGCAATATATCAGAAATACTGGTCAACACTGTACTGAGTGACATATTTCAAAAACTTGTCAACACAGTACTGTGTGATATATATGATATACTGGTCAACACAGTGTTTCGCAATCTACCCGCAATACTGGTCAATGCGATGTTGCGTAATCGTAACATGTCTGATTTCCTGGTCAACATGATGTTTCGTAATATCTGTTATCTGTATTTCAGCAATGTTACACAGAAGAACATTCAACAAATCGTGGATCTGCTATTTTCAGCGTCGGGTGTCGAAGTATTTCAGTGAGTTTTAAGATACATGTACCAATATTAATATATTTTAAATGTCCCTTTATTTGACATCGGTTTGACGGTAACTCATTGACTTATACAATAGTCAATGGAGCCCTCAATTACCAATATATATAAATTTAGAATATGATTTGTCATTTTTTGCAGATTACCATTATGTAACTGTGATGTCACCTAAAATAGCATTCATTCGCTCACTCACATTTATCTCATCTGTGTACTTGTGCATGACGAAGGAGGTGGACTCAATTCGAAAAAATAGTATAATTCGAGTCAGAAAAGTTCGACACAATAATAGAACACCAGTAAACAACATTTATGGCATGTTCCAGGAATGCTACTCGGCATTCCACAGAAGATCTGACTCCGGTAGGCGTGACGTGAAGGGACTCAAGTGTGAGGAGTGTTGCGATGGCAACCTTTGTAACGCCGGCGGTTGCAGTGCAGGAGGTATGTCAGATAATACCTTGTTTGGTTACATCTGTATAAAACAGGCTGGTATAAATATCATACTTCAGATCTATCAAGTACTCATACTTTATATTATATCTGTGTTATCTTGCACGTGCACTCTAAATTCTTCAAGTACTTGCAGTTGGCAAGGGCAACGTGTGCTACAGCTGTCGCTTCATAAATGATCCACGACGTTGCGTATATGAGACCAGATGTCAGGCTGATGAGGTATGTTGATAATTTCACCCCCTGCCTTTGTAGTAGTAGGTAGAAGTAGTAGCAGTAGAATTAGTTCGTCACGCCGAAGACCCGGGTTCGATTCCCGACATGCGTACAATGTGTGAAGCCCATTTCTGGTGTCCCCCGCCGTGATATTGCTGGAATATTGCTAAAAGCGGCGTAAAACCATACTCACTCACTCACTCCTCTCCACCAAAACTCCATCAAGAGCCGACACTGACAAACGTTTCAGAAGAGTGAAAGTCATTTTGCGCCATAGTCAGCAAAAAGCCAGTGTCTGAAAACATCCACGCCACCGAAGCTCGACTACACGCAATCAACCACGTCACTCGGCCATAACATTCAAATCAGTCGACCTTTAATGACCAGCAGAGCAGTAGAAGTAGTAGTAGTAGTAGTAGTAGTAGTAGTAGTAGTAGTAGTAGTAGTAGTAGTACACATCTGATAAACCACATTCAGTGTCCTATATGAATCTATGCACAAAATACAAAATGACGACAACCTTTGTACCAAGCTGTATGACAAAGGAACGTTTATATCCCACAGTATTACATTTACCTTCACAAGGAATTCTCAGGCTGGATGCAGCATTAGGCACCAAGCAAACACTTACATTCTAATACAAACTTTGTGAATGGCGGGTGTTTCAGCAGAGCAGAACTTGCTTCCATTAACATTATTTTCACCACCACCATTTTGTCTTTCACGCGCTATGGATTCTGTTTGGGCAAATATAGATTAATAGACTGAATCCCCTGTGCTTCTATTGAGCACAATAGAATGATGACTCAAGGTCCATTTTGTAAATGTGACAATAAACAAGAAACATGAAACTGCATGCTCGAAAATGTAATGAAAAAAAATCAAGGAAAATAGGAGAATTAATTTACTTTTATCTACATTGAAATTTCGCTGCAGACATGACTAATGTATTCAGTCACATCATCAAAGACAACATCTTGCAAAATATTTCATAATGCATCCAAATGGGTCTTTTCACGGGCTTTAAAGATTACTTTTTTTACAAAAAACACGACATTACCTTTGCTCATCAATATTTGCCTTGTGTGTATAATAAGCAGTATGTTTCTTTCAACAATAATAGGGAGAGAAAACATTATATGTTATTAATAACTATGTCTTTTAAATTGAATAAGATCAATGTTGTTAGTTGCTACGTGATGTTATATAATATATATCTTGTATTTACCATTCCCAACAGAACTTTCATTTCATTTCAGCAATGTTATATAGCGAAGGTGTTGACTCAAAACTTTGCTATCAAGTATATCCTTGGATGTGTTGAAAACGCGGTGAGTAAAACACTGGTCAATGAAATACAGTGTAATTGGTGAGAAATCATTGCTTCATTTCGCAGTATTCCAGTTTTGATTAGGGAGCGATGCAACAAAGATGGACTTTACGCGCCGTGTAGAGAATTTAAACCGGGTCTTCGACACCATATCAACCCATTGAGTACCTGTATCGTAGGGAATCCGGCTTTTAATTGGTCCCTTTCAACATGTGCTTGTCGTATTAGGCGGCTAAATGGATCGGGTGGACAGACTTTGAGACTTGGTTGATTGCGTGTCATCGTATCCCGACGGCGTGGATCGTTGCTCATGACATCAATCACTGGGTTGTCTTGTCCAGAGCCTTGTCCTTAACACGCTGCCCACATATATAGATGGAAATAGTGCGGCGTAAAACTACAAAAAAAACTTGACTTCCCCCTTACTCCTGTATCAACGAATGGCCCATAAAAAATAGATTTCCCAGACATTTCGACCTCATCACCCTGGAGTATGTATATTGTCGTGCAGCACACTGATACTGACATATGACGTCATACATTTTATGACGTAACGTATTTTAATATTTCGTCATTTTAAAGGATACATTACCTCTATGTGACGATGTACAGGGTCTGTGAGTAGTAGATCTACTGAAGATATGACCGTGTGTCTAAGACATTGTTCTGGTGTAGGAATGTGAGACTCTAAACCATTTTGGACCGCCTGTGGGGAAGCGGGACACGGCGATCTCAACCATGTGTGCTAGCTGTTGTAATGGGGATAAATGCAACGATGTATGTTTCCCCCAAGGTACGTGTCAACAGAAAGGCTTGGCGAAAATTGACTTTCTCGATCCCTTTTGTCTCGTTTCCAAGTTGTCGCCATATTTGGTAGGCATTGTATCGACCTGACATTGCGAATCCTATGTCACGGGGACTATGTTCCAACCATGTTGCTATCTTACAGAATAAATTGGCTTTCGTCAGGTTTAAACCTTTAAAATATTCCCATTATGTTGGTCGTAATGTGTGGTACATTTTTTGTTTTTTGAATGTTGAGGCACATGTTCGAGTAACATTGCCTATAACGTGTCATGTTTTGGTGAATGGTGACATGATACCCGTAAGAAACTACATTATTAATAACAAAAGGCATTTCGATGAAGCACTTAGGAAATGTATTGTGACAAACAACTGTACAATGGTTGAATTGATTTATTTGTGAGGGGAGGTTGTTATAATTCCTCAAGGCTGTGATTTAGGAGGAGTGTCTCCTTTCCCTCTGGTAGCAACATGCACATTCTTTGTGAAACAAGTAACTATATATGCAACTGATGTTTCTAGAAGACAACTTATGTTGACATTATGTTCCTAATATTCGTCACCAGGTATACCACCAACGTCTTTAACAACCCCCAAGCATCACTCAACCACCCAGAGATCATATGTAACTACCAGTTCTTCCATGACCAGCTATACAACTTTCGTTGAATCAAGTGGGGTGCGAACTACAATGCCTCCAATGACTAAAGATACAACAAGCAGGACATCATATACAAGTACTTCACGGACTAAAGATACAACTGTCACAAGTGCTGTGCCATCTACAAGTCCTTCAACGACTAAAGACACAACAGTCTTTCATACAACAAGCGGGACACACTCTAGTCTCATTCCTCAATCCAGTGTTTCTGCATTTAGTACCATGGGACATACAGTAAAAATATCCCCACTGACAAGCACCACACCATCAAAGACGACCCATGGTAAGCATTTAAGCATCATTCCTTGAACGATATCTAGTTCTGTACATATTTCCTCCCCTTTAAGTTAACATATATAACGTCCTGTGTGTATGTCTCTGATGTTATATAACTAAATAGTCGTATTTATTCCAGGCACAACCCCTGGAAATGAACCTTTGTCGAGTAAGTAACTTCATTCCACATTACCTCTTATTTTAATGAGGCGACTACATCTACATTTCGTCTCCTATACAACATAAGACAGTGTCGTGAACAAAGTAGACATTATATTTCAAGATCGCTTTACATTAACTATATATGTAATCCATGGAAATGCATTCGAAATGCATAGAGGACCTTTTACTAAAGTTGAATCTTTGCTCTTGCATTGGTGCTGATTGTGGTTCTGGTTGTACATATTCACTTACTCAAACATGTTAAACATATATGCAATCTAACTGCATCTTAACAATGCCAACCAACTACACCCCAAAAATGCAACCGTGCCACATCTTCATACATAAGGATCCAATGGCCAATCTCATATGTTATATCTGGACAAACAGGCAAAATATGTATGTAAACAAATTGTAGAGCGATGAAATGTTAAAGACGTAATATTTGTTTTATTAAAACTGTTATTCTTGAGACACTGCAAATTCAAATATGTTTCTTCATGGACTCTTCCAAACGTATAAATGTAGAAATGTATATACACGAACCAGCATTTCTTGATTTAATTTAAATCTTTTGAGAGTTGATTGATAATTCTGACCCTCAAATTGAAAGATTTGTATTCAACATATTCCCCTTTCAGAATAGAACACTTTTGTCAACGACGTTGGAAGGATTATATTCCAGTTTCGCAGACGACAGTTCTCTTGACTTTCTAAAACGTCATGCACAGCTATTATGCCATCATCGTCAGCTGAAATGTCTGTGATGTGTTTGTGCATTGTCCCGATGGAAGGGCACACCTTTTCCCAGCTTCCCACGTCTCGTAGACTCAATTTCATCCTGTAGTTGCCTCAAAGGTGCAGCATAACATGCTCCGTTTATCTCCTGGTCTTTTGGAAGTGTTATGTTGTAGAAGCTTTAGTATAAGCTGTATGTGTTGATTCAAAGTGGCAGTAATTTGATTGAGGCGCCTGTACAATATCGTGTTTTGGTTGTGACCTTGACAAATATTAATATAGTGACCTCCCTTAGTTGTTTATAGTCCAAATTCCTTCCAATCACTTGATACCTTCGTTACACTGCCGTATACAGATCTCCGCTGTGAGGAGCCTGGTCACATGCTTGCACTTATCAATATTGGTTTCGATTACGCGGTTTGAGACGTTTCTGGAAGGCTGGCTGTACTCAGTCTGTATAAGTGCGAGATGAGTGCGATTCGAGGACTCCTTCCACAATCTTTTTGGCGACTTATTTTTTCCTAGCGCGGACGGGACGCGCATCTGAAATTGTCTGCTTCCAACACTGTTTCTTGGAATCAAGAACGGAGCACGTACCTCATATAAGACATGTGTGCACTGGCCAAGATACTAGGGTCTGTTATTTATTGCTGTTGCAACATATTTTGACGCATAGTGTTGTCTTTTATGATTGAAAACCTAATCATGTGTGTTTCAATACAATTTACTGATCTTGTGTGGTTACCTATCATTTCAGGATTTGGTTCTTTACATTTCGCGTCTTCAATTTAGGAATCAACAAGTAACAAAAGATAGCCCATCATAGTCGTAACATCGGCATTCGGGGGAAAAGAGGCCGTAACCATTCCAACTGATGGGACAGTTTTGTCTTCTTTGGTGGTGGTGATGTCAATAGCTCCCAAAGTTGTAGTTGTTTTAAAGGGGTGAACCCAGGTTTCACACCTAGTTACATATGGTTGGAAGAACCTATCTGGATCAGCTTCATACTATGTGAGTTTTTTATCAGATGTCAGAAGCTTTGGAATCCAACAAGCTGTTTCTTTCTTCATTGCCAAAATGATATTGGTACGTACTCTCTCCTACTGAACTAGCAGTATGACTTGGTCATTACCAACTCGTGGATTCTGGGGATGACTGTTACACTCATATCTTCATGAACGGCGTTTGATGTTAAGCCCTCTTTTTATCACTGCACGTTCCACCAGTGTGTCTATTATCCAAAGGCCAAAGACCTCTGCTTATTTCCACTGACTTGTCACAGCACAACAATTTGCTCAATTTACTCTAGATTTTGTAGATGTTCCTCTTTGAACTATGCAATGACCATAATAAAATATTTCACTATTACGCAATTCCATTACGCAAAACTTATCCGTCAACCCTCGTAAAAGTCATCATGTTGTTTCCTTGGCCATTTCTATGTAGCTATGTTTGTTTGTGATTGGCAGCTGTGTGTCACAAGGAATGTGCCGGATCAATGGAATGCCATACGACTGATGTACAGTTATGCCGCAGCCCAACTCCTTACTGTTTCACACAATTAGATATTTACGATTCAGGAAACTATAATATAAGTAAACGGTATGTATTCGATCTCCTAATTTCCTATTTATATTAATAAAAGTGGCATAACCCTTTCCATAATCACTCCATCAATCAAATGCCATTTCCATAATCTTACGTCGTTCAAACTTCCTTTGTACGAACCGTTTCGTCGGATTCTCGAGACTTGTTAATTTCAATTTTTACACTTTAATCATTTGCTCAATCACCAGCTCACTAGTGTTTTGATTGTCGGTGCTTGTACTAGTCCGGACTAAAGCCGATTTTATAATGCTAGCCCACTGAGATACCATGCCGCAGTTTAACATGAATATCCCACTTTGACAGGGTATACGGACTCCGAGCCGACTGGTCCTTGTTTTAGCCCCTTAATGCTGAGTGCCAGACAGGGTGACAACACATACAATCTTTAAACGTCTTTTGGTATGACGCGGCCTGGGATAGAGCCCCCGACTTTCAGCTTTCGGGGTAGACGCTCTGCCACTAAAAGATAACACATTAAAAACACTATAGCTATATAATATGTATAATGATGACCACCTGAGACAGTGGGAACAGGCTAAACATATCACCGCATACACGTATAGCTGTGTTTCTTCGTGAAATGATTTGAATGTATTCAATGCTAGTCTCTTTTTTTATCACCAGCTGTGCAGACAGAAACACGTGCAATGACAAGTGGTTGAAACAAACGCAAATTGATAATCGATGCCTGCACTTCAATCCGGGGATGAAGGAAACCTTAACCTGCTTCTTCTGCTGTACATCTCACAAATGTAACATGCAGAGCTTCCCACCATATATGTCCTCGCTTTATAAAGCAAATGATGAGTTATAAATCTGAATCTAAACTGTCAGGCAAACGAGAGTATACACTTGAAAATTGTAATTTACCAAGCTACAAACTTTGTCAAAATGTCGATGAAACAGTGCAAACTTAAGGTCAAAAACATAACATGGCATCCGTATTACATACATAACCATCGAATAACCATTTTTTACTTCTTCTATTTTAAGCCACCATCAAACATTGGTGTATACTCCCTTTTTCCTGGCAGTTTATATTGAAAATACCCGTGTGTAAGCTTGCCAAATAAACTAATAGAAATAAACTGAACACAACGTGGTTTGCTTTCACGTCACGATGCTGTTGTGCTGCTACAGCGATGATGCGAACATATTCAAGGGTCACCTAGAAACCGATTTGAGATATATGAGTACCTCAAATATGATGTCCTGCAGGAAATATAAGGATTTGGTCATGTCTATGTCTATGATGTTCGTCATATTTCCAAACTACATTTAAGTTTCAATTTCTCCCTCTCCATGATTATAACTACCGCCGTATTTATATTAATGATATGTTACCGTTGCTTATGACTACGTGTCTTTAAGAACGTTACAGCCGTACAAGAATTTTAATGAACATGTATCAACTATCAGCTATAAGGGAAAAGATACTACCGAGAAATACAGTACCGAATTTACACTGAAAGGCGCACATAAGACATTACCTGAATGCAATGGCCAGCCATGAGTCCTGACCTTTCCTCGTCTTGGGCATGATAGGCAGACGTTCCGTAGCACCTCGCACCACACCACACCACACCACACCACACCACACCATCACACAACACCATAGCAAAGCACGCCACGCCACATCACACCACAGCACACCACACCACACCATCACACAACACCATAGCAAAGTACGCCACGCCACGCCACGCCACGTAAAATGTGTTCGCGAAAAAGTGAGTGTATCCTGCACCCCCGATGGTACCCGTCACCAACACATGCAAAGGCAAGTCAAATCTTCACCTGACAAAATAGGGAATTGCATCCGACATCATTTTTTCACTGATGCGTCAATTTTGGGGACTCTACCATAAAAACTTTTAAGCTTTACTGAGGCCTTGAATGTTGTAACCTTGATTAAACAACTTCTGAGCAAAAGTCGTATGCCGCTCTTAGAAATCTTGGTAGAAAGAGCATGCTCGATTGTGTGTCAAAAGTAGTGAAATGTGAACACCAAAGGCTGGAGCTGCTGGAATATTGCTCGACATGAAGGGATAGTTGACTATTGGAACCCTCTTGTCTTGTCTTGTGGAGAGTGTTTGTCACTCTGAATCTTTATGCATAGATCTATACTGAACCGCAAAAGAAACGTCACACCAAGTAACATTGCATGAAAATTTGTCATTTAAATATCTGGGTAATTGTTATCAAATTTTCTAAAATTTAACATTACCTTGTCCGAAAAAATGAAATTTGATTAAAAAAACAAAGCAGATGAAAATAAAAGCAATCGCCCAAAACGCATCACGGCAACGGCCATGGTAACCCGATGCACGTGAGTTCCGTGCAAATTTAAAATTCATATGCGTTCTCAAATTTCTTGCCCTATAAAATAAGGGCCCAGTTCGGATAACATTCATTCGTTATTGAATTGCTACCACATGCCAAGATTGACAAGAAATCAGCGACACCAAGCCCTTGACGATTGCAAACTGGACAAACCGCCCGGCAAGTAGCCAATGCATTTCAAGTCCACGTAAGGACCATATACAGGCTCCAGCAACGGTACCAGACCACCAACACTACAGATGAACGACCACGTAGTGGAAGACCAAGGGTCACCACCCGACGTCAGGATCGTCAGATTGTGCGACAGCATCTTCAAGATAGCTTTGTTACTGCTGCGGAAACTGCTCGACACACCATGGGGACACACCAGCGACACATTAGTGCGGACACCGTGCGTCGTCGATTGACGAGCAGGACCCATTCTGACACCACGTCATCGAGGGGACCGTCTTCAGTGGGCAACCCAGCACCAGCATTGGCGCCACCAGCAGTGGAGACGAGCCCTCTTCTCAGACGAGAGCCGTTACTGTATCTTAACAAAAGATGGCAGGGGAACGTTATTCGGATGCTTGTGTTGTTGAGAGAGACTCGTTGGGGTGGTCCGAGCATCATGGTGTGGGGTTGAATTGGTCTCGCACAGAGGGTCGGCCCTGTGGTCTTCCAGAACATCGGTCCAGGATGAGGCAATGGTGTCACAGCAGCTCGGTACATTTATCAAGTCTTGAGACCACACGCCATATCTCATTTGGCACGTGGCCGCAACCACGAGTTTCAGCATGATAACGCCCGTGCCCACACTGCGAGAGCAACAAGAGACTACCTCCAGCAGAATGGCATCAGAACCATGCAGTGGCCTGTCCCGATTCAAATCCCATTGAGCACATGTTGGAAGAGATTCAAAGACGATTGAATGACGTCCGACCAAGGCCGACAACTGCAGCTGAACTGAGTCAGGCATTCCTCAGAGTGTAGGCTCAAGTGCCTCTGGCCTTCATCAACCGCATCATCCATTCCATGTATCGACGTTGCCCGGCAGTCATCAGTGCACATGGCGGACACATGAGATACTGACTTGTGATTCCAATTTTTCAGAGACTAGTGTTGTGTTTCACTTTAAGAACATTTGTCACTTTAATTTCAACCTTGATGATCAGTTTTGCCAAGTTTCATCTTTTGTAATATGTCTCAAAGTATGTTTACATTGTTTGGACAATTAAGGTTTCTCCTATATCTATCCATGGGTATGTTTGTATTGCGGTTCAGTATATATATGAAACAGATTAGGCTGTTTCACTGGTCTCCTTTTATTCTAGTTCAGGTGAACAATTCTCAGTGACTACTTGTATCTTGATCCTCATATATAAATTTATTATGCCTCAAAGTGATATTGACCAATCAGAGAGCAGAACTACTAACCCCACATGAGCCCGTATACCGTCAGTAAAAATCCAAGATATAAATTAATTAATTCAACACATAAATAGAAACTGACCACAATGAAATTATAAGAAGCATGGATTACCCATGTACATATTCAATACCATGAATTTGAGAATATCGAAGCAATATCGAAGCAAACGTGTCAACTTAACCTCAGGCCTGCTCAGTGTTTATCTAATTATCCTAGCATATGTCCTAAAACAGACGTCCAAGGCGCCACGATTCGCTGTGCAGAAACCTATGATTGTGGGTTCGAATCACGGTTCACCCCGATTATGTTTCTAGGTTTGTCAGCACCATACCCGTCCTCGTGGGTTTCACCGAAGTGGTAAACATCTGAGACCTGCATCACTTCGGGCTTTCCTCCCACATTAAGCTGACACGCCGTTATATAACTGGAATAATGTTAAAAGCGGCGTTAAACCCAACGCACTCACTCACTCCTAAAACAACATTTTATAGAATGCGAAAATATCAGTTGCTAATGGTAGAAGACTAAGCTAAATTTAGACAAGTTGAATATAGACAACTTCACGTTTCCAAAGTAGCGCTACGCGTGGATCAGGTTACAATGTATATACAAACAATACCATCCTCAAGAACGAACAGCTTGCATGTCTAGTACGAGATAAGATAGGACAATTAGGTGTTGACTCTACTGCGCAGAAAGCTGCACCTGACAGGATATTACACAAATAGAACAACATCCTGTTTTCTATGGTATCCTGGTAGACATATTTATAAGGACGTATACGTGAACTTCTGACGATCAATCGGAGACAGAACTCACCAACAGTCTAAAAAGACGCCATGTTCCCGGCAATACTTGTCATTGGTGAGTGTAGCATCGTGAAAGGTCCCAATGAAAACTAGTCAGTGTGTTTTCAGGGCATGTGGACCACAATGAATTTGTTTGTTATACATGTTTGTAAACTGTTCCAGCTGTATCAAGGCTTGAAAATGAGTGCGAATCAGCCAGGCAAACCAATGGTGGTCATGAGCATAATCCCACGCTATCGGTTAAACCAAGTCGCCGAACTTGACCATCTAATCTTATGTAGTCGTCTCTTAGGACAAGCAATATAATATTAGGTACTACTTCTAACATAGAAGTCGCAATATGGCTGTAATGATGCCGATGCGACGTTAAATTATAACTCACTCACTCCAACACAGAATCCCGCGGAATCCCTTTCAAAGGCCCTCACATTGGTGTTATAGTAATGACCGGTAGCTTGATGACTGTCACGAGCACAACAGTATGGTATTTTCCAACTGTGTCCTTTGACTTACTGTTGAAAAAACGAGTGATATTAAAGATGGTCATCGAGCAATGTCTGAAGGATGGAATGCCTGATGGAACACGTGACCTACATTGTAACGCCACACTGAAATTCCTATTTCTGCAGAGAAGTACCATAATTTGATTAAACGTACATGGCCAAACAAACATCTCCGGTAAACAGTCCATAGTACCCTTTGTTTTTGTCATATAGTCTACACGCAAGCCGTTTATAAAATGGCTGTTCGATGTATATATTTACACTTTTTTGGTAGTATTGCAATCAGCACTGTGTCTTTCTGTACAAATGTGGCTGAAAATATGTGGACAAAAAGTCGAAAGTTATCACAGTGACAGTGACAGACACATGATCATTATCAGAATAAAAACAAATCGAGCAGGAATTTCGATCAGAGGATTCTTGCAACTGAAGGTGAGGTGAAATTGGGTTTAATGTCGCATCCAATATTATTGCACTTATATAGCGACGTGCATGCACGTGTATGTGTGTGTGTGGCTGCTTGTACTAGTCCGGACTGATGCCGATTGATAGTGCTAGCTCAATGAGATACCATGCCGCAGTTTAACATGAATACTGAAGGCTTCGTGTGTCTCACGCTGGTCAGCTGAGCCAGTCCAGAATAGGAAACAATACGGAAACACACACAAGGCGAGGAGCCAATGGTTTTGTGACATGAAATGTACATACTTATACCTATGATGAGTTCATAAGTTTTCCATGTATATTCCTTGGGACGTGTCAAACTGACGTTCTTTGTATTTAGGGACATATAAATTGTCCATAGAAGAGAATACCCAGTCTAGATTATCTCCCGAAACAAATTCAATTTGGCGTAAAGGGCAAAATAGCTGTCGAAAGTATATAACTTCCACAGAAAATTAGTGATGGGTCGTTCTAAGATTGGATGATTGAATGAAACCCATCTCACTTTCTTCGTACCATATTTTCTGCACTATAAACACCTTTGTTATCAATCGTAGAAATGTCACGATGATTTTTTTTTTGATTACAGTTTTATCTCTTCTGAAAGCTTCTAGCTGTGCCCCAAGCGCTCCGGTCAGTGGGAATGACCCAGGTGTGTACAACAACGACGACGACGACGGCGACGACAACAACGACATTAAGAGAAATATGAATACAATTTACAATTATTGCATTGTCACCGGAGACATCTGAAATGATCTTTGCACATTGTACCTATTTTAGGAACTGAACCCTGGCCTTCCACGTAACAAATGAACGATTTAGCAGCTAGGCCACCCAAAAACATATATTCAACCATAATACTTGACTTTAGTTTACTGAGGTCACCCGTAACATCACGTGAATCTATGTGCATGGATCTGATTTCAGGTGGTCATCGCTGTTACTCCTGTGCAAGTGTGGACAAACCGTATCTATGTAACGTGACCACACAGTGCAGACCTAATGAGGTAGGATCAACTTTGTGATTCAGTGTACCTGAGCAGAATATCAAGAAGGGACATATAACTTGAAATCAATTGTGGCGTTAGATGTTGTGTTCATGATAGGGTAAATCATCCACGAAACATATGGATTTAAACTTGATCTGCATAAATGGTTCACTCATTTGTCTAATACATACGTTGTTAATCCCGAACCCGATGTAAAAGTTAAGTAATCAAGTCATCTTATCAACCTTTAATATATATTATTTTTTTCTGTTCTCAAAGGAAATCACTGTTACTGATGTTCATTTATAAACTGATCGTGTTATCGAATAACTCCACTTGAAATGTGAGCACAAAGTTGATGCTTGGTCAACTGGTCAAAACTGTGTTTCGAGATGTATCAGAAATACTGGTCAGCACGGAGTTTTCTAATATATCTGAAAAACTGGACAACTCTGTGTTTCGTAATATAATTGAAGTACAGGTCAACGCGATGTGCTGTGTGATATTTCTGAAATATTGGTCAACATTGCGTTTTGTTATGTAAATGAAATACTGGCCAACGCGGTGTTTCGTAATGTATGAGAAATATTTGTCAAGGTTATATTTTATAATATGTCTGAAATCTGGTCAATGCGGTGTTTTGTAATATATCTGAAATACTGGTAAATGTGTTGTTTCATAAAATAACTCAAATACTGGTCAACGCGGTGTTTCATGAAATAACTGAATCCCGGTCAATGCATTGTTTCATAAAACGACTGAATTTATTTGTCAATGCAGTGTTTCATAAAATAACTGAAATACTGGTCAATAAAATAACCGATTTTTTTGTCAAGGCGCTGTTCCATAAAATAACTGAAATACTTATCAAAGCAGTGTTTTGTAATAAACCTGAAATTCTGGTCAATGCCGTGCTGGGTGATATATGTGAAATATTAGTCAACGCTGTGTTTCGTAATCTGTTTAAAATCTATGGTCTAAGTAGTGTTATATGATATATCTGAAATAATGGTCAACATGATGTTTCGCAATGTATCTAAAATCCTAGTCAACTCCACCAGGTGACCTGTTCCATAATATATGTATGACGACAAACAATGGGAAAGACACACTAATAGATAATGGGCTTGTATCTCTAATGCTTGAGGTGGTTACCATTGTTGGCTGCGGACATGAGCGATAATAGTGTTTTCTTGGTTGATATATACCATGTATCTCTTATATCGTCTTATATTTCAGCAATGTTACACAGATGAATATTCAATAAATCAGGGATTGAGTTATTTCAGCGTCGGCTGTCGAAGAGTTTCAGTGAGTTTTATAATATATATGCCATTATTAAAACCTTTAAGATGCACTAATTGTGCTCCTCGTCATGCTCATCTGTTTCTTTATACACATTTTGTGTTTGCATGGAATTAAAAACAAAGAAAATAAGCCAAGAAGTGTAGCTTCCATTTCAGGTATATGCATGACCTGCTATCGCCCAACAACGATCAAATAGCCTATTCACTTTCACCGATTTACCCACTTGAACAAGAAAAAAAAAGAGGCCGGTGAAATTTGTTTCATATTTTGACAAGAGGGTTGACTTCAACTTTCAAATGGTCAACTTTCACTTTATGTCGAGTTAATATCCAATCTTTGGTGTCTACATTTCATAACTTTTCAGGTACAATCGGGCGTCAAACGAGCGTCATACGACTCTTGCTCAATAGTTGATTGATCAGGGTTACAGCATTAAAGGCCCCAGTATACCTTTTGAAACATTTTATGCTGGAATTTGGAAAACATTTCTAAATTTGAAACATCAGTGACAAAGATGATGTCCAAATTGTGACTGGTACTTTATATTTTCCATGTATTTCGGGTGAACAAATGAATTGAGTTTGCATGTGTTTATGTTTGAGGGAGTCACGGGCGGGGCAGGTGACGTTCACCTTGTTTGCGAACACCTGCTATCATTACTTCTTGTAAGTGATTCACAAACACATGCTTTTGTTGTAGTCGAAATCGTACAATGGACTTTCTTAGGATTATGGAAATGGTTTGCTTTTATTTATTGTAATCGGTTTGGCGGTTACACATTTACCTATACAAGAGTCAACGACGCCTTCAATTGCCAACGTATACCTGATATGATCACTTAGATTGTGCTTTAACGTGAGACGATATGTGAAAAATACATTACCTTCAAATTGAATTCGACGTACACATTCCTTCTTATCAATTAGTCAGTCAATCGATGTTCATGTTGCTGAGCAGGCACACTGTACAATAAATAGTTACATCTGGTAGAGGTTATATCCTGCCCATCTTCCCGAGGCAAGAGAGTTAACTGACTTTAAAAGTCCAGTTTCCAGTGGAAACTGGAGTTTATTGTCAGTTAACTCTCTTGCCTCGGGAAGATGTATCCTGCCATACATGTGATGATTCATATTACAAGGGGGCGCGCCAGAAACTTATGATTATAGATTCGAATCCCGGTTAGCCCCGATCACGTTTCTGTGTTTGTCAGCACCATACCCGTGCACGTGGCTTTCACCAAAGTGTTAAACGTCTGAGACCCACATCACTTCGGGCATTCCTCCCACATGAAGATGAGACCTTTCAATCGCGCACTGAAAATGACTCAAGTTTTTATTTTATGGTCCGCCATGATGTTACTGTGATGTTTCTTACTGCAATGTACTGCAGTGTTCATTCGCTCAGAACAATTTATTAAGGATATTTAATTATATATGACGAAGGAAGTGCATTTAGTTCGACACAACAATATACTTCGAGTTAGAAGAGTTGGACACGGTACATGTATGGTGCTTTCCAGGAATGTCATGCTGCACTCGTCGGGAGATCAGACCCCAGTAGGCGTGACGTGAAGCGACTCAAGTGTGTGGAGTGTTGCCATGGCAACCTTTGTAACGCCGGCGGCTGCAGTGCAGGGCGTATGTTAGATAATACATTGTTTGGTTATATCAATCTGTAACATGACCACATATACATCATACTACAGGGCTATAGATTACGAGTAATATTACGTCTGTGTTTTCTTGCACGTGGAATCTGCGCATTCTTACCACGCTTGGTGATTTGGTTGATTGCGTGCGATATATTCCACATACTATCAATCACTGGATGGTTTGATCCAGATCAAGACTGCCTCCGTGGTCTAGTGGTGGAGTGTCCACCCGGAGAGCGGAAAGTAGGGGGTTCGATCCCCGGCCGCGTCATACCACAAACACGTTAAAAGATGGTATTTGTTGTTATCTTACCTGGCGCTCGGCATTAAGGGACTAAAATAAGGCTTGGTCGGCTCGGGGTCAATATATTGTCTCTGATAGAGGTTTTCACGGTGTGGTATCTCAGTGGAACATAATCGTGAACGAGACGTTAAACCTCACTCATTTCACCTCTCCTCGCTTGTTCCAGATTCGAGTATTTACAGGCCGCTGGGCGAACTGTTGAGTGCGTCTTAAAGAGCACAACACAGTCCAGTCAGACTCAGCCTTTGTGGCAGAGTGATTTGGTCCGCCTTGCGTCACTTCTCAGAACTTTCCAGACACAATTATCTGTCACACAATAATCACCTTTCCCTTCAACACAGATTAAAAGTTATCATGACCTTAGAGGTTGAATTAAGGTCTAATTGTTAAGTATTGTCTACATTTATACTTTAAGATATTAACACGGTTTGGAGTAACATATTTATCATTCAATTAGGCCCCTTGTTACATATAGTATTTATCATATTTATACTTCAAATGCATTATCATTTTTCCATGGATTTATTGTTTTTGGCTTTTTTGTAATTATACAAAAATCGTAATCCAAAAGTTGTAAAAGTTGCAAACGTGGTCATATTTTGATCAACACAGTGTGAGCCAGCTCTTTAAACCAAACATTCAACAAATGACTTTCTTTCAATGGTTACTTGCAGTTGGCAAGGGCAACGTGTGCTACAGCTGTTCATTTATAAATGACCCACGACGTTGCGAGCATGTGACCAGATGCCAGGCTGATGAGGTTTGTTGATGAGTGGACCGTCGTCCTCGCCTTGTATAATTATTATTATACACTTGGGGTACCCTTATCCGATGTCCTATATCGATCTATGCACAAATTCAAAATGTAGTGTGACAAGAGGTGTAGTTTTACAGTAGACATTCAGAGAAATGTACTAAATAGAATATGTCGCATTTGAACATGATGTGCGATGTTGTCTGATGCTATGACCTTTTCAGGGAGTTTGCAAAGGTTCTTACCCACATGCACTCACTGACATGGATCGGGTGGCTAGACTTGGTGCTTTTGTTGATGAGTCGTAGCTTGCTGGACCATCTGGTCTAGACTCGATTGTTTTCTAGCCCCTGTCGTATGACAGAAGCAGGACATGCTTACTCTTCTGTGTGTCATCATGATTTCCAGTGTTTCATTCATAATGTAAATCACTATTTTGTCTTTGACGCTATGGAATCTGTTTCCGCACATATAGACTGATACAACTTTAAGCTAAGTATGTGAGTTGTGCATGCGAATGGTGGAGGAGGACATGCTTACCATCGAAAATACTTGGTGTCATCACCGATTGTAAAATTCTCATCACTATTTTGTCTTTTCCGCGCTATGGAATCGGCATATATAGATTGATGGAATGAGGTCACCGTCCCTCCACTGAACACCTCTGGCCGGTGGGATGAGTCACATTTGCATTATTTGCACATAAATTGACACGCCTACACTGTCAGTAGCAAATCAACGGAGAGTAGGATCAAAACAATGTTCATTGGACCTGTCAATTAAGGCAAGATGCCAAAAGAACTGCAACAGTCAGACTGTAACGAACAGGAAGAAATATGTCCGGGAGAAGGCGGCTGTTTCGAATAACATGGTCAGTTACAACCAGATTCAAACATTACTTCCGGTAAAACACAGTTGGAAAAATGGTAGTCAGAAATGAAACCCGAAGACATGAAAGTTGAACCGAGGCGAGCGGGAAAAATACAGGCGAGCGAGCCTGCACAGTTGCTGCTTCACTCCGCAGTAATAAATGTAGTGCGCCTCGGTGGGCGTGGCTTAATGTTTACGTTCATTGGGGAATGAATGCAATAACACGTGACCAATTCAGCTGATCAGAATGCAGGAATTTCAAAGAAAAAAACGAAAATTAAATTATATGACAATAAACAAGAAAAATGAAACTGCATGCCCGAAGGGGAAATGTATAAGACTCTAGGAAAATAGGAGAGGGTCTTTCAAAAAACTGGTTCAATGGTGAATGACGTAAATGTGTTGTAAGCGACATCGATATTTTGATGTAGACACGGCTAACCTATTAAATCACAATCATTAATCTTTTTAGGTGCTTTTAAGATATTTGAAAAACATTTAACGATCCTTTGGCTCATTTGCGTTGCATGTCCACATATATTTTTATGTTAAGCATTATATTTCTTTGAATAATAATATGCAGAAAAATCATTTTACTCTATTGATTAAAAATGAACATAAATTTAAAATGATTAACATATAAATTATAAAAGGTCAACCCTTTTGCTAATTTCTACATGATATTATATAAACTATGTCTAGTATTTACCATTCTATAATGAACATTCATTTCGTTTCAGAACTGTTACATTGAGAAGATGTTTACTGAAGACTTTAATATCAAGTATAATCTTGGGTGTGTTGGAAACGGGGTGAGTACGAACACTGTTCAAGGAAAGATTTACACAGTTATCAGTGAGCTATTATTGATTCAAGTTTCTTTTTGCAATATGCCTGTTTTGATCACTGTTAGATACTAAGGAATGGGCTTCCCACATCATACCTGTGAGGAGAATTGAGGTAATATCAATTACAGGATTGTCTGGTCTAGACTCAATGATTTACAGACCGCCGTCATATAGGTGGAATATTTCTGAGTGTAGCATTAAATAACACACAAACAAACGTTCCAACCCTACTTGTCCCAGATAAATATGGAGCGTATAGCAGTTCGTATAACGTTGTCAAGAAACGTGTCCATGAAACAAACAACGAAGAATGATATATCTCAATTCCTGTTCTACTTTTTGAAGTGACACAGACTGAGGAATAACATCATCGATTGTGTATGAAGTCACCTATTTTACATAAGTCATTAAGTTACACTTTGGTTTAGGCCTGTAAAGGGATATCAGATCCTTTGCAATATATATATAGATAGATAGATAAATAATGATGTAAAGTGGCAATGGGTAGTAGATCTACTGTAGATGTGACCGTATATCAAAGACACTTGTTATGTTGTAGGAATGTGAAACTCTTCGTCAATTAGGACAGCCTGTAGGAAAGCGAGACAAAGCGATCTCCACCATGTGTGCTACCTGTTGTTATGGAGATAAATGCAACGATGTTTGTTTCGTCCAAGGCAGGTGACAGCAGAAGAGCTTTGACAAAATTGAACCTCATTTTCTCGCCTCGTACCTGTCGCTATTTATCGGTAATTGTATTGAAGTGACACTGAATCCCAGGCCACTGGAGTTATCTTCAAACCATGTGGGTTGCTTATTAACATAATAAGTTGGTCTTAATCAGCTTCAAACCTGAATATTGTTACCATTATATTCGTCAAAAGAAAGTTGTGGTAGATGTTTGTTTCACTTGATATAATGACACTGTGTTTGTGACATAAGCTGTGGGGCAACATAAAGTATACCAATCATGTTTTCTTCAAGTTATTATTATTGCTAAAACCGGTGTTGCAATTAATTAGGACTATTTAACCATCACTCATTCATGCAACAGTTTGTTAAAAGGTCAATTGTGTGTAAACATAAATTGGTGCCATGAAGACTGGGGTAAGAAATGTCCCTGCAACCACATGCCCCCTATCAAGTTTGAATGTTGCAAATTTGTGACAAAAAAAGCAAATTCGTTGAATCTAAAACAAAATTGTAAATAAACACCATGTAGCAGTATGCTTTGAGTGCTAAGCACCAGTACAGTTCAGAAATCACAAGATCAACTGTGAGGTATAGTTTCGTTTTCTCCTCAGTTTATAACGTTGCGTTTACCTTATATGGTCATATAATACCACTAAGAAGACACCAGTATAGGTAACCTAATGTTTTTAGATGAAGTACTTGGGAATTGTTATGTGACAAACACAGTATAGTGGTTGAACTGATTAATTTCGTGATAAATTCCCCTAATGTTTACATTATGTTTCTTATATTCGTCACCAGGTATCACAACTTCAAGTCCTCCAATGACTGAAGATACAACTGTGGTTCATACAACCAGTGGGATGCCATATACAAGTCCTTCAATGAGTATGGATACAAATGTCGTTGATGCATCATATGAAAGTCCTTCAATGGGTCCAGATACAGCTGTCGTTGATACAACAATCGAGGCATCCTCTACAAGTCCTTTAATGAGCATAGATACAAGTGTCATTGATACATCATACGCAAGTCCTTCAATGAATATAGATACAACTGTCGTTGATACAACAAATGAGGCACGCTCCAGTCCCAATCCTAAATCAAATGTTTACGCATGAAGTACCATGGGACATACAGCAATAGTATCTCCATCGACAAGCACAACACCATCAAAGTCGACATCATACGCAAGTCCTTCAATAAGAATAGATACAATTGTCGTTGACACATCGTCGTCAAGTCCCTAAATGCCTATAGATACAACTGGCGTTGATGCAACAATTGGCGCATCATTTACAAGTCCTTTAATAAGGATAGATACAACTGTCGTTAAACAGCACAACACCCAGTCAAATCAGACTTGTTTCAATTCTCAGTACTTTCCAGACACAATACGTCAATCACACAATAACTACCTTTCCCTTCAACACAGATTAAAAGTTATCACGACTTGAGTGGTTTAATTAAGGTCAAATTGTTAAGTATAGTCTACATTTATACTTTAAAATATTAACACAGTTAGGAGTAACATATTTATCATTCAATTAGGCCCCCTTGTTAAATATAGTATTTATCATATTTATACTTCAAATTGTTTTTGGCCTTTTTGTAATTATAAAGAATCTTAATCCAGTGGTTGTAAAAGTTGCAAATGTGGTCATATTTTGATCAACACAGTGTGAGCCAGCTCTTTAAACCAAACATTCAACAAATGACTTTCTTCCAATGGTTACTTGCAGTTGGCAAGGGCAACGTGTGCTACAGCTGTTCATTTATAAATGACCCACGACGTTGCGAACAAGTGACCAGATGCCAGGCTGATGAGGTTTGTTTATGAGTGCATCGTCGTCCTCGTCTTGTATAATTATTATTATACAATTGGGTACCATATCCGTTGTTCTGTATCGATCTATGCACAAATTCAAAATGAAGTGTGACAAGAGGTGTGGTTTCACAGTAGACATTCAGAGAAATATGCTCAATAGGATACGTCGCATTTGAACATGATGTGCGATGTTGTCTGATGCTATGACCTTTTCATGGAGTTTGCAAGAGTCCTAACTCACTTGTACTCACTGAATGTATCGGGTGGCTAGACTTGGTCCTTTTGTTTAGGAGTCGTAGCTTCTGGACCATCTGGTCTAGACTCGATTGTTTCCTAGCCCCTGTCGTATGACAGAAACATGACATACTTACCCTTCTGAGTGTCATCATGATTTCCAGTGTTTAATTCTTAATGTAAATCACTATTTTGTCTTTGTCTATGGAATCTGTTTCGGCACATATTGGCTGATAGAACTTTAAGCTAAGTGTGTGAGTTGTGCATGCGAATGGTGGAGGAGGACATGCTTAACCTCGCAAACACTTGGTGTCATAACCGATTTTAAAATTCTCATCACTATTTTGTCTTTTACGCTCTATGGAATCTATTTCGGCTCATATAGATTGATGGACTGAAGTCACCGTGCCCCCACTGAACACCTGTGACCGGTGGGATGATTCAATGTTTCTTGAAAACGATTCAATGTCCATTCAGTGTAAATGACAATAAACAGGAAACATGAAACTGCATGCCCGAAGGGGAAATGTATAAAACTCTTGGAAAATAGGAGAGGGTCTTTCAAAACACTGGTTCAATGATGAATGACGTTAATGTGTTGTAAACGACATCGAAATTTTGATGTAGACGACATGGCTTACGTATTAAATCACAATCATTAATCTTTTTAGGTGCTTTTAGGATATTTGAAAAACACTTAATATTCCCTTGGCTCATTTGCGTTGCATGTCCACATATATTTTTATGTTAAGCATTATATTTCTTTGAATAATAATATGCAGAAAAATCATTATACTTTATTGATTAAAAAATTACATTATTTTAAATTTAGCATTTAGATTAATAAAAGATCAACCCTTTTGTTAATTTCTACATGATATTATATAACATATGTCTAGTATTTACCTTTCTTTACTGAACATTCATTTCATTTCAGAACTGTTACATTGAAAAGATGTTTACTGAAGACTTTAATATCAAGTATAATCTTGGGTGTGTTGGAAACGGGGTGAGTACGAACACTGTTCAAGGAAAGATTTACACAGTAATCAGTGAGCTATTATTGTTTCAAGTTTCTTTTAGCAATATTCCCGTTTCCATTACTGTTAGATACTAAGGAATGGGCTTCCCACGTCATACCTGAGAGGAGAAATGAGGTAATATCAATTACAGGATTGTCTGGTCTAGACTCAATAATTTACAGACCGCCGTCATATAGATGGAATATACTGCTTAGTGCGGTGTTAAATGGCAAACCAACAAACGTTAATACCCCACCAGTCCCAGATCAATAGGGAACGTATAGCAGTTTGTATAGCGTTTTCAAAAAACATGTCCATGACCAAACAGGAAAGAATGATATATTACACTGCCTTTTCTACATGTCTCTCCTCTGAACTTCAATTGATGTTTATTTTCTGACACGTTTTGGAGTAACACACTGAGGAATACATCAATTTAGTATTTTTTTAATGAAGTCACCTATTTTGTGAGTCATTAAGATACATTTTGGTTTAGGCCTGTAAAGGGATATCAGATCTTCTACAATATATATAGATATGTAATGATGTATAGTGGCAATGGGTAGTAGATCTACTGCAGATGTGACCGTATATCAAAGACACTTGTTATGTTGTAGGAATGTGAAACTCTTCGCCAATTTGGACCGCCTGTGGGAAAGCGAGACAAAGCGATCTCCACCATGTGTGCTACCTGTTGTTATGGAGATAAATGCAACGATGTATGTTTCGTCCAAGGCAGGTGACAGACAGAAGAGCTTTGACAAAACTGAACCCCATTTTCTCGCCTCGTACTTATCGCCATATTTATCGGTAATTGTATTGACGTGACACTGAATCCCAGGCCACTGGAGTTATCTTCAAAACCATGTGGGTGGCTAGGTAACATAATAAATTACTCTTAATCAGCTTCAAACCTGAATATTGTTACCATTATATTGGTCAAATAGAAAATACAAATATCGGTGGAATTTTGTCTTCACTTGATATAATGACACTGTGCTTGTGACATAAACTAAGGGGCAACATAAAGTATACAAATCATGTTTTTTATGTAATTATTTTTGTTAAAACTGTTGTTGAAATTGATCAGGTCTATTTAACCATCACTCATACCTGCAACAGTTTGTTAAAAGATTATGTTGTGTAAACATAAATTGGTTCCATGAAGACTGGGGTAAGAAATGTCCCTGCAACCACATGCCCCTATCATGTTTGAATGTTGCAAATTTGTGCAAATTAAAAGCAAATTTATCGAACCTAAAACAAAATTGTAAAATAAACCCACCATGTAGTATGCTTTGAGTGCTAAGCACCAGTACAGTTCAAAATTCATAAAATCAACTGTGAGTTGTTTCGTTTTCTCCTCAGTTTATAACGTTGCATGTACCTTATATGATCATATAATACCACTAAGAAGACACCGATATAAATAACCAAATATTTAAGATGAAGAACTTGGGACTTGTTATGTGACTAACACAGTATAATGGTTAGATTTAATAATTTTGTGATAAATTCCCCTAATGTTGACATTGTTTACCTTATATTCATTACCAGGTATCACAAGTGGTCAACCAAGCACATCCAAGAATCTCTCAACCACCCAGACTTCATATGTAACTTCAACTCCTCCAATGCGCATAGATACAGCTGTGGTTGATACATCATACGCCAGTCCTTCAATGGGTATAGATACAGCTGTGGTTGATACACCATACGCAAGTCCTTCAATGCGTATAGGTACAGCTGTGGTTGATATATCATACGCAAGTCCTTCAATGGGTATAGATACAACTGTCGTTGATACATTGTATGCAAGTCCATCAATGGGTATTGATACAATTGTGGTTGATACATCATACGTAAGTCCTTCAATGGGTATAGATACAACTGTCGTTGATACATTATACGCAAGTCCATCAATGGGTATTGATACAATTGTGGTTGATACATCATACGCAAGTCCTTCAATGGGTATAGATACAACTGTCGTTGATACATTATACGCAAGTCCATCAACGGGTATTGATACAATTGTGGTTGATACATCATACGCAAGTCCTTCAATAGGTATAGATACAACTGTCGTTGATACATTATACGCAAGTCCTTCAATGGGTATAGATACAACTGTCGTTGATACATTATACGCAAGTCCATCAATGCGTATAGATACAATTGTGGTTGATACATCATACGCAAGTCCTTCAATGGGTATAGATACAACTGTCGTTGATACATTATACGCAAGTCCATCAACGGGTATTGATACAATTGTGGTTGATACATCATACGCAAGTCCTTCAATGGGTATAGATACAACTGTCGTTGATACATTATACGCAAGTCCATCAATGCGCATAGATACAGCTGTGGTTGATACATCATACGCCAGTCCTTCAATGGGTATAGATACAGCTGTGGTTGATATACCATACGCAAGTCCATCAATGCGAATAGATACAATAGTGGTTGATACATCATATGTAAGTCCTTCAATGAGCATAGATACAACTGTCGTTGATACAACAATTGACGCATCATCTACAAGCCCTTTAATGAGAACAGATACAACTGTCGTTGATACATCATACGCAAGTGCTTCAATGAATATGGCTACAACTGTCGTTGATGCAACAAATGAGGCACACTCCAGTCCCAATCCTAAATCCACTGTTTACGCATTAAGTACCATGGGACATACAGCAACAGTATCTCCATCGACAAGCACCACACCATCAAAGTCGACCCATGGTAAGCATTTGAGCATAATTACTTGAACAAATAGAACATCAATATCCAGTTTTTTACTGATATACTGCCTTGTCAGATAAAAGCTTCTCGTCCTGCGTGTATTTCTCCGTTTTGATATTATCATATAGTCATATATATTCCAGGCACTTCCCCTGGAAATGCACCATTGTCGAGTAAGTAACTTCATTCCACCCCACTCTTCCTTTAATAAGATTGCTACATCTACATTTGTCTCCTATACTGCATGAAACAGAATCGTTAACAAAGTAGAAATTATATTTCAAAATATTTCCTCATTAATTGTGTAAACCATTGTGACAAGGTTCCAGACTTTTATAGCTTGTCAACCAAATGTTTATTTTCCATGGGATGTTATTAGTTACCTATTTCTCAGTAACTAATAAACCACTCAGGACTTTATTGTATAAAAAATTATCTTTTTAATGTGCAAACGCTGCGCTTTATCATGATGATATTATTACTTATGTCAATTACAATGCTAATCCGTGGTATCGGATCAAAATTTGTTAAAACTCACATCCTCTAGCCATGGCTTGCCGCTTTGGTGACAGACTAGCCCAGCGGAGGTTTTTCCCACTCCGACGTCTGCGCATTGTTGCTCCTAACGTATATAACCTAATGCGACATATCCTTTGGGACATAACCCCGAACTCAGTTATTACGCCCGCGTTGGTGCCCACGTCGAAAGTTCCAAGGTCGGAATCACTGTCCAGGGCCCACTTGCAGAAAGCAATCTTGGCGCTACGATTATTATAGGCCTATGTTAAAGTCATCTTAGCGCTAAGATCGCTTTGTGCAAGTGGGCCCAGCTGTGCATACAGAAACTGGTTGTTAACAAGTGGTTTGATCCGATGTTTGTTAATCTATTCAGACTGGCGTCATGGCAATTTATACCTGAGTAGATTAGTTAAGCCCTCTGTTTATTTAGATCTGGTCTTCTGTGTATTAGAACTGACAAGTTACTATCAGTGCTACTAATTAATATGTATTTGCCTGTTTAGACGTACACACTCTGTTGAGTTCTACAACTAATTGCTCAGTTAAATCCTAAATTCTTTAGCCTGGTTGTTATTGCAGCTTTAATAAATCTTTAAGCATCAGTTGGATTATCTTTGTCAGTGGGTCTAGATGTGTCTATTTATTTATTATTTTTCTAACTCACATTCACGTTTGATAATTATGAGTCGTTACTTTAGCGTTGGCGTTATTAGCACCGTGAAAAACATATAGAAGTTATTATTTTTTGCAGTTGTATTGGAACTGATTGAGGTTGAAACTAAGAAATTATTTTTTGGCATAACCACTTGTATGTAAAGCATTTGTAAAGCCATACAATTTTAAATAAAGAGGCAATAGTCACTCTGTTTTCCAGTTATTAAACTTGTTGACACTTACAAATTCAGAAATATTTCTTCATATGAATTAGACATTTGTATACACGAATTCGCACATTATACATGCATTTCAGTCTCAGAAGTCCTAATGTCGTTTATACGTTCTACACCAGTATGTGTTTGTTTTTGATTGGCAGTTGTGTGTCAGGCAGACTGTGATGGAGGAGCGGAATGCACTTTTTTAGCAACGTCCCAAAGATGCAGCAGCCAAGCCCCTTACTGTTTCACACAAATAGATAATGATGATTTAGGAAACTATGATATCAGAAAGGGGTACGTATTCGATTATCTAACTACACCATTCGATAAAACCAACCTGAATTACAATCCATTTGCACTGAAAGATAAAACGTCAACACCAGAAAATAACCAGTCTCGATTATCTGTCGAAACAGATTCCATAGGGCGTCAAAAGGCAAAATAGTGGTGAGATTTATATGAAGGGATCAGTGAAAATCAGTAATGACACAAGGTCTTCACGAAAAGGGTAAGCATGTCCTGCTCTACCGGTATTACGCGCCACTCACACAGTTTTAAAAAAACAGTACGTGTTTGTCGCCTAACGCAGCAAAACAGTAGGCCAGCTATAAGACGGCAGGCTGTGGAGACTAGCGGGTGTTGCCAAATCCTTTAGGTTTATAGTTTATATCATCCCAAATCACCAGCTGAATCATTGCAAAAAACTGCATTTTCCAGATTCTATGGAAGAATGTATAAAAGGAGTAATCAGTCTGAAACCTACTACAGACACTATACATACCAATGTTCATTTATTTAATAACAAAGCTATTTGTTAGCAATGTACGCAATTAAAAACAAGTGACAAACTTCTTTTCATAATCAAGAGAAAATGTCGACGAAAGAGTCCATTGTACGATTTCGACTTTACCATGACCATGTGTTTAGGAATCACTATCAAATAGTGATGATAGCTGGTGTATGCGAAAATATTATCGCATCCTGCCCTACCGGGGCACCCATCACAAACACATGCAAAGGCAAATCAATTATCCACCTGAACAAGTCAGGGTAACACATGATCAAAATAGGGAACATCATTTTGGTAACTGATGCGTCAGATTTGGAAATGCCCTCTGAAATGTTTACCATAAAACATTTTGAAAGCTTTCCTGAGGCCTTCAATTTTGTAACAGCGATGGCCACCTGATACAGTATGATCGGGGCAAACATGTCGCCTCAAACATATATCGTATTTTTTTTATCGTGAAGTATAATTTGAAATTGTTCAATGCTTGTCTCTGTTTAATTCATCAGGTGTGCAGATAGAAACACTTGCAATACCAAGTGGTGGAAACAAACATCTGATGAAGATCTATGCGTTAACTTCAAACCGGGGATTATGAGCACATTCACCTGCTCCTACTGTTGTACATCAGACCGGTGTAACTTCAAGAACGTCATTCCAACTGTGTCACTTTTTAAGGGGACTGATTAGTTATAATCGGAAACAATGTTTAAAATACCTGTGTGTAAGGTTACCAAATAAACGAGAATGAATAAATTGAATACAACTTGGTTTTTTTTCATGTTACGAGGTTGTTGTACATCTTCAGACATGATCCGGGTCAGCTTGACCTCGACGTGAGACATATGAGTAACTCATACATGATATCCTTCTGAAAATACCAGGATTTGGTCATGTCTTTGTCTTATATTTTGGCCACATTTGCATATCACATTATAGTTTAAACCTTTTCCACGCCGCGACTATATCCGTTTTCATCTTAATGATAATTATGTTCATGTTATGTTCATGATCAAGTTCGATTTAAGGTTACAGTGACTTATGATCATTTGGCTCAAAGCACAGCCGTACAAGCATATGTAATGTACATGTATCAACTACAAGCTGAAGGGGAAAAGATACCCACCTAGAAGTAGAGTGAAGGGCAAACACAAATACCGGACATCTGTGACAAACTTTCCCAGCATGTGAAGTTGAACAATGAATCTGAACATGACATATATATATTCAGAGTTCCTCGCGGTCAAGATGGTACCTCTGGCACAAACTTTCGAGACGTGGCAAATCATCATAACACGGTCTATTCAACGAAATATGTACATCGTTGCTTTCATGTTGTGTTGCAGTATGATACACTTGGTATTATAACAGTTATGCATGAGTGAGTATGGTTTTACGCCGCTTTTATCACTATTCGAGCACTGTTGCGGCGGGGGACACCAGAAACGAGCTTCACACATAATTGCATCCACGCTTAAACCATTTAGCTACGCAACCGCCCCACAGCACTCTGAGAAAAGTCCGATTAAGTGATCTGCAAATTAACTTGTGGCAGTGGTGTTATTATTAGTCATCACTTCTCCAGGGTATGATAAGGGGTTTCAAAACTTCATCTTTTATTTCTTCGACCAGAAAAAAAGTAAAATCATTAATGTTTATAAAATCTTTCTACCTATCTACCCATTTAACATTTTGAGGAAAGGCAAAAAAAAACGATTTTACATATTATTTAATATAATTGCTTAGGAAACAGAAATACAGAAAAAGGCATGAAGCAGATGAATAAATGACAAAAACGTTCCTACACGTATGTATATGTTCTTCTACACCAAGGGGCGGCCGGGTAGCCTAGTGGTTAAAGCGTTCGCTCGTCACGCCGAAGACCCGGGTTCGATTCCCGACATGCGTACAATGTGTGAAGCCCATTTCTGGTGTCCCCCGCCGTGATATTGCTGGATATATTGCTAAAAGCGGCGTAAAACCATACTCACTCACTCACTCTTCTCAACCAAAACTCCATCAAGAGCCGACACTGACAAACGTTTCAGAAGAGTGAAAGTCATTTTGCGCCCTAGTCAGCAAAAGGCCAGTGTCTGAAAACATCCACGCCATCGAAGCACGACTACACGCAATCAACCACGTCACTCGGCCATAACATCCAAATCAGTCGACCTTTAATGACGAAACGGGGTCACGAAACCAGCAGAGCAGTAGCAGTAGTAGTAGTAGTAGTAGTAGTAGTAGTAGTAGTGGTAGTAGTAGTAGTAGTAGCAGTAGAAGTAGTAGCAGCAGTAGTAGTAGTAGTAGTAGTAGTAGTAGTGGTAGTAGTGGTAGTAGTAGTAGTAGTAGCAGTAGCAGTAGTAGTAGAAGTAGTAGTAGTAGTGGTAGTAGTAGTAGTAGTAGTAGTAGTAGTGGTGGTGGTGGTAGTAGTAGTAGTAGTAGTAGTGGTAGTAGTAGTAGTAGTAGTAGCAGTAGTAGTAGTAGTAGAAGTAGTAGTAGTAGTGGTAGTAGTAGTAGTAGTAGTAGTAGTAGTAGTAGTAGTAGTAGTAGTAGTAGTAGTAGTAGCAGCAGTAGTAGTAGTAGTAGTAGTAGCAGAAGTGGTAGTAGTAAAATGTTTATAAAAGTGACACACGCACAACATGTACAACATAAAATCGATTCATATAATACAAAACGTGTATGGAGTGCGTCCAGCCCGACATTGGCTTATGGGACACTATATACAATATAAACAAATATATACATAATATATATAATGTGAGAGTTGGGGAACTTAGCTACGAAATCATAAGATACACAGGAAACAATAACAAACTCCTCGATTCAACAACGAAAGAAAAAGATTGAGGCGAGAGAGAGAGAGAGAGAGAGAGAGAGAGAGAGAGAGAGAGAGAGAGAGAGAGAGAGAGAGAGAGGGTAATTTAATTTTCATGGCGTCTCTTAAACATTTTAAAAAGTGTATTTTTTGTAAAACGTTTGAATTCATTAAGTAAATAATTATAAAATTCTCTTCTTCGCATATCACATAAACAATTCAGTTGTTTTCTTCAGCTGTACAATATAAATCATACCGCAAATCTTCATAAAAACTGCATTGTAGTAAACCATGACATTCATCTGCCACCAAATCACAATCGCGATATTCACATGATCTCTCCGATAGTGGTATAGAAGGCTTGGAGTGAGTGAGTGAGTCGATTTTAACGCCGCTTTTAACAGTATTCCAGTTATATCGCGGCGTGTCAGCTTAATGTGGGAGGAAAGCTTGATGTGATGCAGGTTTCAGACGTTTACCACTTCGGTGAAACCCACGAGCACGGGTATGGTGCTGACAAACCTAGAATCATAATTTGGGCGAACCGGGATTCGAACGCACAATGATAGATTTCTGGCGTCTTCAGACAATAATTGTCATTGGTAAGTGTAGCCATCGGGAAATGAAAACTGGCCAGTTTGTAATGAGCGAGTCTGGCAAACAAGTGGTAGATATCATGAGCATCACCCCAAGCCGCCCCTTCAATCCAAAACAGTCGTCTCTTACGATAAGCAATAGAGTACCACGAAACAAAACCCCACGGATTGTATGGACGCCATATTGATGTGATCGTAATGACCGGCGGGATTATGATTGTCACTTTCATAATAATAATAATGATAATTTCCTACTACGTCCTATGCCTTTCCATTGAAAGAACGCGTGATGTTAAAGATAGTCATCGATTCATACCTGTAGGCTGAAATGCCTAAAGTAACACTTGGGCTAAATACGTCACAATGGAATACCCATTTCTGCACACCTCAGCAGCACCATCCTGATTAAACGTATCTCACAACTTAATTTCCAGTAAATAGTACATTATACCATCTATGTTTTTTATCTAGTTTTCACCTACAATGGCCACTTGATGTCTACCTTTATGTTTGAAAGCCTCTTTGGAAGTTTTGCAATCACCACTTTGGTCTTTCCGTCCACATTCCGCTGAATGTATCTGAATGTTTACAGAAAGACGAACGTCTCGTACCACTTTTGGGAAATCAACAAGCGTGGATATGGTGCTTGCAGACAAGGTATCATTATCAGAATTTTTAAAAAGTCAAAATGGAATTTCGATAAGAGGATTATTGCTACTGAAGGCTTCATATGTCTCACGCTGGACAACTCTGACAGTCCAGAATAGGACTATGGTATGCGTAAATGGTTTTGTGACAAGAGGAAATGTCCATATTAATTCTTATGCTGGCGGTTCCTAGGTATTCCATTTTTATTCCCTGCAACATTTCAAACTGACACCCTTTTCGCGAACACCTGATCTCACTGTTTTTCAGTGATCCATTCATATAATTTCCCCACTTTTTTGCCTTTAACCCGACGGAATCGAGGCTGATTATTCTTTGGCGTTGACGTTTTTCTTGTTCTTGTAAGATATTGGTCGTTCTAAAAGTGAATGATAGAATGAAACCCAATCTCTGTTGATGAACTTACTTTCTTCATACAATATTTTCTGCGATATCAACTCTTTTGTGACAGATCGAAAATATGACACGTGTTCATTCAATAGTCATGTTTGTTTTGTGTTTCAGTTATATCTCTGTTGAACGCTTCTACCTGCGTCCCTAGAGCTTCGACGACAACGACGACGACAACAACAAAAAGAGCAATATTGCATCATATTAATGAATACAGTTTACCCGACAGGGAGACCACAAATGGACTTCACACATTGTACGTATGATGGGACTCGAACCCAGGCCTTATGTGTAAAAAGCGAACACTGTAACAACCTGGCTACCCCACGACATACACATTCAACCATAACGTTTGACCTCAGTTTACCAAGATCAAGGGAATCCACATGTATGGATCTGATTTCAGGTGGACATCGCTGTTACTCCTGTGCAAGTGTGGACAAACCGTATCAGTGTAACGTGACCACACAGTGCAGACCTGATGAGGTAGGATCAACTACATGATACAGTGCAGACCTGATATGGTCGGATAAAATGGCACTTGAAAAGTGAGGTTTAGGTTGATGGTTGGTCTTTTTGACACTGACCTGAAATGGTTTCCTCCAATATTCAGTGACATGTCATGATATATCTGAGATACTGGTCAGTACGGTGTTTTATAATGTATCAATACAGTATACTTCGAGTTAGAAGGGTTGGACACGGTACAATACCAGTAGACTACATGTATGGTATGTCCCAGGAATGTCATGCTACGCTCGTCGGGAGGTCAGACCTCAGTAGGCGTGACGTGAGCGACTCAAGTGTGAGGAGTGTTGCCATGGTAACCATTGCAACAGCGGTGGGTGCAGTGCAGGGCATATGTTAGATCATACCTTGTTTGGTTATATCACTCTATACCATGACCGTATAAACATCAGTTCTATCGTGTACTAGTACTTGACCATGCGTCTGTGTTTTCCTGCACATGCAATTGGTGCTTCCTGATCGTGCTTGGTGATTTGATTGGTTGCGTGCTATATTTTGCTCAAAATATCAGTCACTGGATTTGCTTTGATCTGTTATACCTCTGCGTACTTTCCAGACACACAAAATGACCTCTGCAACACAGATAAAAAGTTACCACGACCTTAGTAGTTGAATTAAGGTCAAAATTTATAGCCGACATTTATACTTCAATATGAGTGACTGAGTGAGTATGTTTTTACGCCGCTTTTAGCAATATTCCAGCAATATCACGGCGGGGGACACCAGAAATGGGCTTCACAAGTTGTATCCATGTCGGGAATCGAACCCGGGTCTTCGGCCACATGGCCACCCGACCGCCCCCAAACTTCAATATAAAAACACAGAACACAGTTACCTATTTACGAGGCGCCGATGTTACATACATTAAATATTATATAAACATTCCGGCAAAGCACTTTTTATATTTTCAAACGATAAATCATTAATTGTTTTTAGTTTTTTTGTAATGCAACAAATATTTATCCAAAGGTTGTAAACAGACGTGGTCATATTTTGCACACCTCTGTTTGAGATATGCCTTTAGACCAGATATTCAACAGAATTTTTAATGATTATTGTCTAATGGCTTGCAGCTGCCAAGGGCAACGTGTGCTACAGCTGTCGCTTTATAAATGATCCACGACATTGCGAAAATGAGACCAGATGTCAGGCTGATGAGGTTTGTTGATGAGTACACTGTCGTCCTCGTCTTGTATATCATTATTATCATTTACAGATTAAAATAAAGTATGCAGCAAATAGGGTTCAAATAGTTTTATACGACATTGAAATTTCGTTAAAGACGACGAGGCTTATGTAACAAGTCATTACATCTTATACCGCTTGTAGAAATATTCCAGAGTTATCACGGCGTAGACGGATGTGGAGAATCGAACCAGGTTTTCGGCGTTACGAGTGAACGTTTTAACTATTAGGATACCCTATTCTTTAAGCAATAATGTGAAAAAAAACATTATTGCTTTATTGAAAATTATTACTTTCAAATTGAATAATAATTGAGTTAATATGTATCTTGTATTTACCATTCTTAACCAAACATTTATTTCATTTCAGGGCTGTTATTTTGAGAAGGTGTTGACTCAATATTTTCCTATCAAGTATAATCTTGGGTGTATTGAAAACGCGGTGAGTACTGTTTAAGGAAATATTTACTGAGTAATTAGTGAGTAGTTATTGTTTCAAGCTGCTTTTAGCAATATTCCCATTTTGATCACGACTGGAGCCTACGGGAATGGGCTTCATACATCCCACCAATGTTGGGAATTGAAATATGTGAACGTTTCACCTGCTTGTGTACCCGTCCCGTAGGGACTCGATTGCTTAGGTTGGTCTTCAGCAACACATGCTGATCGTAAGAGGCGACCTAATAGACAGGGTGGTCAAGCATTGTCACTTGGCTGATTGCGTGTCATCGTACCCAATGGCGCTGTGACGGATCTATGGGGTTCGACTAACAACTGCATCGATCCACCTCCAATCACAGCTGATATCGATCAAAAGGCATCTAACCGTAAACACCTCTGACGTCACAAACAGGTGATCGTGTCTAACTGTAAACAAACCGTGACGTCACAGCTTGTTATCGAACATAGCCACACTGTACACTCATGATTACTTATAACAATTTTCTGACACTTTTTAGAGTTATAAAAATGGTTATTTTACCATGCGACACATACTGAGAAATGATGTCATCGATTGTGTATGACGTTACATATTTTTATATTACGTCATTATAATACATGCTTTTGTTATCGGATATCAGATCTTCTACATCATCTCTATGTGACGACGTATATGGGTGATGGGTCGTAGATCTACTGCAGATATGACCGTGTATCTACGACACATGTTTTGATTTAGGAATGTGAGAATTGCCTGAAGGGAAGCTGGACACGCCGATCTTCACCCTGTGTGCTACCTGTTGTTGTGGAGATAAATGCAACGATGTAGGTCTCGCCCAAGGTAGGTGACAGGGGAATTCAGGGACGGTATTCATAAAAAAACCTGAGATTTTTCAAAAGTCTAAACTTTTTTGAAATCTGACTTAGTTAAGTCTGAGACTAGAGTTGATATTCAGAAAGATGCTAAGTTCTTTATGAATACCGCCCCAGGTGTATTACCTTCTGAACATGGTATGTAAAGGAGCACTCTCTTACTCAGAGTTCCTTGCGGCCAATATAGATCATCTGTCATGAGCAAGCAAGCCCTGGTGATTCATCACATCGTTCACAGTCCGCTCAACAATGTGTATATTTTGTTGTTTAGTAACTTTTTTAGTATAATAGTACAAAGAATATTACCCAGAAAAACTTCCAACTACGCGATCTGCTAAGTGAAAGGTCCGGTCATGTTATATAAGGTCATATGGTCAAACTCGAAATTACGTATTATCGGACTCGGAGCTTACATCCATTTGTTTTCTAGGGAAGACGTATTTCCTTGTGAATTTTAGTTATGTTAAAGCTAATTTATAGCAGTTTAATAAGGTCATCTTGGGTAATGGCTGGTCGGATTTTGCTGTTTATAAGAACATAAAACCAAGGTAATAACACATCTAAAGCATACCATCCACTCCAAAAAGCACTTATCGGAACTTGCAGGCAACAAGAAGCGTGTCATGAACAAGGACAATGGACAATCACAGAGACGTGCTATCTCAAAGTCATGAAACAAAGGTAAGGATTGTATGTCGGCCAATGACCTATCTGGAGACCTATGTAGTGGTGGAGAGGTGTGGAAATATTCTAGATAATATTATCATATGCAGATAGCATTCCTTTCGTCAGTGTTACAGTTTTGACTCTATGAGTTACAAACTTGAATATCCTTTAGGAAGTAATCACAGTTATTGGTCAGACATGAGTGAAAAATGTTTCAGGGAAATCCGGTGAGGGATCGGCGTTTGCAAAGACACATACGACAATCTGAATAATGCGGATTTTTTCAATAATTCTTAAGCAGCATGTTTTGTAACATACATCAACAATGGCATTCTAACTAAACGAGAAAATATGCCCGTACTTTTTTTTTCGTTCCGTTCATTCCCTACAACTGGCAAAAAACACCAATGGCATAAACGGCATTCTCTTCTTTGTCACGATTTTGATGCTTGGTCTGTCACCTCCATTCCCTTGTTTGTGGGTTTCACCAAAATGGTAGACGTCTTAGACATGCATCACTTTCCTCCGCATTACGCTGACACTCAAATGCTGTTCACAGCGGCGGTAAATTTAACTCATCAAGACGCATAGGCAGAAAGCATTCAAGGGACGTAATCATGTTACAATTATCACGTTTATTTCAAATGATACAGAAATGGCAATGATGTAATGAACCAACCCAGGATGAAGCTTCTAGTTGTGGAGACTACACTGCAGGTCAAGGATTGAACGGTCCGTCACAGTGGTGCAGCGCGTGGAGTTCCGGTGATATAACAAGGTCTCTGTGGTTACAGTTCACTCCATCACAGCACTCTACATCGTCATACTGGTAGCCCTCAAAGGTGACGGTACCTCCGTTCTTTGTTGTATTCCGTAGTACTGAGCAAGCCTGTTACATAGAGGACATACAGTGGTAATGCAGTTGTTACTGACGGACAATAAATATGGCGTCTTCTTGATCGGTGTGGGTGGTTGTTGGGTGAGTGTATTAATAGATTGTGAGTGAGTGAGTGAGTGAGTATGGTTTTACGCCGCTTTTAGCAATATTCCAGCAATATCACGGCCGGGGACACCAGAAATGGGTTTCACACATTGTACCCATGTCGGGAATCGAACCTGGGTCTTCGGCGTGACGATCGAACGCTCTTACCACCAGGCTACCCGACCGCCCCTAATAGATTGTGATGAGATCAGGGTGGTGGTAATTTCTGCCTGATGATGGCTTTACCTGAGGGGTGGATCGGTGCGAATTGGTCGTTATCACTGTCTGTTTGTGTTGACTTTGTGGTGGGTGGGTCAGTTAGAGTTCTACCTGGGGGTGTTATAAGGGTAGGGAATCTACCTGTTTGCGTTCAAAATGGTGATGTTATCAGGTTGGGTGGTAATCTCTACCTGGTGATCAACTCTTTTGAGAATTGTTGTTGAGTTGAGTTGAAATGGGGCTTAAGGGCGCGTCCAAGGTTATTTCACTTATATAGCGACGTGCATGCACATGTGTTTGTCTGCTTGTACTAGTCAGGACTTATGCCGATTTTATAGTTCTAGCCCACTGAGATACGAAGCCGCAGTTTTAACATATATACCCCACTCAAACACTGTACACTGACTCCGAGCCGACCAATCCTTGTTTTAGCCCGCAAATGCTGAGCGACAGGCAGGGTAACAACAGGTTCCGTCTTTTAACGTCCTTTGGTATGACGCAGCCGGGGAACAAATCCTGGACCTTCCGCTCTCCGGGCGGACGCTCTACCACTAGACCAAGGAGGCGGTCTGGAGGATTTTGGGGTAGAAGGGGATACCCATATTAGAGGTTGGTATGTTAGTCATGGCTTCAGGTACTGTTCACACACCTTGTGATAGATACACCCACTAAGACACACTGTACTGACTCAAAGATTGTCTTTTTCCCTTTACGTCGAGCGCCAGCAGGGAAACAGCAAATACCATCCTTAAACGTCTTTTGGTAAGACGCGGCTGGGAATCGAACCACTGATCTTCCGTTCCACGGACAGATGCTCCACCAACTACACCACGGACGCGGTCTAGCGTAGATGGTGGAGTCACTGGATGACGTTAAGGCGGATGGTGGTATGTGACATCGATGATGAGTAAGTGAGTGAGTGAGTTGGGTTTAAGGACGCTTTGAACAGTATTTCAGTCATAGCACGGAGTGTCCTCTGATGAGTATCTCACCTCCAGTTCTATACAAGCAGCAGAAAAGTAGCATCCGCTGTCTTCCACTCTGCCCGAGAAACAAGTCTGAAATACACAGAACACCAGGCCAGTAACAATACACCATCCAGAACTAGTCCTCGATAAAAATTACATAAGCTGCTGGTACAAGTATCAGTTTGATTTTTTTTTTCCTACTTTACGAAAACACAAACAGCTTATATGTCATCATAACCTGTGGCCGGACGGGGCGGGACCCTCATCATTTTTTTCACTCACGGGATTGTCAGGTCCAGAGTCGATTAATTACAGGTCCTGTCATATAGCTAGAATAGTGAGTGCTAGATTTAACATCAAACGACGATACAGGTAAGAGCCCATGGCGCATGGTTTCATTACGATAGATTTCAGCCTTTTCACTGTTAATCCGTTCCAACCGGGACTACCTGTCCAAGTCAACCGCGACTACTAGATCCTTTCCTCATATATACTGATCGAAATAAATAAGGGAAAACATAGTTTTAGACACAGTAAAGTCATATGCTATCATGGGTTCCCAGCCCTGTCTGCAAAATACGCGTTGAAAACGATGCACACAAACGCGCGCGTGCGTGCGTGCGTGCGTGCGTGCGTGCGTGTGTGTGTGTGTGTGTATGCCTCTTTGATAAAAGTAATCTGTTTATGATAAGTGAGTGAGTGAGTTTTGTTTAATGCCGCTTTAAACGGTATTCCAGTCATATCACGGCGTGTCAGCTTAATGTGAGAGGAAAGCGCTAAGTGATGCGGGTCTTAGACGTTTACCACTTCGGTGAAACCCACGAGCACGGGTATGGTGCTGAAATAATCGGGGCAAACCCCCACTCATAGATTTCTGGCGTGCCTAAGGGATGCAACTCTGCTCATGATGACTGGCCTTGGCCTTCGCAAATATTAAACGTCAACGCCACAGAATAATAAGTTTCGATCATATGCCGAAATAGACACCATAAATGGATCACTCAAAATCAGTGATGACACAAGGTGGTCTCGAAAAGGTAGGCATGTCCTGCTCTACCGGTAGACATTTCCTGTAAACGTCAGATTGCACCGATGACCTTAATGATCACATGTGACCTAGAAGCAAATAGTCTTGCTCTCGAGAGAAAAAGTCAGCTCTCCAGCTGAGATTACACCCGTCCGTACTGTTCGCCCCTGTATCCATATCCGTGACAAGCATCCGTATTTACATATACACTTGTCCGTAGTTACTTCATCACGCATCAACACGTAGCCAATGTTACCTAAGTTCAAAAAGGGAGATCTATGGGATTTACAATATATTGTGCCTTTACAACAGGAACTATTCCGACCACAGGTCCCTCCGTACACGCAAAACATAGCCTGGGATCGAAAGAAAAGGAAGCGGGATACGCATCCATCATGTACAGGTACTGATACGGATAGGTAAAAATGTCAAAAGTGATTTTGCGGATACGGATACGGGAAAAATATATGGAAAGGTGTAAACGGCCCAGTAGTCGGTTACGTATGCGTAGAGTAAGTATCAGGTAAACTTACGTAATCTTTCCCAGACGGGTGGTGTTCATCACAACGGAGGGAGTGTCTGCACTGGGTCATGTCACTCTCAAACTGACACTCATAGCATACGGCCGGGGCACGTGTTGTGGTTGTGGTTGTTGTTGTGGTTGTTGTTGAGGTGGTGGGGGTGGGGGTTTCCGTGGTTGCATCCGTTGTCATGGGTTCGGGCGTCGTTGGAAAAGTGAAACTTCCATTGATCCTTGCCTCAATAACTGCAGTAAAGCGATAAAGAATAAATACACTTCTGTGAAAGTGTGTGAGGATAATTATGTATTCATTCATTTCTCGGGTGGGTGTTTTTATTCAATGACATGCATTCTTTTATCACTTTCGGTGTTTATGTTTATTCATTCTTTATTTACACATGTGCATTTGCTTTGAAAACATATCTGTTAACTAATAACGGGAAATACCTACTGAGTCTTTATCAAATCTCACTGATAATTTGTAAACAAATACGTTTAATATTGATTAACGTAGTGTGAGCTATTTTGTTTTCCGATTAGGTGTTCTTTGTCAAAGTAAAGTATTGACAAAAAATATTGTACTTTTTTCATAAGTAACGTGAAAGTTAATTGAACAAAATACCGTTTGAGGTGTTACTTTGAAAGAAAAGTTAATTCCCTTCCTTTATTGTTTTACTTTGAATGTTGGTAATCGAAAAGTTAACGCTTTGATTTGAATAATGATGTACATTCATGTCAAATTATATCGTTATATCAGTCAATCAAGTATAAAACACAACTAACCTTGACAAAAATCTGTAAGCATCAGATCTGTGGTATTGAGGATAAAGCTAGCATCAACTGTAATATTGAGCTCGTAAGGATCTGTCGGCTGAGCAGAAGGAGCAAAGACGAAGATGAAGGTGGAATTGTCTCTAGCTGCCATCGCCTCCGCTGCAGTCACATCTGTGTGGTTCGTGATCCCATCGGTTATAATGATGATGATCTTATCCACGAATTCTCTGGAATCTGGACCATTCAGAATCTGAAGCGCTTCATCAATGGCAGTGTCTGGGTAAGAAGGACCTTCTATTGGGAGACCAGAGATAGCGTCGATGCCCTGTAGGGCCATGTTCTTGTCATCAGTCAGTGGTTGTATTAAGTCAGGGTTGTTGTTGAAAGCAACAAGTGCGACTTGTGCATCCGTTGGGGACATCCTCAACTCGTTGACCGTTTGTTTCAAAAAGTCCACATTGTTGTGAAAGTCGAGTACATTGGTGTCCGAGTGGTCAACAAGAAAGACAATGTCGGCATTGAGGCTGCAGTCTGGAAATGAAGAATGTCATGTAATAAATCTTGACTGGATGTACTAAAATTTAGCCAACGATTGTGAATGTCTTCTGAAAAAGTGTTGATATCTTGATTGCATTCCTACTTTTGTCTATATAAAATGTTGTCTATAAATGAAAATTATATTAATTTGTGTGTGTGAGTGTGTGTGTGTGTGTGTGTGTGTGTGTGTGTGTGTGTGTGTGTGTGTGTGTGTGTGTGTGTGTGTGTGTGTGTGTGTGTGCTTATATACCCGTTGGGGTTTAACAATTCAATGGTAATAACCGATGTTTGAAAATGGTTTATTTTGTTAACGAATTTCGATTTTGATTGGCTGCCTGAAGTAATATGAAATCACACTGCTGTAGGCGTTTCTGTAGGTATAACATTTTATGCTTTTTTCATTCATTATCTCCTTTTGACAAACAGTAGTTTATAGAATAACTTTATCAGAATGGCGGATTATCTGTCTCTGGTGAAATAGTGCTGTAAATGCATATTTCCTGGTATCTTGTTGGTTAAACTCCAGTTAAACGTTTTGACGTTGTAGGGAATGGAGGGAAAACATTAAAGTTCACCGTAAGGTGTTGTTGTTGATTCAATTGATGTTGGTGTTGGAGATGTAACTGACGAAGACGTTGTCATGGCAACAGATGATGACGACTGCGTGTCTGTATACGAGGATGTTGATGAATCGACATATGGTGTTGGTTGGGTATCTGGAGACATGTCTGTTGTCATGGAAACAGATGCTGATGACGGCTGAGTGTTTGCATACGAGGACGTTGATGAATCGACATATGGTGTTGGTTGGGTATCTGAAGACACATCTGTTGTCATGGAAACAGATGCTGATGACGGCTGGGTGTTTGCATACGAGGACGTTGATGAATCGACATATGGTGTTGGTTGGGTATCTGGAGACAGATCTGTTGTCATGGAAACAGATGCTGATGACGGCTGGGTGTTTGCATACGAGGATGTTGATGAATCGACATATGGTGTTGGTTGGGTGTCTGGAGACACATCTGTTGTCATGGAAACATATGCTGATGACGGCTGAGTGTTAGTATATGAGGATGTTGATGAATCGACATATGGTGTTGGTTGGGTGTCTGGAGACACATCTGTTGTCATGGAAACATATGCTGACGACGGCTGAGTGTTAGTATATGAGGATGTTGATGAATCGACATATGTCGTTGGTTTGGTATCTGGAGGCACATCTGTTGTCATGGAAACAGATGATGATTTGCCTGAAAACGAATCTGTTGTCATGGAAACATATGATGATGTCGGGGTGTCCGAAGACGAGTGCGTTGACGTATCGACATATGATGTTTCGGTAACTGATGACGAAGATGTTGTCACGGTCACAGATGATGACGGTGGGGTATCTGAAGACAAAGATGTCGTCATGGATACCTGTGTTGATGGAGACGTGCCTGAAGATGATGGAGAGGACATTGATGATGTTGGTGATGTCTGCATTACTGTAGCTGATGTTGACGAGGCACCAGATTCAGTGGTGGGTTTAAAAGTGATTGCAGACGTCGACTCTGTAGAGGCCAGTGGTGTAGTTGAAGACGTACCACTTGTAGTTGTGGCTGCAAAAGTAGTCATTGTAATAGTAGATGTGTCTGTGGTTGTTGACGTTTCTGGCGTAGATTGACTTGATGATAACGATGTGGTAGTTGTTGTTGGTGTAGTTACTGATTTCGACGTGACAGTAGTACTTAAGGTTTTCGCGGTGGTGGAAGTTTTCATCGTTGGTGTAGAAGTAGTCTTTGTTGTTGTCGGAGTAGTTGTAGCTACTGTCGTTGAGGTCATAGTAGTAGTTGTAGTTACTGTCGTTGAGGTCGTAGTAGTAGTTGTTGGACTAGCTGTTGTTGTCGATGTTAGAACAGTAGGCTTTGGCGGAGGATATGTAGCTACAAGATAAAAACATGCCATGAACTTTCCGGGCAGAAAAAACAAATAGTCCCCACAAATCCTAAAACAAAACGTTCTTATTTTTCCTGTGTCACCATAAATTGTTGTAAGAGATATCGAAGTATACAAGTATACAGTTGTTGTTGTTTTTTCAGGCAAGAGGATCGGGGTCTGCAGGGGGGGGTGGGGGGTGGGGGGGGGGGGGGGGGGGTCGTTACAATGGACTTTACCGTCCTACCAAGCTGGATTAATCGCTGATCATTGTGAAGTGAGTGTTGCTGACGAAGGCGTACATTCACATCCCATACACTAATCACTAATGTCTAAACACAATAAAATACACAATACATACTCAAATCTACTCAAAAACACACAACACAAATAACATTTCGCATTTCATACCAAACACTTAACACAACCCACGACAGCACTCTACGCACTACACTACACGTCACACATCTCACAACACACTACGCGCTGCACTACACACATCTCACAACATAGTACACAAAGTCATTTAACACAACATTCACTACACAATCGCACTACAGATCATAAACTAATAACGACATACAACATATTTAACACCACACTGCACACACAACACACTAATCACAACAAACTTCACAATCAACACAAAACACTACACTACTCACATCTCACAACACACTAATCACAAGAAACTGGTCGAAAATTTCTATTTGAAAGGAGAAAAAACACACAGAACACAAAACTACCTTCGATGATACTCCTTTAGGGCTATAGATACCAACGGGCTCAGAGTCCACAGGATGATATAATATCCATAGCAATATAACAGCGCAGTCTTTGTCATCTGCATTCGGAACTAGTCGTTTTAGTTTGTTTTCGTGATACAGAAATCAGATGCTGGTCTCGATGGTTCGCTCACTCGTACCGAGAAGTTAGACGCCTCGACGCTGATCGCCTCATTAGGAAGCCAACCCGACGACACCTCCTATAGACGTGTCACGCAGATAGGTGTGTTATCGAAGAGAAAGATCTGATTTAATGAAATCGAATTGCTGTTATACTAACCATCCTTTCCACACGCTAGGTTACAGTAGTCGTCGTCACAGCATCTGGCACACAATGTACTCAGGGCCTCTTCTCTCCTGCCTTTTGCTTGATTGAGTTGTCCACAAGTCTTTAAAACAATGTAAATGTCGTATACCTCTACATGTAGTGACAATTACATTGCAGGCCGAATAAAGTGGGACCTCGCTAGCTCGACATGTTGGAGCCATCAACTATATGTCGATTTTTGGACAAGCAGGTACAAATACTAGAGTAAGGGAGTGAGTTTAACGCCTTAGTATAATGGTTAAAGCGGCGCTAAACCCGACTCACTCTCTTACTTCATGAGTTGGAGTGGAGTGAGTATGGTTTTACGCCGCTTTTAGCAATATTCCAGCAATATCACGGCGGGGGACACCACAAATGGGCTTCACACATTGTACCCATGTCGGGAATCGAACCCGAGTCTTCGGCGTGACGAGCGAACGCTTTAACCACTAGGCTACCCGACCGCCCCCTCATGAGTTGGAGCAGTCAGAAGATGTCCCCAGAAACCTAGGCGACTGAATGTTTCGGCTGGTCGGGCTTTGTTAATTGGTTGTTTGTGTGTCATGGTAACCGTTGCTTATAGTGAGTGAGTGAGTTGGGTTTAGCGCCGCTTTTAACAGAACTCCAGTTATATCGCGGCATGTCAGCTTAATTTGAGAGGAGAGCCCGAAGTGATGCAGGTCTCAGACGTTTACCACTTCGGTGAAACCCACGAGCACGGGTATGGTGCTAACAAACCTAGAAACATAATCGGGGCGAACCGGGATTCGAACCCACAATCATAGGTTTCTGGCGTGCCCAAAAGACGCAACTCCGCACAGCGAATCGCGGCGCCTCAGACGACAGGGCCACCCGTGCCCGCTCGTTGCTTATAATAGCCATCACTGGAGTGCATTGTCCACATTATTAACAGTCCTCCTTCGTGTCGCTGGAATATTGCTGAATGCGTTAAACAATATCAATATGTAGAATACGTGCATCATGATACCATACATAACTTTACTGTTCACAAATATAGTAAAAGCGACAAAACCCTGACTGTACATATTCAAGAAATCTCTGCCGAAACCAGAGTCAAGCATGTGTTTATGAATGACTATCAAGTTTACCTACATAGGTATCCACGCATCCAAGATTGAATCGCAGTTCAAATTCGTCAGTGAGAACCTCGTCGATGTAACATTGCTGAGAATAAACAAGTAATGCTATAAGTAATGATACAAGTAATGACAAAAGTAGGACAAAAGTACCGAAACAAGTAATGCACATAAGGACACAAGTAATGATGCACGTAATGATACAAGTAATGATGCACGTAATGATGCACGTAATGATACAAGTAATGACACAAGTAATGACACAAGTAATGACACAAGTAATGACACAAGTAATGATACAAGTAATGATGCACATAAGGACACACGTCATGATGCACACAATGATACAAGTAATGATACAAGTAATAATGCACGTAATGAAACAAGTAATGACACAAGTAAAAATACAAGTAGTGCTACAAGTAATGATACAAGTAATGATGCACGTGGTGATACAAGTAATGACACAAGTAAAAATACAAGTAGTGATACAAGTAATGATACAAGTAATGATGCACGTGGTGATACAAGTAATGACACAAGTAAAAATACAAGTAGTGATACAAGTAATGATACAAGTAATGATGCACGTGGTGATACAAGTAATGACACAAGTAAAAATACAAGTAGTGATACAAGTAATGATACAAGTAATGACACAAGTAATGATGCACGTAGTGATACAAGTAATGATGCACGTAATGATACAAGTAATGATCCACGTTTTGAAACAAGTAATGATGCACATAATGATACAAGTAATGATACAAATAATGATACAAATAATAATACAAGAAATGATGCACGTAATGCTACAAGTAATGATATAAGTAACGATGCATGTAATGGAACAAGTAATGATGCACGTATTGATACAAGTAATGATGCACATAATGATACAAGTAATGATACAAGTAATAACACAAGTAATGATACATGCATCATCGAAGTACTTCAATACTATTCACATACATTTGTATATGCACGGAAAATAATTGCTATAATTGCTGTAATTAGCTATATCCCCGTTTCGGAAATAATCGATCTTAGCTCTTGGACCACCTTAAGTCCATGCTAGAGTATGGGAGTGAAAGCCACCATAGTCTCTATCCCAATCCCCTATAGCATCAGGTTTTTTTGTATAAGTTCTTACCTGATTTGCTTCACAGGTTTTCACCTGTTCACATTCAGATGGTGCCTTGATGAAGTCACAATGATAACATGACCGTCCCTTGGGTGCTGAAGTTGGAAGACACGACATTCAGTCTAAAGCATTTATTGGGACACTGGTACAATACGCACGTCCATTGACTTCACATTGATGGCGTGAGATTCGCGTCATGTGGACTTCCACTTGGACGATCTTGTGAGTGAGGAAATGAGTGAGTATGGTTTAAAGGCCCATTTAAGCAATATTCCAGCAATATCACGGCAGGGAACATCATAAATGGGAATCACGCATTGTACCCATAGAACAAACGAACCCGGGTCTGATGGATCAACAACTTGGTTACCACACCCGCCCACTGTACATACCAAAACCAAAACTCAACAGCTGCAACGGCGTCATTGTTCGAGTCGAAATGGGTTCTTGTTCATTGCTTTCCTCATGTTTCGGAACAGATGGAAGTCTGACGGAGCATAAGGTCGTTCTTAAAGGAGTTCAAAGCCACACTCGTGAATTGTAGCCTGGCACTGAGTTATACACTGGTGTATTGTCGTGATGAATGACCACACCTACATCTTTTCCTGCTTTGGTGCTGGTGATGTCAAATGTTTCCACTGTTTTGATTGTCGTTCGGACTCATTTTTCATCAGATGTCTGAAGCTCTGGAATCCAACAAGCTCATACTTTCTTTATTTTTTTAATTTCTGTGACAATGGCATGTACTCTCTACTGAGAAATGCCTACTGAACTCGCCGTCGGTCATCACCATATCGTGGATTCTCTGGATCATTCCAGTGTTGCTGACGTCACAGGTCCTCCAGGCAGGGATCGTCATCAAGGCTGTCCCTGTCACGCTTACATTCTGCCGCCCACCTCCCTACGGTGGCATACGATCGGCATCCTTCCCCTGTGTTATGCTCAAGTCTCCTCAGGTGGCTGTTGGTGTTAAGACCTTTTCTGCAAGTACTTGGTCACTGCCATCCCCCAAGTTTGTCCAATTATTAAAGGCCACATAATTCTGTTTACTTACTTGTGATTTGCACAACTGACTCAAATGGTTATTGATGAAATCATGCAAGGTCCACAACAAACGAATTCACTGTGGCGCAATTCCTTTCATGCGAAACTCAGAACTTATCTATCTCATAACTTACGTCCCGCTCTGCATCCCATCCTGTTACAGTACTCTCCGGTACAGCAGTCCTCGCACACGTGGATGGCGACATCCTTACGTTCGACCTCTGACCTTCGACCTTTCCCAGCACCAGTACCACAGAGCTAAAGGGAAAATAATGTACAACATATTCATTTGTTGTTTCGAAAACAGAACCAATGTAATTTTCATTTCTGTTGTTGACAATTTAGATTAAAGTTGAATATTCTCGTGAAGAGGATTTGGGACCTATTGCAATAAATTTAGTATGTGTTTGTTTGGTGTTTTACGCCACACTCATCCAGCAATAGTCAATTTATGTGACGTCGGCCTGTAAATAATTGAATCTGGGTCAGAGTTAACAGATACTTACCAAAGGGGTGTAAGACATGTAGACACAATTTGCTTAAGTTATGCATTTACCTGTTGTTATTTAGTGCGTACATCCCATACATAAAAAAGTAATGTTATTTACATCTTACGTTCAACAATGTTAGATGTATGATAGATAACGATATCGATGTGACATATTATTCCACATGAAGGGATCACATAACGTCTAAATCATGACGTATTGATTGGTACAGCTTCGTTTCTGTATACAGTAAAGAACGGTTTTAACGAACTCAAAGGGACTACTAATTTAAGTTCGTTATAACCGTAGTTCGTTAAAAGCATATATACAGCAAAACTACAGCAAATAGTCGGGACCAAAAAGTAAGTTCGTTATATCCGTCAGTTCGTTATAAGCGTGGTCGTTATAACCGTAGTTTACTGTACGTTAAATACCTTTGTCCTTCTGGCATTTTCAAATATCTAGGGGCCAGCATACCGGAGCGTATCATTAAAAAAAATACTGGGCAAGTTGGTGACTAGTCTGGAATGTCTATTACAGTGACGCTTCATTGACATAGTTGTGAAAAAGCTTCTCAAAAATGTTTTTACCGCATATTATGAAGGCTCTTGACCTATGGTAATTCTCTGTTTAGATCACTTGTTTTCGATTAGGTTGGTTGGATTGTTGTTTAACGCCACACTCAGCAACATTCTAGCTATATGAATGCGGTCTGTAAATAATCGAGTCTTGACCAGACAATCCAGTGATTGACATCAAACTACACACTTTGGATACGATGACATGCATCAACCGAGTCAGCGAGCCTGACCACCCGATCCCGTTAGTCGCCTCTCACAGCAAGCATGGGTTGCTGAAGACCTATTTTGTACCCGGATCTTCACGGATCTTTTCGATGTGGCATAACATGGATAACATCACATCTTCCTTGACATAGTTACATGAAAAAGTATTAAGACAGAAACATTTCGTTCGGGGTTATACTTACTGACTGTGCTCTGCAGCCGACTTTATAGAAGATGTGGCCCTGCTCTGTGATATACTCATCAGTAAAGCATGCCTGGAAGGAAGGGATAAGGTACTGGACTAATGCGTAAGTGTTGAATGGAGTGTTAAACAATACAATACAATGTTGGAATGGAGCAATGGAGCACTCCTCACAGTGAAATATCCTTATACTCTCTCTCTCTCTCTCTCTCTCTCTCTCTCTCTCTCTCTCTCTCTCTCTCTCTCTCTCTCTCTCTCTCTCTCCATATTAGAATACAATATTGATGTAGTTACCTCGTCCGATTCACACTGCAGTTTCTGATGACAGTCATGGGGTTGGTTTACTCTATCACAATAGAGGCAGTTGGGGCCAGCTGAATTAGTCATGGAATGCGCATGTGAAAAGTAAATAAGTCTATTGTTTCTCAAATCATACAAATCAATTTAGGCCAGACATTATTATTTAACTTGGTTTACGAATTCGCCGACTCCCCGAAAATGAAACGTAAACAATTAAATATATAAAGGCAGTGGATAGTGTTATTTCGCCGGACAGAAATAAGTAAAATATGTTTTTAAATAAATCCATTTACTTTCGCTTTCAATCCAACGGATTTATTTAAAATATTATTGCTAAAATGTACCTTAAACATTTTGAACGCAACCAATTATGACAAATCGCGACAGATCCGTGTCAAAAACTGAATTGAGGTAATTTCAACTGAAGGGAGGTAATTCTCAACTGAAGGGAGGTTATTCTCAACTGAAGGGAGGTAATTCTGAACTGAAGGGAGGTAATTCTTAACGGAAGGGAGGTAATTCTTAACGGAAGGGGGGTTATTCCAAACTTGTTTTTCCCTATCCCCACGTCCCCACTTAAGATTGGGTAGGATGGGGGAGGGGATGGAGACGGGTTTGGTATGTGTATGGGCTAGTGTGGGTGTAGAGATGGGGGGTAGGACTGTGATGCGGTGTGAGGGGTGAAGTGATTGACATTTTTGGAGGACGGGGAGAGGATAGCGATTGCTTGGGGAGGACGTGGGGATAACGTGAGGACTGAGGACTGAGGATGGGATACAGTGGGGATCAGGATGTGTTGGGATGGGATGGGATAGGCCTGGAGGGGAAGAGTAACAGGGAATGAGTATGTGTTTGGGGTTGGGTAGATGTACGGACGGGGTGTGGTAAGCTGATTTCTGTTCGAGACAAATATTTTCGAACACGCACTTCATCAAAATCACTGTCAGGGGGTGCCGGTATTTGCTTGGCATCCATGATATATCAGTATTCTTTACTTTTTAACGACGAGTGATTCATAGCATGTTCCTCAAGTATTGACTTTTTTCACCTTTCCGCACGCACTGTCAGTTTTGCAAGTATACAGACACAAATCAAACTAAACACGATACTAAAATATTGTAGATTGACATTGACCTTGCCGCCTTGACCTCGTTGTATTTACGTAGTGACCATTGACCGTGTAGACAAGACATGACCCCAACACTGCAACAAAGACATCGAGCATCACCGAGTATACAAAAAAGCAGAAATACTATAAATATCACTTGGATAGTTGGCCATGTCCTTCAAATCGGAAACACATATATTCCAATTTCATATTCTGGTGCCATGTTTCCTCTTCAACAATGTATTAAACAGTCTGCATATTAAATCCACACAGAATATATTCAGGTGAGTACTTCAAGGCAATATTGGTGTACGGCCCTTCCATTGATCTACGGTTCTTCGGTTGGCTGTGTAGAGCTGCGTCCTTAACCTGCAAGATGACCTGTACGTCACTCCCTCATACAAGCTACTACCAGCATGTTCGAAGGTTTCATTTTACCATACCTACACATATCTATAAATTCAACAACCTTCACACAAATGTTAGTGAGTGAGTTGGGTTTAACGCCGCTTTTAAAATTATTCCAGTTATATCACGGCGTGTCAGCTTAAACCCACGAGCACGGGTACGGTTCTGACAAACCTAGAAACATAATCGGGGCGAACCGGGATTCGACCCCACATTCATAGGTTTCTGGTGTGCCCAAGGGACGCAACTCTGCACAGCGAATCGTGGCGCGTTAGACGACTGGGCCAGCCGTGGGCCACACTCATGTTAAAAGGCCACGTATACATGATATTTCTGCCGAACATTAGTTCAATGACACGTTCAAAATCAGACCATGTTTGTCACTGGTGGCCATGTTTGACATTTGTGGAAATATCAAGACATAAACATCATTACATTCTCGTGTGGATCCATGGCTAGAATAGGTCCCCCACAACCTATACTGGTCTTGCAAGACGACTTCCAATTGTGTGTGATCGAACCCCGACGGTTTGAAAGATCCAGACTCGAGTATGTACCGGCTGCTTCAATCTGGCAGATTGTGGCGTTAAACAAAAAAAAAATACTTTAAAAAAATTAAAATAAGGTCGGAGTGACATATTGGCAACTAAAGTTCAACTCAGACATGAGACACACATTCGTGCCAAAGAACAGTAAATAATACTAAAAAAATATATCTTACCAAACAGTTTCAGTAAACAAGACATGTCGGTACCAATGGAGTCTCACGTTATCAAACCGCCAACTGTGACACGGGGAGCCACAGGCAGGTGGAAGGGTCCCACGCTCTTTTCTTTGTGTCCAAGTATTGCTTTGCTAAATATAAAGAAGCGTTACTCGATTTAGTAACAGAATATATATTTGACTTATCGCCCCAAGAGAGGTCACAGGTAAGAACATGTGAACTTTAAAGTTCCAGACGTGAAAGTTGACAAGTGCTGATAGGTGTGTCCATATCATCCGGATCAATATGGACACAATAGGTGTGGCCTTTTTTTACTTCGGGCTCGGTGTAATGAACCACGATTCGTTTTGCAGAGTTGAGCCCTTAGGCTAGAAACCTGTCCGAGGGTTCTAATCAATGATTCACACTAATTATTTTCCTAGATTTATCAGCACCATACCTATGCTTGTTGGTTTCACCAAAATGGTAAACGTGCAAGACCTGCATCACTTTGGGGAATTGCTCCATCATCAAGAACACCATGCAGAGTTGAACCCTTAGGCTAGAAACCTGTCCGAGGGTTCTAATCAATGATTCACACTAATTATTTTCCTAGGCTTATCAGCACCGTACCTATGCTTGTTGGTTTCACCAAAATGGTAAACGTGCAATACCTGCATCACTTTTGGGAATTGCTCCATCATCAAGAACACCATGCAGAGTTGAACCCTTAGGCTAGAAACCTGTCCGAGGGTTCAAAAAAATGATTCACACTAATTATTTTCCTAGGTTTATCAGCACCACACCTATGCTCGTTGGTTTCACCAAAATGGTAAACGTGCAAGACCTGCATCCCTTTGGGGAAAGGATCCGTCATCAAGAACACCATGAAATAACTGAAATAGTGTTCTGAGCGGCGTTAATTCGATACTCACTCTCTCACAACGAGTCACAGATTACATTTCCCACAGTCTCGATGGCTTTACGTTAACGATGTTTCATTGAAGGATACACACAGCTAGTGATCGTCATGTCTTAGTGATGGAAACTGCCTCAGCAAGTTCTTGTGTATTTCTTCCACGTTATCCTTGATGTTTTATAATCTAAAACTAGTCTTTTCTTGGATATGAAAATTTTCCACAGGAAAGATACATGTTGAACCACAGATACTTGTCTCCTAAGAGTGCGTTAAACTTACATCGATATTACATATAACTAAGCGATGTGTTTGAAGAAGATTATAAAAATTAACATAATTTGCATGAAACAATAATTTTCTGATGGAATGAATTCTTCATTGCAATTGTGATATTAGCCATTGTTATTTTGTGACCATGGTGAATAATCCTTGTAATGGATTCTGCTCCACATATGAATAGTAAAGCCATGAGTGCAGTTTATATCACGGCGGTCTGTCCAAAGATCAGACAAAGAGTCATAGCCACCCGTCGGGGTACGATGACACGTACAGAGCCTGACCACCAGATCCCCATCTTAGTCGGCTTCTGAGGCACTATAAGAGGCACTGCAAACCTACTCTGACTCGATAAGTATCCCCAAGGGTACATGGTTATTGAGACTAAATATGTTTTATTCATTTTTTGAACTAATAACTTTACAAAGTGTAACAATTGTTATATTTTGATAAAACATTCTTGGTAAAGTACAAATTCTAGTACTTTTGGGGGTTGAGTCCCATGATCCCATGATAAAACTTCCTTGGTTTGAGTCCGGATGTTGCATTTGACCACTTTCTAAACGGCATTTTGTATTCAGAAAGTCTATTGCAATATAACACACATATAGAATTAAAAAAATTCAAATAAGCGTTTTATAACTATTTATAAATAATTTGACCTAGTTATTTTTTATCCTTGCCAAGCCTACATTGGACACTGTGTAAATGTTCACGTAGCACCGTCAAAGGTCAGATATGGGACATAGCTATGATCATTGTGGCCGATCTGAAAACTACTCACAGGCGAAAATAACTGTGAATATACATATTAATTGGTTATTGACAGTTATTATTACAACGAGCTGAAAAGACATTTTCACTTCTCGGAATTGTTTTGGGGGAAACATAAGGGTCTAATTAACATTACATTTTAAATAGTTTTAGAAAGTTATTTTAAACACAAATATGAACATGATCACAGGTACGTAAACAAGGTGGTGGTACTGGTGGAATGTTCAAGACAAGTATTTATTTGTTTTTTGTTTAACGCCGCACTCAGCAATATTCCAGCTATATGACGGCGGTCTGTAAATAATCGAGTCTGAACCAGACAATCCAGTGATTGACATCATGAGCATCGATCCACGATCGATACCATGACATGCATCAACCAAATCAGCGGGTCTGACCACCCGATCCTGTTTGTCGCCTCTGACGACAAGCATAGTCATCTTTACGGAAAGCATAGGTTGCTTAAGACCTTTTCTACCCCGGATCTTCACGGGTCTGTTCAAGACAATTAATTCGGATAAGGTGGTCTGTAGCAACTGGTTCGCCTGACCACAACTCAATCAGTTACCGTCGTAATATTTCTGCAGTGTTGCTTGGTGCGGCGTAAACCAACATTGTCTCCTCCCTGTGAGTGTAAGTTCTCTTGTTATGACAGGACACCAACATGACAAATCGATCAGGTGTATTTCATCTGATAGTCTGTAGTCAATCGCCTATATCGGTCAGCCCTTTTATTAAATGTCATTGATTGGGCACGGGTGGCTTGGTGGTGTGAGGCGCAGCAAGCTCCTGCGTAGAGTTGCCTCCCGTAGGCGTGCCAGCAACCTATGATCATGGTTCGTTTCCCAATTGGCCCTGATTATGTTTCTAGGTTTCTCAACATATTACAGATGTGAAGATTGAAATATGTTAATGTGTCGCACTAAGAGTGCACATCAACTGCTGTGATCATGGAGGGAAATATTATCGGCACGACATCACTACTGCCGTTGTCACACTCCACATACACGTGTTCACATAACAATGCCGCAGGGATGAACGACCAGGAATTAAACATACCTCGATTACAGCAGGGCAGATATATTTAGCAGGTGTTATATCACGGCGTGTCAGCTTAATGTTGGAGGAAAGCCCGAAGTGATGCAGACCTCAGACGTTTACCACTTCTGTGAAAACCCATGAGCACGGGTATGGTGCTGACAAACCTAGAAACATAATCGGGATTCGAACCCATAATCATAGGTTTCTGGCGTGCCCAAGGGACGCAACTCTGCACAGCGAAACGCGGCGCCTGATCAGTCGGAAGGGATCCTAATTGGGTTTGTTCACTAGCCAATATATTAGCAAATATCGCCGTGGGCGCTTATTACGTCGAATACGGTTTCGTGTAAAAGAGTACACTCGGGCGTTTCTCTTTAATAGTTTATTCTTTCTTCATGAGATACCAGTCTCCGTGTCGTGTATTGTTCCTACATCCGTGCTAAACGTGTCTTTCGTACGAGTGTTGTCTTAGTCCTCTTGATGTTCGTTGGTTAGGTGTATATATAAACAAACACCTTCTGCGCACCCCTTCACAGAAGAAGCCAAACTATTTTGATGGTCAGGTGTCCCATTTGTCAGACAATGGAGTATGGGTTATTAATAAGGTCTACATCCATATCTAAATTTGACTAACCTAATATAGTAGTCAAGGAAATAGGTTAGTGAGTTTTGTTTTACGCCGCTTTTAGCAATATTCCAACAATATCACAGCGGGGGGACACCAGAAATGGGCTTCACACATTGTATCCATATCGGGAGTGGAACCGGGTCTTCGGCGTGACGGGCGAACGCTTTAAACACTAAGCTCCCCGACCACACACACACACACACACACACACACACACCACACACCCAACACCCCACACACACACACCACACACCCAACACCCCACACCCCACACCCCACACCCCACACCCTACGCCGCTTTTAGCAATATTCCAACAATATCACAGCGGGGGGACACCAGAAATGGGCTTCACACATTGTATCCATATCGGGAGTGGAACCGGGTCTTCGGCGTGACGGGCGAACGCTTTAAACACTAAGCTCCCCGACCACACACACACACACACACACACACACCACACACCCAACACCCCACACCCCACACCCCACACCCCACCCCACGGACATGCAATGTAATGTACAGAATAGGAACTCATAAGGGAACAATAGGTGGGTGACTGGGAAGAAATCAAATTGAGTTTGTAACATAATTTGGACTGAAACCTGCAGGTGTCCCTACACCATTATCTGTACATGGGTTGGGCCAGGGTTACTGCAGGTGCCAATACAGAAGCAACTGTTTGACAAACAGGTGCTCCTGTTTGAAATCGGGGTTGAGATACAATAGTGCATGCCACAGCCACAAATCCTGTGCCAACTGTGAATCAACTGAGCGGTGGCATGATTCAGAGACTCTTTATATGCAGATAACACTGCTTGATATTTGTTTTTATTTAGAAAATATAGTTTCTTAAGATCCCATATTTGTTTGGTTGTTATCTATTTATTCACTTAATAATAGAGTTTATTTTATCAACAACAAAATATGTAAAACAATACCAATTAAATTGCACGCTTCAGTCAGAACAAATACCTGCCCATTGCGTGAAATGAGCAAGCTGGTTGCCCATATTGTGAAATATTTGGAGAAATACTTTTCATTCGCAACATGCCAAAAGCTTGATGAAGATAATTGTTTGCACATTGCGTGCATTGGGCAAGCTGTATTGTCCATTGCACGCATTTGGCCAACGGCGAGTCCAATACACGCAATGGGCAGCTGTACATATACATCACAGTTTGTATTTCTTGTTTAACACCGTACCCGTCAATAATCTAAGAACATAAGTCCTGTAAACAAACAAACCAACTATTGACTGATAATACGAGCACTCTCAACTCCACCCTTTTCCGACATGTCCTTGTGTTCACTTGTCCACCGCGCCAATCTCCATCGGTTGCAAATCCTCGATCTGTCTGTGTAGTATATGGGGTCACGGTGGCCCAGTTGTCAATTCACTGTACAGAGTTGCGTCCCTTGGGCACGCCAGAAACCTATGATTGTGGGGTCGAATCACAGTCCGTCCCGATTATGTTTCTATGGTTGTCAGCAAACGTCTGACACCTACATCACTTCAGGTTCTCCTCCCACATCAGTCTGACACGCCATGATATAACTGGAATAGTGATCAAAGTGACGGTAACCAAACTCCCTCACTCTGTGGTATATGCATATCTGAAGTACTGTGTAGTAGTATATGCTTTATTTGTCTTATCCACGCGCATAAATGTATACTAACCGTTGAGAAAACTAGGAAAACAATACTGACAACATTATAAGTTACACATTTACACCTAACAGAACTGCGTGTCATGGTAAGTTACACATTTACACCTAACGGAACTGCGTGTCATGGTATTCATCCCAACAGCCGACTGGTACAGAACGCCGTGTTACAGGCTCTGTACTCCACGTGGTGGCGCTGACAGTCCTCTGTACTCCCTACACTGTTGCACGACCGAGTCCTCGTCTGAAGTCCGCCTTTAAGAAAAAAACACATCAATACTTACAAACAAACTTAGAAATCCTGACTGTGATCAAAGCTTTGTCAGCAAACATTTCCATGCAACACAACAGTGATGAACGTATTGGGTTGAAATGAAATTCAACAAAATATTAACCGTCAACGCCAGAGAATAACCAGACAGGATTATCCGACGAAAGAGATTCCATTGGATAAAAAGCAAAAGGGCAGAGGAAATTATATCATAAAAAAATGGATCACTGAAAATCAATCATGACGCCAGATTTCGCGAAAGGGGTAAGCAATGTCCTGCTCTAACGATAGCACCCGACACTCAAACAATTTGCTTAAAAAATGTAAGTGTTTGTCCTCTGACGCCACACAACAGTCCTACTGCCTTGCGACGGCGGCGTGTAATCCCACCGGACAATCAAGTGATGGACCATGTGCATAGTGCATTAAAATTTACTGATTTTGTTGAAAGTGCGTCTGCTGCCGAGATTCTGAAAGAAAATCGTTCAGGAAATATATATGTTCGTATAGCAGCACAAAACACGGACATACCTCCACAAGACTGAGAGCACTGCGACCACGATGTCCACTTTCCACTCTCTCCATTTGGTGGGGTTCGAGTCTCGAAAGGTCTGGTAGGTCCCGCACCCCAGCCCTGCAACAACAAATTTCATTCTAAATAAACAAAGAATTTCTCTTCTGACAAAAACACACGCGAATGTAAGAGGAGGGAGAGGGGCGTATATACAATGCATTACGCGATATTATTTTGTAATGTCAATCAGTACAATAATACAAGGAACAATTTTATGTTCGTTTGTCACACCACCGAACAAACAACTGTCCGTAGTACTGATGCCCTCCAAATAAAGTGTATTTCCTCCACGCTCAACACACAAGGGGGCAAGGCTGGGCCAGTCGTCCAAGGCGCCGCAATTCGCTGTGCAGAGTTGCGTCCCTTGGTCTCTCCAGAAACTAATGATTGTGGGTTGGAATCCCCTTTCGCCCCGGTTATGTTTCTAGCACCATACCCGTGGTCATGGGTTTCACCAAAGTGGTAAACGTCTGAGACTTGCCTTACTTCGGGCTTTCCTCCCACACCAAGCTGACACGTCATGCCATAACTGGAATACTGTTAAAAGTTGCTTTCACTCACTCTTTCACACAAAACACAATAAAATAATATCCACCAGATTGTATACCCTTGGGTATTTCCATAGATGGATAAAATATACCGGTGAAACATGTCCTGAGAATACAATATCCAAGAATAAACATATATTTTCCAGGGGGATGAAATATCCTGTTACACATTCACCCAGGTCACACATTGCAAACAACCGATCCTTATCTGGGTGGGTTCTTGCAAGCATCATTGGGTACTGTGGAAGTATTCTGTGGGATGAAGATGTGTAAGATGGAGGCATTCATACGTGTGGGGGATCCTTGGATGTAACCTGAAGACTGCTGGCATGGAGACCATTGTTCCCCGTCTGTAAAACAGAACAACAGAAGAAGACTGGGTTATTGCATTCGTGTAGTAGATAAGTGGAGGACATTTCCAAATTTGACGCATCATAGACAAAAATGATGTCCGATGCAATTCCATTTTCTGACTTGTACCATATGTCCTCGTGTTTGTTTCAAGTTAACAATTGACTTGCCTTTGCATGTGTTTGTGACGGGAGCCACTGGTCACCTTTTCGGGACTACCTGGTGCCATCACTATTTGATAGTGATAGTGATTCCTAAACACATACTCATGATATAGTCGGAATCGCACAATCGACTTTGCTTTTAGCAGAGATTTCTATTGAATATGAAAAGGGTTTTTACGCATTTATGCCAGTGCAATATAATAATATCCTGTGTTTGCGATGTTTATTTGTTTAATGTCGAATTCAAGAATATTCCAGCTGTGAGACACCGGTCTGTAAATAACTGAGCCTGGACGGACAATTGGACTGGATTGATATTATGGACAACGTCCCACACGGTCGGGGAACGCCGACATGCAATCACCGAGCCTGACCATCCGATCTATCATAATCGCCTCTTACGACACATCTAGGTTTGCTGGGCACACATTATAACCCGTAACCATCACATGGGATGAGCCCTGTCATGTAATCAGATAATGTTGCCGTTTGATCGATGTCTACGATAAACAATGAGGAACAAGTAGTCAGGTTATCTAAGACTTAATGTGTCGTGCTGACTTGCGACCCTTTGCTGCATGAACCCGCGAATTGTGAGTTCATACACACCATTCACTCTAATCATATTCCCTAAAATTATTATTTGAAGTCCCATGTTTCTACTGATGTCTTTATCCCAATTTTGCAACAAAAATAATATTCAGTATCCTATGAGCTCGTCACGAAATTTGGTAAATTATCACTGCTGTCAAATTGTTAAATATTAGTTGCACTGCGTATTGTAGATATTTTCACATGTTTGGTATTGATGTTATTTAAGCCACACATGTGTCAATTCCATTGATGTCAATGTTTTCATATTCAAATAAGGACTCAAATAAGTGGATCACTTTTGCCTAATGATATCGTGATGGTCAGTACAATCAGTTTAAACTAAACTAATCATGATGATGTTCTCACAGTACTCTACCAGTACTATTGGATTTGCTGAAAAATTAATCGTTTCAGACCTGCGTCATCTCCTAAGGCTTACATGCCGTGAAAAAGTTGTCAAAACTGAACTCATTCCCTTAGATATACACAGGATGGCGACCTTTGTGCCTCCCGTGGGCGACCATAAAATTTGGCAGGTCGTCGTTGGAGGCTTCAAGGAGGCAGACTGGTTGCCTGGGTCGTTCCAAGGTACACAGGAGGTTCAGGCATCGCCATGGACGCCGTGGTCGCCGTGAAGTTTTAAACATGTTCAAAACAGTCGCACAAAGGTCGCCGAGGAGGGGGGGGGGGGGGGGGGGGGGGCACAGGCATTGCCGTTGTTGCAGAATGAAGGCACAGTGGTCGCCCAATGGTCGACAGGTAAAAGATGCGTTCTGCTGAAATATTTTCCCGTCAGGGGGCTTTAAGGGGGCTTTAAGATTCACAGTTCCTAAATATACAGCCATATTACAGCTCATACCGCTCATTTACACACATCTAGATCTGTCACATCTTACAATGGGAGCTCTCTTGTAGGGTCCGTACGCCCTGGAGGTGCAGTCGCCGTCGTTCATGTCGCCGGACTTCACCTCGAACCTGATGCTTGGACATCTCACTGGACATGACTCTGTTTCATTCTCCATCCGGTCTTTCATGTTCATGTATTTGAAGAACCAGAGCCTGCAGTGAGTGGACACAATGAAACCTCTGTTACTCTTGCACGTGTACTCCATTCTCTCGATATCTGTACCTATTTCCTTCAGACATACCTTGTACCCTTCAGGCAGACATACCTTGTACCCTTCACATAGAAATACCTTGTACCCTTCACATAGAAATACCTTGTACCCTTCACATAGAAATACCTTGTACCCTTCATATAGAAATACCTTGTACGCTTCACATAGAAATACCTTGTACCCTTCACATAGAAATACCTTGTACCCTTCACATAGAAATACCTTGTACCCTTCACATAGAAATACCGTGTACCCTTCACATAGAAATACTCTGTACCCTTCACATAGAAATACCTTGTACCCTTCAGATAAACATTCTATTCAGATGGGCATACCATGTACTTTGTACATGTAAATTGCATATCCAGTACTCACTCAGATTGAAATACCGTCTAGCCCTCAGATTGACATAACCTGTAGATGGACATACCCTCTACCTCTGCAGATGGACATACCCTCTACCCCTGTAGATGGACATACCCTGCAGCTAGACATACCCTCTATCCCTACAGATGGACAAACCCTCTACCCCTGCAGATTGACATACCCTCTACCCCTGCAGATGGACATACCCTCTACCTCTGCAGATGGACATACCCTCTACCCCTGTAGATGGACATACCCTGCAGCTAGACATACCCTCAACCCCTGCAGATAGACAAACCCTCTACCCCTGCAGATTGACATACCCTCTACCCCTGCAGATGGACATACCCTCTACCCCTGCAGATGGACATATCCTCTACCCCTGCAGATGGACTAACCCTCTTCCCCTGTAGTTGGATATACCCTGCACATAGACATACCCTCTACCCCTGCAGATGGACATACCTTGTAGCTAGACATACCCTCTATCCCTACAAATGGACATACCCTCTACCCCTGCAGAGGGACATACCCTGCAGCTAGACATACCCTCTACCCCTGCTGATGGACATACTTTGTAGCTAGACATACCCTCTATCCCTGCAGATGGACATACCCTCTACCCCTACAGATGGACATACCCTCTACCCCTGCAGATGGACACACCCTGTAGCTAGACATACCCTCTACCCCTGCAGATGGACATACCCTCAACCCCTGCAGATGGACATACCCTCTACCCCTGCAGATGGACATACCCTCTACCCCTGCAGATGGACATACCCTGCAGCTAGACATACCCTCTACCCCTGCAGATGGACATACCCTGCAGCTAGACATACCCTCTATCCCTACAGATGGACATACCCTCTACCCCTGCAGATGGACATACCCTCTTCCCCAGCAGATGGACATACCCTGTAGCTAGACAAACCCTCTACCCCTACAGATGGACATACCCTCTACCCCTGCAGATGGACATACCCTCTACCCCTGCATATGCGCATACCCTCTACCCCTGCAGATGGACATACCTTGTAGCTAGACATACCCTCTACCCCTGCAGACTGACATACCCGGTGGTGTTGTCATGATACACAGCTCCCCCCGAGGTGTCCCGGTCAAGCTCCTCCACGCTGGACATCTGCTTCCAGTGGTGTCCGACCCAGCCGGTGTCATCACGGAAGACGGGGTAGTACATCGTGAAGTGGAACTTGCCATTGCGGGGGAAGCATATACCAAACCGCACCCAGTCCCCCCTGAAACAGTGTACCGATGTATTATACGTATAATCAGTGGTCATATCAATAACGTTGGAGTCCAGCTGAAGTAGTACACTCCGGAAAACTTGTAAACAATAAGACCCGTTGGTTATATAACAGGCCTGAAGAGTCATCAAATGTCCCTCATCACCAAGAGACACACATCATTCTAGTCCGTGTTAAGTTATTCTTTTGATCAAGGTAAAAATCTATTCAACTAAAATACATTACCCTAATTTTGTTCGCAATATTCCAATTATATATGTTAATTACAGTGGCCCGTAAATAATCGAATCTTGGTAAGGTTGATAGCATATTGTGTAGAGAGACACACTTTGTAGAAAGTGATCATGAGTGAATAAGTAGTGTTTAGCGCTGATTTATTCCAGTTATATCAAGCCATTCACACTGATCGTTTTTTGTTTAACCACGCACTTATCAATATTCCAGCTATATGACATCGGTCACAATATATAATCAGCAGATTCACACTACACTCTCCTCGTTCATTCAGGGAATATTGTTTCCCGGCATGCTCATTAGTGTTCCAGCCATTTAAATGTGGGGAGAGTAAAAATAAGCTTCACATATGTAGGAATCGAACCCGAACGTTCCTGTAACGAGGTAACGCTCAAACCACCACCTCTGCCTATCTTGGCTTGACGACAAACATAGCTCATAGCGATCAGTGTATATAGTCTAGTTATTTGACGGAGGCCTGTAAATAATCGTATCTGGACCAGACAATTGCAGTCTGGGTAATAAATGGTTGCTCGGGGCCTCTTCTAACCCGACATTACCACGGGATGAATGTGCCACGAAGAGACTGTCAAATGCGGATGTAACTTACCTCTCCACCCCGTCACCCTTGACCCTCCCCTTCCAGTGTCTGGTGTAGCCGAGGTACCCCGTCATTACTTACTTTTCCACCCCTTCTCCTTTCAACTCAAATGCCCTTGGAACTTTCCCATTCCAGTGTATTGTGTAGCTGTGGTCGCCGCCGAGAGTAACGGGGAAGCCGGCGGAGGCGTGCCAAGTCTCGTCCATTCTCGCTGATGGATTGTCATCTCGCACAGCAAATGGATGACTTTTATCTTCATCCTCGGTACTTATCAGACGAAGGTTCAGCTGGTGATTAACAATTATTTATCAACTTTATTAGCTTGGAGCTCTTTTATGTTTTTCTGTTGTTTAACGCCACAGTTAGCAATATTCCACGTATATGACGGCCTGTAAATAATCTGGACCAGACAATCCAATGATTGACATTGTGAGCAACGATCCTTGTCGTCGGGGGCGGTGACACGCTATCAACCAAGTCACCGACCCGTGAAGTTGCTGGTTAGAATAGGTCATCAGCAACGAATGCTTGTCGTAAGAGGCGACTGATGGGATCAGGTGATCAGGCCCGCTGACTTGTTTAGGTTGGTAACCTCCCAAAACCCCTACATCCCATTTCCCCTACAGCTTAAGACAACAAAGTTCACGGTCCATGGCACTGCTAATCCCTAGTCTGTTACCTATTTCATACAATGGAACAACCCAAGAAACTCGAATAGATTGAGATAAATATTTAATTACGATTACGATATTATTCAAAATTCATAATACATTATAATAAAATGTTCATTTTTCAAAATTCATAATACATTATAATAAAATGTTCATTTTTCAAAATTCATAATACATTATAACAAAATGTTCATTTTTCATCTCAACTGTAAATCGTCTCATCTCAGTTTCTCAGTGTAATAATTGTTTCTTCCTATTGTTATTTTTGTAATTTCTAAAAATTGTCTTCTCATCATACAGGCATCTTTCATTACACTTACATTATATTTTTTTATATAACTTTCCTTTAAGTCCCCTAATCCCCTAAAGCTCTACCCCTTTCATTTCTACTACCTCTACTCCAGACCTTAATCTCTCCTTTAGGTGAGTTCATAACGCCAGACAGGTAAATGCCGCGTGTTGTTTTAACTAATTGTAGGGGAACTGGGTTGTAGGGGAAATGGGATGTAGGGGTTTTGGGAGATAACCGGCCTAGGCATCGTATCACATTTTGCGTTGATGCATGTCGTATGCAAATTGCGGGGATCGATTCTCATGATATCAATCACCGGATTTTCACCAGACTCGATTACTTATAGACTGCCGTCATATAGCTGGAATATTGCTGAGTGCGGCGTCCGACAACAAACAAACAAACAAAATCTAAGTAACCGAACCAGACCACCTGATTCATTTCGTCGCCTCTCACAACCAGCAGAGATTGTTGAGGAGCTATTGCAACCTAGAATTCCCACGATATAGTAGGTGGGTTGGGAATTTATCGACAAGGTATGCCTAACAACTACATGAATGCCGTCATATATCCGACATTGAAGTTTTGAACTTATCACGTAATGGAGTCATGCATGTTCGTGTTGACCCGTTGACTTCCAAACACACGAGCACAATTGTAAAATACCATGACAGAAATAAGAACAAAATATGTCGTTCATCGGCAACCTTAAGAAACCTAAATTTCTGAATTTCGCCCATCTCAACCATTATCATCCCTGCAATGTACCACAACGTAGAAGATGAACCAACAAGAACAAAAGATCTCACCATCCCGAATCTTTGTGGACATATTTCCATATTCCAGTTATCTCGTCTGTAGCAGCGGGCGTTGTGGAAGAACGGTCCAGGTTTTAACACAGTGCTTCCCGGATATCCGGTAACGGAGCCATCCAAGTCTCGGAAAGCGGAGGTTTTATCCCCGTCGGCATTTCCAAATCCATGCACTGTCTCGTTCCCGTCATACACCCGGTTTCCGGTCGAATGCTAGAATAAATGAGTGACTTGTCTTTAACGTATTTTTTGTACCATTTCTCAGGTCACATGACGGCGTGTCTGTTTAGTTTGCAATTGAGACGAATACACGAAATGATGCAAGGCCTCGCTTTCCGTTTTGATAAAATCTTCGAGAACGAATGTGCTGAAAGAATAAAGATCATAACTGGGGCGATACTAGAATTTGAACCCATGATCATCGGATACGGGTACGACAAAGGGACGTTACTCTGTAGAGCGCTTTACTTGTGTATAAGAACCCAGGTTGCTTCACGTGAAGCCAAAATCAAACTCACCCCGTCGACGAAGTCAAACTTAGCATTCATGACTGTGTTGGTCGGGTTGATGGAGTAGTAGTCCTTCCTGAGGAAGCCGATAGCTCCAGATGTGTAGTTGATGTTCTCCTTGAAGCCGCTGAACCACACGTTCTTCAGATGCACGGGACCGTCGTATATCATGAAACCTACAAATGGCTGGTGGCTGGAGTGGAAGCACACGTTATTCATCATGAATTCCACCATGACACTGAACAATTTTTTTTATTCTGGTCGAACTATGATTAACACTATCAGGTATCCAATTCCATGCGCTACCTTAACATGCCTTTTCACACAAAACACTTGCGTTTGAAAACATCGATATATCGATACCCCATGAATCAATACATTTTGCAATGGCTGTTGATGGCTCATTAGAATTGAAAACGTCCAATTTAAGGACAGCAGTTTATTAAACATCATGAAATAAATTTCAGAACACACATAATTCAGTGAAATACACCCTACCAACTGTGTCAGGGACGTACAACCATCGGTGATAAACATGAGCGCGAAAGCGCTCGGTTTCAAATGAGGAGAAAAGGTAATGTATGATCTGCCGTTAGACAACCTCTAATTTCAAAACATGTACATGTACAGTAGCTTTACCTCCGACTTCTTTTGAATACTCATGTTTACTTTGATTCGAATCCATGTTTGTCCCGTTTACGATTCTTGTTCACCATATTTCGAGAAGATTTACATTGAAACTTGACCCCTTTAATCAGAAACCCCCGCAATCTGGACAGTTACTGCTGGGGGCGGTAACATGTACACAACGTGAAATTCCATGAATTGTTAATCCGGAAATGTGGTAATCCTGTGATAAACCCTGCGTATTAATTGGGATTCGTAGCATGTCCATTTGACGTCGTTGTCTCAAATACATTGAAAAGTTGAACGAGAGTGGATGAGTGAGTGAGTGAGTATGGTTTTACGCCGCGTTGGGAAATATTCCAGGTGTATCACGGCGGGGGACATCAGAAACGGGTTTCGCACATTGAGCTCATGAGGGAATCGAACCTGGGGTTTCGGCTTGACGAGCGAACGCTTAAACCACTCGGCCGCCCACGTGGACGAAAGGTGGTAAGAAGAAATTGAGTTTAACGTCGCGTTTTAGATCAACGCGTTATATACCGACCTGCATGCACGTGTGTGTGTGGCTGCTTGCACTAGTCAGGACTATTGTCGATATTATAGTGCTAGCCCACTGAGACACAAGCCGAAGCTTAACCACTTATGTTAATATCCCGCTCAGACACAGTGTGCTGACTCCGAGCCGACCAGTCCTTGTTTTAACCCTTTTATTTAAATATAATGCGTTAAAACCAGAGAATAACCAGTCTCGATTATCCGACGAAACAGATTTCATTGGGCGTAAAGGACAAATTAGCGCTTATACGTATGAGAGTAGATCAGTGAAATATCCATGGCCAACATTCAAATACCTTGGCAGATAAATGTTTGACAAAACATTGTTTTGATGACCGTAAAGACAAAATCAACCCAATGCTGAACTGTAAGAAAACTGCATGCATCGTCCCTTCGTGACGCATGCACGTGCACTGTGTTTCTTGTGCCGTTCGCACGTGCACTTTTCTCTTTAGCGAAATTCGTGTTCCGGGTAAGTTTTCGATTTATTTTGGACCACCTCCAACATACTGGTATTTATCACCTGGACGGGCCTATTAAGAAGCAAACATAGTAATGAGTTGATTAATTATAAGAGTACTAGTAATGTTATCCAAAGGCGATCAAATAATATGATGATGTTCAATGTACAGTAAAGCATATTGAATAAATTGAAAAAAATGCCCATTCATAAACGGATTAACTGTTTGTCTTGATGTGAGCAAATATTTCATTTCATGTCCCAAATGGAAAATCACTAATCAAGTTTAGCGATGAATCCTTCCAACCCAAGTGACAACTCACGTGTCATATTCGTGGGGGACACTCCGGGGCATGTACACCCACGTGTGTCCGTCCCAGTGACGGGTGGGGTCCCCTAGGTTCCGGGACTCCCCAATGATGATGGAGTTCGTCAGAGTCTGCGAGGGGATGGAACTGGAATTACATCACGTCAAACATAGGAAATTCAATGCAGTAGTGGACATGATCTACAAGGATATTTTTACCAAAATCATTTGAAAATTCATTTGAAGTTTATATAAGGATATGCATTAAGAAATCGAAGAAAAATATAGAAATGAGAAAGCGTATACCTTTATGACAATAACTACATCTTCGAGCAAGGTCGAACAAGGCTTAAGTATGGAATACGGTAAGGGATACTCTCGCGTTCTCCCACTCGCGCGGTCTCGATCCTTTAAAACATGCTGAAATGCCAAAAGTGCGAGAATTCGAAATCACAAGAACACAAGATTTGGCACTTTTTGCATTATAAGCTTGTTTCGAAAAGTCGAGATCGAGAGAACGCGAGAATGTCCGTTACAGCATACCGTACATAAGATAAATCATATCAATAAAAAAAATCAACCTTTTTGGCGTATTCAAAATGTATATGTTCCCAACAACGTTAAGATTTACATACTTAGCAAAGGTCATCCCCCGGCCACTGTCAGCAAACCTGCAATATATACATGTTCCTCATTAATTCGAACACCTCATTAATCCGGATCACGCTGGTGTGGAATCCTCGTCTTCCTAGCCATATTTCTTTTTTAATCTAAATCTACATAATTATCATAACAATCCTTCATTGCAAACTTTCGTTACACCGGGCATTTACGATTATGAACAGATTAACAGTTTGTTGCCTCAGTCCATTACTACAGCTTTATGTATTTATTGGAGTGAACACGGTATAAGCCTGCTTTTAGCAATATCACGGCGGGGGACACCAGGAATGGGCTTCACACATGTAGGGAATCAAACCCGAGCCATCGGCATGACGAGCGAGCACATAAACCACCAGGCTACCCTCACTGCCCCTATTTAATGATGTGAATGAATGAGTTTGGTTTAACGCCGCTTTTAACAATATTCCAGTTATATCACGGCGTGTCAGCTTAATGCGGGAGGAGCGCCCGAAGTGATGCAGGTCTCAGACGTTTACATCTTCGGTGAAACCCAGGAGCACGGGTATGGTGCTGACAAACCTAGAAATATAATCGAGGCGAACCGGATTCGAATCCACAATCATAGGTTTCTCGTGTGCCCAAGGGACGAAAATCCGAATCGCGTCCCCTCTATTTATTGGATATTTTGACACATAACAGCAGGTGCTATAATATATGTAATTCGATATGACTATGCTCTAAGATAATAGCTTGGGCCTTGCGGACATGCAGGCCTTAAAAACAATTACAGGAAAATGTATTGCAAGTTTTTTTACGCCGCCCAGAGTAAGCTTAATGTCCACACACATGTACTGCTGTACTGTTGGACATAATTCATCACCCTAATATATCATACGTATTTCGGTTCAACAATTTACAGAAATATTGATACGGTACTCACGACGAGTGATCCATCAGAATAAGACCCCCTCTTATCCAGCCGTTCTGGTAACGGTTCTTGTAGCCTGTGAAGCATACAGTACAGTTACAAAACAAGATGGGTGCGGTTTGCCCTGAGATCGAGCTCAGTCACACGCTACGAAGAAGTGTGGTTCCATGTCTCGAATGAAGGAATGGTGACAGTCTATGCCTGGCGATATACAAGGGACGCATATGGTAGCTGTCTTTTTCTAATTATTGGCAGGGAGTGGATGAGTCAGTTAGGTTTAACGCCGCCTTGAACAGCATTCAGTTATATAACGGTATGTCAGTTTCATGTGGAAGGAAAGTCACAGCAATGCAGCTCTTAGACATTTACCACTTTGGTGAAATCCACGAGCACGGGTGATGACAAATGATTGGCAGGGAGATAGCCTGTGCCTTCCGTGAGACAAATTCCCCATCTCCACCTCATGAATATAATAATGCATTTAACGCCACTTTAACAGTATTTCAATTACATCAAGGCGTGTCATCTTAATTTTGAGGGATATGATGCAACCAATTTGAGAGTGAGTGGGGTGTAACGCTTTGAACAATATTTCAGTTAAATCTTGTCAGCTTATTGAGGACGAACCCAGAAGACGCAGGTCTTAGACGTCCACCACTTTGGGAAACAGACCACGGATCATGACTGGAGCGAGTCTGGGATTCGAACCAATGAATAGAGGACGGTAAGATGACGCAACTCTTCGAGGGAGACTGCTGCTCCTTTCACCGCTCGGCAATCAGAGTCCTCGTAATAACGAAAACCAAAATACGAAAGTTTAGAATGTGATGAGAATATCGTCCTCTAACCTGTGAATCTGTAGAAGAGGACTTCCTTCTGGGCGGAGGACCGGTTGAGAGGCTGCTCGCGGGGGTCATACTCGTTATCGCTGCTCGTCGTGTCGTCAGGGTTGATTTTGTTGTCGACGAACAGACCATACTACAATATGACACAATCAATCATACTGAACCCTTGCTAACTCGAGTGAGCGAGTATGGTTTTACGCCGCTTTAAAGCAATATTCCATCATTATCACGGCGGGGGACACCAGCAATGGGCTTCACACATTGAACCCATGTCGGGAATCGAACCCGGGTCTTAGGCGTGACGAGCGAACGCTTTAACCACTAGGCTACCCGACCGCCCCTATGCTAACTCGAAGGCAATGAGATCATCGAATACATATCGACTTAACCGTAGTTTGATATAAGGAAAGTCCTGGTGTGATTTTTTTCAGGACCACAACATGACATTGTCTTAAGCAGAACATGGAAATAACGTAGCTGGAGTAAGTGATCGTCCTTTGTACTTGTACAAATTAAATAACACTAGAAAGTCTCTGACAAAAAATCCCTTTCGGAATGGTATACGGTCGATTTTAGTGTGTGATTGAGTTGGTATTTACGCCGTTTTAATCATTATTCCAGTCATATCACAGCGGAAGACAGCATCATCATCATCGGTCATCAAATGTCATGGAAAGATCGAAAATATCGGAGTCGACGAAATAAGCGCCCCGCTCTAATAAGCGCCCACGGCGATATTTGCTAATATATTGGATAGTGAACAATACCAATTAGCACCCCTTCCGATTGATCAATGTACACAACACTTATTTACTCGCGTATAATACGCACTCGTGTGTTATATGCACCCTTAATTATGGACAATTAAATTCTGGAAAAATGTATCTCTCGTATATAAACATGTCAGGCTGTCAGCATAAACCAGGAAATTTATCTTTCAACCGTTCTTTTCACCAAAATTATATTCTAATAAGAGCCCCCTATTTCTAATTTTGAGAGCGCCCTGGGCGCTTATTACGTCGAATACAAAAGTGGAGTTTATGTCTCCGTTCTGCTACAATAACACCCTGGGTCCATTCGCCACCATCACAGATTCGTTCTGAGCACGATTCGAAAAGAATCATGATAAAAAAAGCCAACATGGGCGAGAGAAGTGTTACATGTATGCTGTGTTACAAGAGACAGGCATGGTAACGTCACTTCCAAAAAGACGCTTTGATGACGAATGGGTCCAGGGTATTTATCCTAAAAGAAGGGACATATATAACACTGGATGAACGAGGATGATCACCCACGTGTGTGTTGGAGTGGCCGACGTTGTTGTTGAACTCCAGCAGTGCCGTGTGACGGGCCTCATCCCGCTGCAAGAACCCCAGACCATAGGAAGGTCCCTGTGGCTCCTCTGGGAACACGTACCAGATCCCGATACCCTGAAATGACAACTTTGTACAGGGATCGGCCATGACAGCAGCTTATCATTCCCCGTCAGCAATACACGTCATCTGTAATGGTTTATTGGATATATAGAGATGGTTCCAATGAAAAAGAACGTGTGTATCCTCTGGAGGTGACTGTTTGTTTGTTTGTTGTTTAACGCCGCACTCAGCAATATTCCAGCGGTCTGTAAATAATCGAGTCTGGACCAGACAATCCAGTGATTGAAAACATGCACATCGATGCACGCAATTGGGATCGATGACATACATCAACCAAGTCAGTGAGCCTGACCACCCGATCCCGTTAGTCGCCTCTTACGACAAGCATAGAAGAGGCGGTCGGATAGCCAAGTGGTTAAAGCGTTCGCTCGTCACGCCGAAGACCCGGGTTCGATTCCCGACATGTGTACAATGTGTGAAGCCCATTTCTGGTGTCCCCCGCCGTGATATTGCTGGAATATTGGTAAAAGCGGCGTAGACCAAACTCAGACAGACATAGCATCGACGCCTTTTACGGCGAGTATTTGTTGCTGAAACCTATTCTTCCCCAGATCTTTACGGGTCAGCAACTCCAAGCATCAGGACGGGAGAGGATGACCATGCACATGTTGGGAAGGGAACCTTACGTGATATGTCTGATGTGACATACCAGTAAGTGCATGAATGTTATTGAATGTACAATTTTAGAGAATAGCCAAGGAGCTACGATGAACAGTCCCGAGTGAAGGATTAGAAGCCCGAGTGAGTGAGTATTGTTTTACGTCGCTTTTATCAATATTCATATTCCAGCAATATCACGGCGGGTTACACCAGAAATGGGCTTTACATATTGTGCCCATCTGGGGAATCGAACCCGGGTCTTCGGCGAGACGAGCCAACGCTTTAACCACGAGGCTACCCCACCGCCCCTTGGTAGCCCGAGCCTAAGTCAACATTGAAACATGTATGACGTCAGAACCTGTTGTTCCCAACAAGGAAGGAACGCAAATATTGGACAGTTAATATCATCACGATCTTTCTATCCTTTCTGTCCACGTGACATCCCTGCTACTCACGTCGCCGCCAGCGGCCACGTTGTTTCTCAGATACACCAGTGGTGACGTCATCCAAAATGTCGCTGGATTTCTAAGACAGAAACAAGTTGAAACGACGTAATCATAAAAATCTCTTTCAAGTTAACCGCAGCCGAGTGTTGCGGCAGGGTGTGCGTGTATATGATTATTAAACTGAACACTTTATTCAACATGTCTGGATATGCATGTAGTTCAGCTACCATCCAGGATGTGAGTGACTTGGGTTTGACGCTGCTTGGTAAAACCACAGTTTTTCACTTTTTTTTCACGGCGTGTCACCTTAAACTGGGAGCAAATCCTGAAAAGATGCAGGTATAAGACGTTTACCACTAAGTCTTTGGTAAAACCCAGTTGCACCTGTCTGGTACTGACAAACCAAAAATCAAACAAAATGTGCGGCTCCTTAGGCAACTGGTTCATCTGTACGTATTCAAATACGGTGGGTCTTTTCTCCCTGGCCGGCCGATTTTTTGGATGACATTTGTTATGTGCTCCCTAAACACGAAGTAAAGTGACATGAACGTCAAGGTACAACAGCATGCAAAAGTCACTGTGAGCGAGATAAAGCGCACCTTTGCTATGTTAAGGCCGTCGAGTTATTGCATTTGGTACCTGCAGTGTATCAGTAAAAAAGGATCTGTGGGGAAACACCAACGCGTAAGAGTATTGTAAAACTATATTTTGAAAATGTCCATCCGTATTTGAACGCGAGGAAATTGAAACGTTTCGTATTTGACGAAAATACGCATCTCAAATGGAGCACTGATTTCGCCAATCATTGCTAAAGGTATCAAACAATCTTTGGTGAACTGTGTCGGAGGTAATTGGAAGTTCGTGCATTGGACCATGTGCTGCAACTTTAAAATGGTTCTTTCTGGTGTGGATACAATTGGAACTTTAAAGTGGTTCTTTCTGGTGTGGAAGCAATTAGAACTTTAAAGTGGTTCTTTCAGGTGTGGAAGCAATTGGAACTTTAAAGTGGGTTTTTCAGGTGTGGAAGCAATTGGAACTTTAAAGTGGTTCTTTCAGGTGTGGAAGCAATTGGAACTTTAAAGTGGTTCTTTCAGGTGTGGAAGCAATTGGAACTTTAAAGTGGGGTTTTCAGCCGTGGAAGCAATTGGAACTTTAAAGTGGTTCCTTCAGGTGTGGAAGCAATTGGAACTTTATAGTGGTTCTTTCTGGCGTTGAAGCAAAGAGTAATCAGCGAGGAATACAGGACGCTGATCTACAAAGCTTCGTATCTCTCCGACAGTAGCAAGAATTGCGGTAGTCGTAGGGCTACGATTGTTCGGTGGATCGGGCCCTGGTTTCCAATACCCACATACTCTATATCAGAGGGCAGGATAGATCCGTGTTTCGTAGCCGCACCAAGGTTACCGTCGAAGACGGTCCTCTTCTCTCCGCCGTCCTCGAGGAAGTAGCAGTGTCCCAGGTGGTCGTAGGCCACGTTATCCTGGACCTGGATGGATGGATAGATGGTGAATGAATATAAGGATTGATGGATAGTTGAATGGCAGAATTAGTAGCAAGTTTTAACATTTATCAACATCAGTCACACCTCCCTGTCTTTATGAACCATATTTCTATCTGGTCGTTGTTTTCGTTGTGTGAGCATATATTAAATAAGTGATTGTCGAAAATTTCATCATTTGGGAATTTGGCCTTAACTCACAGTTGCGCCATGTGATCCATGGACAGTGACACAGCGGCTGAAAGAGTGGTGTATGGAGTTCTGTCTTATCCACGCAGGGTCCGAGTAGCCGCCAATTTTATCTATGTCGTGGCACATGTGGAAGTGGATTGGATAGAAACCTGAAACAGTGGTCGTGATACATGGTGTATTGGGAAGACACTCATGCAGTGGTCATGGCACATGTAAAGGATTTACTGTTGTAACCAATATATTTGCAAACCGATATCCACATACAGAGGCTTAGTGGCAACGACAAGAGAACTCCAGTAAGTTCGTACACAATTGCCATCTCGAAAGAAGGAGTGTTATGATTTTTATCAGTTAGATATTACGCTGAGTTCCGGGTCGACGGCAAGACAATATCTGTCCTCTGTAATATTCGAATAAACTCAATAAGCTCATGCCGCTGTTTGGTTCATGGGTGTGATCGCCAATGGCTGCCGTGCTTTAATCAATGTCGTAAACATTTTTGCATATTTTAATTCATACTCATATTACATGAATGAGTTTAAAGGTCGTCTTCGGAAATTACCCTACCTTTCTCTGTCTGTTGACCCATACGTGTCAGTTCTACGCCTTCGATGTGGACGTTCTTATACCCCCTCACAAACTGCAGGGACAACGGTACAATGAAGTACAATTTTAGCATAGGTATACAAATAAAGCGTCGGCAGTCTTGGAACACGAGCATATTACAATAATCCGTTTGGCTGTTCGAAATTAAACGTGGGTCATCGTATATTGTACCTTGAAGGCCTTCCAGACTTGATTATTTACAGGCCAACGCAATTTAGCTGGAATATTGGTGAGTTCGGGGTATATCAACTGTCATTCACTCACTAACTCCCATCCTATGTTATCCAGTGGGCGGTGGAGTAGCCTCGAAGCTAAAGTGTTCGCTCGTCACGCCGATGGTTTGTTGGTTTGTTGTTTAACGCCGAACTCAGCAATATTCCAGCTCTATGACGGCGGTCTCTGAATAATCAAGTCTGGACCAGACAATCCAAAGATTAATATCATGAGCATCGATCCTAGCAATTGGGATCGATGACATGCATCAACCAAGTCAGCGAGCCTGACCACCCCATCTAGTTGGTCGCCTCTTACGACAAGCATAGTCGCCTTTTACGGCATAATTGACAAACCGTCATCGTTTACACATATATCTACAGACTCGATTATTGCGGCGATTAACAACCCACGAAATATACAACATTTATACAAGTACAGGAACTCTGTCGTTCTTTCATAAACACAAAATTTTAATTAGGGAGTATATTATTTCGATTTCCATAGAGTCTCCTCGGCAAATATACAACGTACCTCCAGGTGACCCCCAAATGTGTCGTAGCTGAACTTGTCACAGTTACCGTTGCTAGGAGGGCACGTGTTCTCCATGCGTCCCTGAATGAGGATATTGCGAGTGAGAAGCCCAATCTCTGCCCTCTCATCTACTCCGTCTATCATGTCCCCCCAGTGCATGTAGGCCGCCTCCACTGAAGAGTGAGTGAGTGAGTTTGGTTGAACGCTGCTTTCGGTAATATCACAGAAACAGCTTAATGTAGACAAGCATTGGATACCTAGAACTTGTTTGATGGGACAGCGACTGAATGTTTAATGCGGCAGTCTCGACCATACAAACCAGTGATCGATAGCCTGAGTAACAACCACGTCATCGGGGTATAATGACACACATTGAACCCATGCGCCACCCCAATACTCCCTTTCGTCAACAATTGTAAAAGTGTTTGTTTTATATGTTTTACTTTTTCATTTTGTTTTAAAGTTTACTTCGAGAATCTGTTTAAAGGAAACTCCCAACTTCCCGGTTTGCTGGTTGGCCTACTGACAAAAGCAACAGATTAATTTGCCTGCTTGTTGATAAATCGGAAGCATGTGACAGCAGTGTATTATTTGAAGATGGTTTAGTTGTTTGTTGTTTAACGCCGCACTCAGCAATATTCCAGCCATATGACGGCGGTCTGTAAATAATCGAGTCTGGACCAGACAATACAGTGTTGACATCATGAGTATCGCTCCACGCAATTGGGATCGATGACATGCATTAACCAAGTCAGCGACACTGACCACCCGATCCCGTTAGTCGCCTCTCAGGACAAGCATAGTCGCCTTTACGACAAGCATGGGTATCATTGGTGTAATTACATGCTATTATTGCATGCTACTGTAGTCCTTACTACTTTTGGACCCGTGAGGTAGCCAAATGGTAAAAACATTCGCTCGGCACGCTGAAGGCCCGGGTTCGATTCCCACCATGGGTACAATGTGTGAAGCCCATTTCTGGTGTCCCCCGCCGTGATATTGCTGGCATATTGCTAAAAGCGGCGTAAACCCATACTCACTCACTCCTCGCTACTTGAAATAGAATCACGAAATATCCGATGCATAATTTACGAAGATAGCCGCATGTGCTTATACTTACAAAGCGACAATAAGCCATTCAGGCGATAAGGAATATTTCTTACAGTAACTACAAAAATTGAAAAGTGCGCTTTTAAAATGAAATCCATTTTGCTAGCGATAAAAAAATCATCATTGTTCTGATCATGTGATTGAAATCCAGGTAAGGAAAGATAGTCAGGTGAGACAGTTGGTGAATCTCTGGCAGAAGCAGACACGTGACACTATTTTAAGGACAAACTACATACGGTCAATCTGAACCTGGTTGCGATGACAGGTGGTACAGTTCCTCACAATGGCCGTCTCCAGCTGCCCCCACAAGTAGTCCGTCGACGTAATGAATATATGATCCCCTGAAATGAGCGAGTGTGTTGGGTTACACCCTGCTTTGATCAGTACTGAAGGAGTGACAGTTAGATGTGGGGAAAAGCAAGGGTAACACAGGTCGTAGACATTGTCCACTGAAATGAGCGAGTGTGTTGGGTTACACCCTGCTTTGATCAGTACTGAAGGAGTGACAGTTAGATGTGGGGAAAAGCAAGGGTAACACAGGTCGTAGACATTGTCCACTGACATGAGCGAGTGTGTTGGGTTACACCCTGCTTTGATCAGTACTGAAGGAGTGACAGTTAGATGTGGGGATAAGCAAGGGTAACACAGGTCGTAGACATTGTCCACTGAAATGAGCGAGTGTGTTGGGTTACACCCTGCTTTGATCAGTACTGAAGGAGTGACAGTTAGATGTGGGGAAAAGCAAGGGTAACACAGGTCGTAGACATTGTCCACTGAAATGAGCGAGTGTGTTGGGTTACACCCTGCTTTGATCAGTACTGAAGGAGTGACAGTTAGATGTGGGGAAAAGCAAGGGTAACACAGGTCGTAGACATTGTCCACTGAAATGAGCGAGTGTGTTGGGTTACACCCTGCTTTGATCAGTACTGAAGGAGTGACAGTTAGATGTGGGGAAAAGCAAGGGTAACACAGGTCGTAGACATTGTCCACTGAAATGAGCGAGTGTGTTGGGTTACGCCCTGCTTTGATCAGTACTGAAGGAGTGACAGTTAGATGTGGGGAAAAGCAAGGGTAACACAGGTCGTAGACATTGTCCACTGAAATGAGCGAGTGTGTTGGGTTACGCCCTGCTTTGATCAGTACTGAAGGAGTGACAGTTAGATGTGGGGAAAAGCAAGGGTAACACAGGTCGTAGACATTGTCCACTGAAATGAGCGAGTGTGTTGGGTTACGCCCTGCTTTGATCAGTACTGAAGGAGTGACAGTTAGATGTGGGGAAAAGCAAGGGTAACACAGGTCGTAGACATTGTCCACTGAAATGAGCGAGTGTGTTGGGTTACGCCCTGCTTTGATCAGTACTGAAGGAGTGACAGTTAGATGTGGGGAAAAGCAAGGGTAACACAGGTCGTAGACATTGTCCACTGAAATGAGCGAGTGTGTTGGGTTACGCCCTGCTTTGATCAGTACTGAAGGAGTGACAGTTAGATGTGGGGAAAAGCAAGGGTAACACAGGTCGTAGACATTGTCCACTGAAATGAGCGAGTGTGTTGGGTTACGCCCTGCTTTGATCAGTACTGAAGGAGTGACAGTTAGATGTGGGGAAAAGCAAGGGTAACACAGGTCAAAGACATTGTCCACTGAAATGAGCGAGTGTGTTGGGTTACGCCCTGCTTTGATCAGTACTGATGGAGTGACAGTTAGATGTGGGGAAAAGCAAGGGTAACACAGGTCGTAGACATTGTCCACTGAAATGAGCGAGTGTGTTGGGTTACACCCTGCTTTGATCAGTACTGAAGGAGTGACAGTAAGATGTGGGGAAAAGCAAGGGTAACACAGGTCAAAGACATTGTCCACTGAGATGAGCGAGTGTTTTGGGTTACGCCCTGCTTTGATCAGTACTGAAGGAGTGACAGTTAGATGTGGGGAAAAGCAAGGGTAACACAGGTCGTAGACATTGTCCACTGAAATGAGCGAGTGTGTTGGGTTACGCCCTGCTTTGATCAGTACTGAAGGAGTGACAGTAAGATGTGGGGAAAAGCAAGGGTAACACAGGTCAAAGACATTGTCCACTTAAATGAGCGAGTGTGTTGGGTTACACCCTGCTTTGATCAGTACTGAAGGAGTGACAGTTAGATGTGGGGAAAAGCAAGGGTAACACAGGTCGTAGACATTGTCCACTGAAATGAGCGAGTGTGTTGGGTTACACCCTGCTTTGATCAGTACTGAAGGAGTGACAGTAAGATGTGGGGAAAAGCAAGGGTAACACAGGTCAAAGACATTGTCCACTTAAATGAGCGAGTGTGTTGGGTTACACCCTGCTTTGATCAGTACTGAAGGAGTGACAGTTAGATGTGGGGAAAAGCAAGGGTAACACAGGTCGTAGACATTGTCCACTGAAATGAGCGAGTGTGTTGGGTTACACCCTGCTTTGATCAGTACTGAAGGAGTGACAGTTAGATGTGGGGAAAAGCAAGGGTAACACAGGTCAAAGACATTGTCCACTGAAATGAGCGAGTGTGTTGGGTTACACCCTGGTTTGATCAGTACTGAAGGAGTGACAGTTAGATGTGGGGAAAAGCAAGGGTAACACAGGTCGTAGACATTGTCCACTGAGATGAGACGTATGAGAACGGGTCTGGTCCTGATAACCAAAGGTCATAATCGGGAGCAATCGGGGATTGGAACACGGAACTCGGGGATCTTGACGAGATCTTGGAGACCTTTTCTACAAAATATCATATACCCTTTGTTGATCATAATACCTCGACATGCAATGTGCATGTGAACGGGTGATGTACCGTTACACGTCTCCCTGATAGGGTATGTAAGTGCCACGTCATTTGTAGTATTTTTATGCATGCAAACTTTTAAACTGAACTTGCGAACTATCGCAAGCGATTTAAGGGATGGTTTAAATCCTGCTAGAGTACCATGCAGATAGCAGAGGTACCGTAAGTCCCCATGGTGTCTGTATGGTAGACTAAGTCAGGTAATATATAGCCAGCCGTGTCTAGTATGTGTTGTGAAGTTATAATTTAATCTTTTTAAATATTCTGCAACTGGCCTTAATAATAAAAATGTGATATTTTGCTCGTTATTGTACTATTGTTGCATTGTCCATCGTTGACGAGTTTTACGTTTCCTAGTCACGATATGACTGAAATAATGCCGAGGTGGCTCACTTTGAGTGAGCGTGTGTTGTGTAACGTCGCAATCGACACTATTCACGCTTTATCACTGAGGTCTCATTTATCGCTTCAGGACCAGGAACTCAAGTGGTTGACAGAATGAGCAACGATCAAGGCGGTTTCGACACGCAATCATCCTGCACCACACATTGTAACAAGCCAATTGCCATTCACGACAACATGGCTCGGAGGAGAAAATGACAAATGTCGATAATATATTTGAACCCCATTCGTGATGTATTTCACGCTTAAAGATCAAGCTTCACATCCCATCTACAATTTTGTGTTTATATGGGCATGTGATGATCACCTCTGAGCAGATTCTTTACACAGAACGTACCACTCATGTCTAATCATTATAGTTGGAAATCAATGTTTGTGCAGTGGTTAAAGCGTTGTTTCGACACACCGATAGCCATGGCTTGACTCCCAATTGGGTACATCGCGTTCCAAGCCTTGATATGGCAAGAATGTTGCTGAAAGTGTCGTAAAGGTCATAATAAAACACGTGATTGACATCATGAGCATCGATCTACGTAATTGGTATACGATGTAATGCATCAACAAGTCAGCAAGCCTGCCCAGCCTCTTGCGACAAGCACAGGTTGCTGAATTGTAACCCGGATCCTAGTGAGAAACAACCTGAATTAACCTATTAAATGACATTGGACCCGCGAAGATCCGGGGTAGAATAGCAACCCATGCTTGCAGTAAAAAGCGACAATGCTTGTCGTAAGAGGCGACTAACTGGATCGGGTGGTCAGGCTCGGAGACTTGGTTGATGCATGTCATCGATCCCAATTGCGTGGATCGATGCTCATGAAGTCAATCACTGGATTGTCTGGTCTAGACTCGATTAGTTACAGACCGCCGTCATATAGCTGGAATATTGCTGAGTGCGGCATTAAAAAAACAAATCAACCAAATATCGGCGTGACGAGCGAACACCTTAACTACGTACGAGGCTACTCCAACAAACAATAAACAAACAAACAATAAATGACATTGTTGTTACTGCAAATCGAATGGTCAAACATATACTACTCAAAAGAAATTAAAGAATACCCGATTCTTTCATATGACTACAGTTAATCTGCCATTGTGAGTAGTATATAAGAACATCTTTTGAATTTTACTATTATATAACGTCACGTCATCACAGTATTACCTGGACGCCAAGATGTAACGTCATCGATGACGTCAAGTATGGGGTAGGCAGCAGCGGTGGTCATGACCCGGAAGTTAACCCTGTCGCTATATTCGTGTTTGTTGTTGACATAGCTCCTGACAGAAAACTTCAGTTTGTTGTCCCATGACGTCATTGACGCTGCTGCTGCTTGACTCTCCAGGTGATAGTTGACTCCTACGTGCTCATCAAGAGTGTCCTGCTTACCTGCCGTGGTGAGATGACTACCTTACAGCTCTCCGGCATGCATTTAATAGTTTACATTTGTTAAAATAAATAACATGTTTCTCATCACCCGTCCACCTTTTTTAATATTTGTTTCGAAAAAACTTTACTGTTTCAACATAAATTTCGTTTTGCGCCGGTTTCTAATATGTTGCACTACATGCCACCAAGACCAAATGAGTTCACTCAGTGTATTAGCGTAAGTGAGTGAGTGAGTTGGGTTTAACGTGATCTTAACAGTATTCAAGTTACATAAAGGCGTGTCAGCTAAATGAGTGAGTGAGTGAGTTTGGTTTTACGCCGCTTTTAGCAATATTCCAGCAATATCACGGCGGAGGACACCAGAAATGGCCTTCACACATTGTACCCATGTCGGAAATCGAACCCGGGTCTTCGGCGTGACGAGCGAACGCTTTAACCACTAGGCTACCCGACCGCCCCATCAGCTAAATGAGCTACAGGGTGAGTGAGCATGTGAGTTTGGTTTCACGCCGCTTTGAACATTATTACAGTTGTAACAGGGCGTGTCAGCTTCCTTGTGGAAAGTCCAAGTGATACAGGTCTCAGACGTTTACCACTTTGGAGAAACCCACGAGTACGGGTATGGTGCTGATAGACCTAGAAACGTAATCGGGGCACATCGGTATTCGAACCCACAATCATAATTTCAGATGTGCCCAAGGGACTCAACTCTGCTAATCGAATTCCTGCCCCTTGTCCATTAGAATAAAAGTTAACTTTCTTGATTTGTAACCTGATAGAGACATAAACTCAAAAAATAGGTAAAATCCTCCATACCTTCTCAATCAGTTTTGAAACAAATCACAAAAGAAAAAAACAAGAATATATTTTTACCGCCTTTATCTCCAATCCTTTTTGACATAAGGACATGTTCTAGCTGATATTTAGCTGAGACATAAACAGTAAACTGGGATCGGCTCGTTTTCTCTGAGTATGCAAAATATATTTTTTGTGATTCGCAAATATAACTACATTTTTAGTATGATTTCACAAGTCGTTTCTTTAGCGATTAAACATACCTTTTTCTATGACCATGGCATATGCATCGCCTTTCTTCACAGTGCGGATCAAGCCAGATCCCGTTACACGACCTTGGGTGAGTGTTTCGGTGGCTTCGTAGACAGGTTTTAGGTCCACCCGGGGTTCGACCAGATTGGTTTTAACCGCCAACATGACAACGTTACCATCAGCGGTGCCTGGTTTAAAAGGTTCAAAATACTTGTCATGTTGTGAGATCTTCAGAAAGGTTTTGATACACACAACCAGCTTAAAACAAGCACTTCTCGTACTGTAGTGAAAAGACTTTATCAGCAACCTGCACTGTAAGAATTTATGCAGATGAGTGAATGTTGTTTAACGTCGGAGTCAGCAACATCCCGGCTGCATCACAGCGAGTAATAAACAAGTCTGGACTTGACAAACCAGTGACTGATGGTATGAGCAACGACCTGGACATCCCATCGGATGACACAGGGCAGGGCAGACAATGTAACCACCTGATCCCTCGTCATGGTCATGCAAGTAGGATAGAGCTAAAACTTTCATTCGTGCTTTAAATTTAAATTTAAATATTTTCAATCATTTATCATGATCATGAGATTATAAGTAGCAGAATATCTCTAAATGATTGGCCTTCTTTTCAAACAAATTCTGTTACTGCTTTGTAACAAAGCTTGTTGCTCAACGGACACCTCAATACATGCAATAGTTATCACCCGTGGACGTAGTCTGTCATACAGACCCTGAAACAATTTTATCCAATAGAGCCCATGCAAGTCTACAACAGTTGGCAAGTCTAGATTACTGTCTGAAAATGAAATGAGTCTCGGGGCTCCTTTGTATTATATTTTATCAAGACAATTTAAAATAAAACTGAGGGCCAAAAGAAACGTTACCAACATTAACTGATTTGCCACTTTGAAACAAAGATGCCAACCTGTTCAAAAACAGCAAAGAACACATTTCACGAATACAGCCTTCATGATCTCTGTCGTTCTTTGCACGTGCTTTGCGGATTTGGGGAGATATTGGTGTTTTTCAGCAATTTTTTAAAACATTCTTTCCCAAATTATCGTGCAATTTTCCTGGTATAAATTACGTACGGATCTGTTCCCTATCATTGGTTGCGATGATTAACACCAACGAACATGCCAAGACTGACCACTGTCAAGAGGGAGAGAGCCATAGGTATGCTGCAGATGGGAGCGACACAGAGAGCGGTTGCCATTAACATGAACTGCTCCAAGATGACCATTACCAGACTGGTCGCACGTCTCCGACAGACTGGCAGAACCGCAGAGAGACCATGGAGTGGCAGACCAAAGGTCACGACCCCGCAGGATGACCGCTTTTTACGGGTACTTCATCTGAGGAACAGATTTCTTACTGTGACGTCATCAGCTGCCAACAGCTTAGGACATCCGGTCACCAGACAAACAGTGACCAGACGCGACGACATTATGGTCTCCGGGCTTATCGCCCTTTCAAGGGCATGACCTCGACCCGTCAACATCGACGTGCCAGATTGACGAGGTGCAGGCAAACTCAGCGATGGCAACAAAGGGAATGGCGGCGAGTGCTGTTTAGTGACGAGAGCAGGTTCCAACTCTTCAAACCCCGATGGGCGGACGCGAGTTTATCGACGACGTGGTGAACGTACGGCTCCTTGTTGTGTCCAGGAGGTGGAACCTTACGGGGGCGGAAGTGTGATGGTCTTGGGCGGCATTTGCGGGGACGAGAAGATGGAACTTGTCATCATCGAAGGCAATCTGACAGCACAACGCTACATTGACAATATCTTACGGCCAGTGGTTCTTCCTTTCATCCAGCGTCAACAACTGACGGTGTTCCAACAAGATAACGCCACACACCATAAAGCCTGTATTACTAGAGACTTCATCAACGCTAACAACGTGACTGTCCTGCCGTGGCCAGCTCGATCACCAGATCTGTCACCCATAGAACATCTCTGGGACCAGCTGGGGCGTCGTCTTCGGAAACGTCAACGTCCTCCCTTCACGAGACAAGCGTTGATCGTTGCCCTCCGTTAGGAATGGAATCGGATACCTGCAGTCGATGTGAGGACGCTCATGGAGGTCATATCCCGTATTGAACGGTCTGGGCCGTCGTCACCTTAAAGTTGAAACCAATGTTGTTGATCGAATACTGGACGAATTACCCCTTGTCAAGAAATGTCCCTGTTGGAGGTCAAGGACTTTGTTGTTGAATTAGTAAATTCGCATTTTAATGTTCAGAATGATGCATTTCTACAATACAATTGTTATTGCTGCTTCAAATTGTGTTGGTCATATTTTATCCTAGAAATATCGTTGGTAACGTTTCTTTTGGCTGTCAGTTTTTTATATATTTCAGATGCTACATGTCTAACGTGGACGGTGTTATGTATTACACTATTTCGTAAAAAATAATGAAAACACTCACTATTAATGAGGCTAGCCAGGGCTGTTGGGTCGGACTTGTAGTGGTATTTATCATACTCTCCTAGGTAATAAGCTGCAAATGTTATGAAGTTGCCTGTCTTTCCGTCGAAGATGTAGGCGTTGATGCCATCCTTCCAGCTTCCGTCGTCTTTGTGCTTGCTGGTCTGTTACAGAAGTAGCCAGATGTTAAAGTTATGACACGAAATATTTTAAGGAGCTATGTTAAAGGTTTGTTTCAGCAGAAGATGTTGCTTTCTTGTATTATCTATACAACTATATTAAAAATACAATTCACGATTATGAATTGTACAGAGTGTGTGAGTTGCGCCTCTTTAAAAAAGTATTTCAGTTATATCACGGCGTGTCAGTTTGATGTTGAAAGAAAGTGATGTATATACATCCTAGAAGCTACTCTTTACTAAAACCAACGAGCATGGGCATGGTTTTGATAAACCCCAAAACATAATTGGGGCTAATCTGGGATTCGAACATTATCATTGATGACTCTGCATGGTGTATTGTGATGTCTTCGACGACTTGACCACCCGTGCCCAAAGTTGCAAATGACTTATGTAAGAGTGGAATATGAGTGAGGTTTAACTAGTGGCCGAATGGTTTAAAGGCGCTGTCATCTTTTGAATTCTAGGTAAGCTTGGTTAGTTGGTTTGTTGTTTAACACCGGACTCATATTCCAGCTATATGATGGCGGTCTGTGAATAATCGAGTCTGGACCTGACAATCCGGTGATTAATATCATGAGCATCGATCCACGCAATTGGGATCGATGACATGCATCAACAACGTCAGCGAGCCTGGCCACCCGATCCCGTTAGTCGACTCTTACGACAAGCATAGTCACCTTTTACGGTAAGCATGGGTTGCTGAATACCTATTCTACCCCGGAGTCTTCACGGGTCTCTAGATAAGCATGGTTTGGAATCGTACGAAACATCACCTTTGTAATCTTACCAAATGGTCGTACATGAGGCCATGGTTGACGTCCAACTTGGGCAGTGTGTTGGTCAGCTTGGTCCACGGCAGTTTCTCCTGCCCGTGCAGCTCCAGAGTGCCACCCGGCGCCACCCCAATAAACTTCTCCCCGAACAGGTGCTCGCCAATGGTTACCTTGTACGTGCCCCGGACACCTAGCAACAGGTGGGGTTGTATACGTACATACATTACTAAAATGTGCATACATGTACAACTAAAAAAAATAATTGACCACCTCGTTGAATGTGACATACACTAGACCGTTTAATTTGTGATAATACATGTATCAGTCGGATTTACTTATTCACTTTGCTCGTTTGAAACCTTTAAATAAGTAGTGAGTGAGTGAGTATGGTTTTACGCCGCTTTTAGCAATATTCCAGGAATATCACGGCAGGGGACACCAGGAATGGGCTTCACACATTGTACCCATGTCGGGAATCGAACCCGGGTCTTCGGCGTGACGAGCGAACGCTTTAACCACTAGGCTACCCGACCGCCTCTCGATCTGTTGAATGCGTATAATCGTGCCCAGATGATCTGTATCGATGTTAATATGTTCATATGTTCAGCGACCGCCTCCGTGGTCTAGTAGTAGAGCGTCCGCCCGGAGAGCGGAAGGTCCGGGGTTCGATCCCCGACCGTGTCTTACCAAATAGACGTTAAAAGATTGTACTTGTTGTTACCCTGTCTGGCGCCCGGCATTAAATGGCTAAAACAAGGACTGGTCTGCCCGGAGTCAGTATACTGTGTCTGAGTGGGGTATTTATGACTGTTAAACTGCGGCATAGTATCTCAGTGAGCTAGCACTATAAATCGGCATCAGTCCGGAAGTACAAGCAGCCACACAAACACACACACGTACATGCATGTCGGTACATAAGTGCAATAATCTTGAACGTTAAACCCCATTTCACCTCACCTCACACCTCATATGTTCAGCCGGTCGCTGTTATGGTCGCCAAGATGCATCTGGATATTGCTGACTGCGGCGTTTAACATCTTTCATTCAGTTATATTATTTGTGATATTTCTCACTATATTCATCAATAAAATCTGAAACCCCGAATGAAAAGGAAACATTTTAAACATTGGTATGTTCACGGAGTGCTTCTGAAACATTGGTATACTATCACTAAAAGGTGATTGAGGTTGTTCACCTTCCGCTGGAAATTGTGATCAGAATTTGCGAAAATTAAACCTTCAATATAACTCTTAACAGAAATCGACGTTTCAAACTTTCGTTTTTCACAAAGGTATTCAAACTTTTAAGTACACCGAACACGCTTGCAACTGTCAATGTGTCTAAACATTGAAACATTTAAGTTTGAAAAAAATCCAAATTTGGTAAGACTTCTTCTTCCGGTGATCTTTCCCTTGACCCTGGGATCGTATCTCAGATGCTTAACCATTGACTTACGTCAGTCTAGCGCGTACGATGACTTTGACAAACGGAGACCAGGGTCACAACGCTATCTTAGCGCCACGGTTAGCGTAACTCCCATACTTTAGAGCTGAGATCGTTTTGTGCAACGGAGCCCCACTAGATAAGAATATCATTTTGTTTCGTTAATGTACACTCACTGTCTTCTCAACCTCTGTGTGACCTGCTATAGTTAGAAACGGCATTATCTAGTAGCGTCAGGGGTTACTTGATACGTATGTTGCTACATTGGTCACGATATGAACCGAGCGTTTATAATGAAGAAAAATAGACTCACGTGACAGCCATTTAATCTTGATGCAGAAAATACGTATTTGTATCACGGTACAGATTTGTCTGTATCGTGTATCGTATCTAAGGACGCGCATCGGGATGCATCGGAGTTTCGATTATCGTCTCACGTATTGTGGCTGCTGTGAGGCGTCCAGTCTGGATCTATCTCACCTGTGAGGGTGATGTGAGCACGCGCAGGAAACTTGCAGTCCTCGCTGCCGATGTCCATCTGGCCCTTGATGAGGATGTACTTGGTCGTGACGTTGTAGTCTCCATCCGGGCTCCACACTAGGCGACCACGTGACTCGATAGTGATGCTGTGGAGTTCCGGTGGGGACTCGTCGAGGAGGATGTGGTCAGAGATGACCACCTTGGCGTCGCGCTCGGGTTTCTGGGAACGGTCGAAGTTGAAAGTGCGTGCACATCAAAGAGCATGGGGACCGACTGATGTACACATGGTGGGCGCCATCTTGTTTTCAAAACCTTTACAAGTTTGTGTTTTTATCTGGAATCCTTTTATAGTCATTCAACGTCTTTAAAGGACCTTTTTACTAATATCAACTTTCGTTTAATTCTCGGTTTTTAAAAGAAAAAGTTATTTGATAAATTTTGAATTTTGAATTGTTTTAAATTAGTGTGATATTATAAACAACTAATATAATTGAAGGCGGTGCCACTCAGGGGGTTAAAGTAGAATAAAATTATTATCCTCCTGACTGTGGCACGCAAGTTCCTTCTAAATAAAAGTTTATAATATCAACTAGTGTTTTAATCACTTGACTATGGTGTGATCTTTTAATATGGGTTAGCAATGAATATGACCACTTGTGACAAAAGTGATGACTTGAATCCTGCTGGGAATCATGCAGGAAGCAAAAGCACTGTAAGTCCCCATGATCCCTACTTAGGTGGTCTAGCTTTGGTTGCCTGTGGTATATAACCTAGTTTTATCTCGCTACCTAATCTACTGAAGAATTCTTTGTTTTTATTGTGAACTGGTGTGTTTTATACATAAGCTGTGATACGTGACTTACTGTTTTACTGTCCTTTGTCGACATTATTTAATAATAATAACTTGTTTTCATCGCAATATGGCTGCAATATTACCGATGCGATGTAAAATTTTAACTCACTCACTCACCTATCCAAATCATGGAACATTGCAGACTTGTGGAGGTAAGTGACTACGAGATGAGTGTTTCTATTTCAAAACCTTTTATGACGTGTAGCCACTCAGTGATGTGAAATGCGGCGTACATCCTACAGCGCACATTGACATACTTGTATGTGTGTTACGGACAGAGCCATTGCTCACACGATACACAGCGACATGACCCGTGAAGATCCGGGATAGAATAGGTCTTCAGCAAATTGCTTGCTGTAAGAGGCCACTAACGGGGTCGGGGGTTCTGGCTTGGGTGGTGCATGTCATCGTAATTATCCTAATTGTGTTGATCGATCCTCATGATGTCAATCACTGGATTGTCCATTCCAGACTCGATTATTTATAGACTGCCCTTCGATAGCTGGAATATTGTTGAGTGCGGCGTTAAACACATAACTGAATGTCTATTCGGGTGAAATATAATCCTCTCGACGATAGGCTTTGTAGTACAGATATAAATACTTATGCTGACATGGAAACGGACATCTGGCAAACAGTTCATATAGGCTGACATAAAGAAACATACAACCCGGATTAACGATTAATGATCATAGGAGCATTTGTTTGTTTGTTGTTCGTCGCGTACCACTCAGCAGTATTCCAGCTAGATGATGGAAGTCTGTCAATATTTTAGATGGACATCGATGTACGCAAAATGGGATACCATGACAGGCAACAACCAAGTCAGCGAGCCTGACCACCCGATCCCGTTTGTCGCCTCTTACGACAAGCGTGGGTTGCTGGGGACCTATTTTAACCCGGAATCAGGACAGGGGAAGAGTTGTGTCATGTAATCAGATAAGAAGGTTTTTTTTTGGAGGTCTTCATGGGGCTTATAAAAGTAATTTTACCCGATTCCCAGGCCACGATGAAGTATGTGACCATCTTCTTAGTCCGGGAATTGTGTGGGGACAAGTCGAGAACGCAGCTCCCAGAACAGACACGCAGACGACACTCAGAAAGACGGTCGCCATCTTGAATCGGTCAGTCCTATGATCGGCTGGAAGAGCTTCTGGTATGTTTCTCCTTTGCGCATACCTATATTAATGATTAGGTCCTTGACACTGTTATTATCATAAACAAAGATATGTATTTTTAACTCTGGCACGCCATTTCTTATCAAAAGTGTTAGTTGCTACGTGTATTAGTTGCCTATTTCTTTTTAAATTTTACCAACGAGCGATACAAAATCTGATAAAAAAATGCAAACCAAGACAAACCATTATATAATATCCTTCACCATTGAAGTTTGATTGAAAGTCATATTTTCTTTTCAACAATAGCACAAATAAGTATTTTGAACATGGAGACTCTTCCATGATCTGGGGGCACGGGTGGCCCTGTCGTCACAGGCGCCGCGATTCGCTGTGCAGAGTTGCGTCCCTTGGACACACACCAGAAAATTATTATTGTGGATTCGAATCCCGGTTCGCCCCGATATTATTTCTATGTTTGTCAGCACCATACCCGTATTTGTGGGTTTCACCGAAGTTGTAAACGTGTTGTAAACATATTTTGTGTAATGTAGACAACATGACTAATAATATTTATTATTCTGTAACTGACCTACATACCGTTGGGGTGGTAGGTTAGCATAGCGGTTAAAGCGTTTGCTCGTCACGCCGAAGATCCGGGTTCGATTCCCCACATGGGTACAATATGTGAAGCCTTTTTCTGGTGTCCAAAGCCGTGATATTGCTGGAATATTGCTAAAAGCGGCGTTAAACCATACTCACTCACTCAATCGTTATACCGTTGTCTGGTGGTGAGGACCCAGTGATACGGTTGATTGAGTGTCCTCATACTCCTACAACGTGGACCGTTACTCATATCACTGGATTATCTGGCCCATTCTCAATGTCACAGGCCGCCACCATATTGCTGAAACACTGTTGATTGCGGTGTAAAACAAAAGACAAACCCAATCATGCTTGTTGCACTTGTCTATGTTCGAATGACGTCACTTGCAAGATGTCCTTGTCAGACGTTGAGGTAGAGCTGACTACTCTCTTAGTTCGAATTCACGATGTAGGAATATGAAAAAAAATGAAAACAAACGATTTACTTAGAAATATTTATTACCAAACATAACATCCTTTTTTGTGGATCTTTGACAGAATTATTGTTTAACGACTCCCTAAAGACCATTCTGTTGTATATATAACTCTGGATGATTATCCTGTCCTGACCTCTTGGCCAATGTATGGTCTTCAAAAGCAGGTGTGATAGCCATGGCTAAGATTTCATATCCTTTTTTGCTGTTGCTGAAGCGCCCATGAGATGGCGGCCACCGTCGACGTAGATGCTCTCTCCTGTCACGAAGGCGGAGTCGTCACTGGCCAGGAACTGGATCACCTTGGCAATGTCCATGCTCTCCCCGATGCCTTTCAGGGGCTGACTTGCTTTTCCAATAGCAGTCAACTGAAATATGATGGTGTGGAATGTGAACGTGTGGAATATGGACGTGGGGTATATGGTCGTGTGGAATATGGACGTGTGGAGTATGGACGTGTGGAATATGGACGTGTGGAGTATGGACGTGTGGAGTATGAACGTGTGGAATATGGACGTGTGGAGTATGGACGTGTGGAAATATGGACGTGTGGAGTATGGACGTGTGGAATATGGACGTGTGGAATATGGACGTGTGGAGTATGGACGTGTGGAGTATGGACGTGTGGAGTATGGACGTGTGGAATATGGACGTGTGGAATATGGACGTGTGGAGTATGGACTTGTGGAGTATGGACGTGTGGAGTATGGACGTGTGGAGTATGGACGTGTGGAGAATGGACGTGTGGAGTATGGACGTGTGGAGTATGGACGTGTGGAGTATGAACGTGTGGAATATGGACGTGTGGAGTATGGACGTGTGGAGTATGGTCGTGTGGAGTATGGTCGTGTGGAGTATGGACGTGTGGAGTATGGTCGTGTGGAGTATGGACGTGTGGAATATGGACGGTGGAATACGGGCGTGTGGTATATGGGCGTGAAGAATAAGGACGTGTGGCATATGGATGTGTGGTATATGGATGTGTGATATATGGATGTGTGAAATGTTGACGTGTTTAATATGAGCGTGTTGAATATGGACGTGTGGAATATAGACATGTGGAGTATAGACGTGTGGTATATGGACATGTGATATATGTATGTGCAAACTGTGGACGTGTTTAATATGAGCGTGTTGAATATTGACTTGTGGAATATGGACATGTGGAATATAGACGTGTGGGATATGGACGTGTGATATATGGACATGTGGAATATAGACGTGTGGTATATGGACGTGTGACATATGGACATGTGGACTATAGGCGTTTGGTATATGGGCATGTGAAATATGTATGTGTAAAATGTTGACGTGTTTAATATGAGCGTGTTGAATATGGACGTTTGGAATATAGGCATGTTGAATATAGACGTGTGGTATATGGACGTGTGACATATGGACATGTGGATTATAGACGTGTGGGATATGGACATGTGGAATATAGACGTGTGGTATATGGACGTGTGATATATGTATGTGTAAAATTTGGACGTGTTTAATATAGGTGTGTTGAATATGGACCTTTGGGATATGGACATGTGGAATATTGACGTGTAGTATATAGACATGTTGAATATGGATGTGTGGGATATGGACATGGGGAATGTGAACGTGTTGTATAAATGCGTGTTAAATATGGACGTGTGGAATACAGACGTATGACTACTTACACCAAGTTATTAAGTGAAAATCAAGGCAAAATGTCTAAAGTGACATCTTCCTTCTATGTGCAGCTACGTATTTCAATTGGAGCGTCTCATGGCACGCTACAAAAGTCATTTATGTTGTTAAGCTTTTTAATTTGAGGCATGAGCATTTTCTTCCTTTTCGAATGACTAGTATGTCGTGACCCAAAGGACAAGGTAATAGTGTCTTTCAACAAGTCATGTAGCAACTGGTGTTTAACTGATTCCTAAAATGCTTCTCCCGTTTGTGTGTTTCGGGCACTCTTCGCCCAACTTCTTTCAAACAGACCCTCTCACTCTTACCGTCCACTCTCTAACCCCATTCACACCTTACCCCCAACCCTCCACCTTTCACCTTCAGTCCTCCACCTTCCACAATCCACTCACTCACTCACTCACTCACTCACTCACTGCACCTACCATCTCCGTTCTACCAGGGACGCTGGCGTAGGTGTCGGTAAGGATCATCCCAGGCCTGTTCAGGCAACAGAAAAAATGATTACTCTTTATGATAGTTTTTAAAGTTTTGTTTCAAGTTTCCTTTTACCAGACTATTTTTCTCATCGATCAAACAATATATTAAATACTGCCAACTAGACACTTTACACGAGGAAAGAAGATGCACGTGCCTGATTGTGTTAACTCTCACTCCATGTGGTGCCATCTCTGCAACAAACATTTGAAGTAGGCTTTAGGGACAGATTATTTAATATTAAGCCACAATAAATACATTGTTAAAAGGTGTGTTTCTTAAAGTAGGTTCAGGCTGTGTTCCCTCTAACATTTGACAGTACTTTGGTCATCGTGTCATTTGACAGTACTTTGGTCATTGTGTCATGTGTCATGTGTCAGGACTGTGGTCACTATGACATTTGACAGTACTGTGGTCACTATGACATTTGACAGTAATGTGGTCATTGTGTCATTTGAAAGTACTTTGGTCATTGTGTCATTTGACAGTACTTTGGTCATTGTGTCATTTGACAGTAATTTGGTCATTGTGTCATGTGTCAGGACTGTGGTCACTATGACATTTGACAGGACTGTGGTCACTATGACATTTGACAGTGCTGTGGTCATTATGACATTTGACAGTAATGTGGTCATTGTGTCATTTGACAGTACTTTGGTCATTGTGTCATGTGACAGTACTTTGGTCATTGTGTCATTTGACAGTACTTTGGTCATTGTGTCATGTGTCAGGACTGTGGTCACTATGACATTTGACAGTACTGTGGTCACTATGGCATTTGACAGTAATGTGGTCATTGTGTCATTTGACAGTACTTTGGTCATTGTGTCATTTGAAAGTACTTTGGTCATTGTGTCATTTGACAGTACTTTGGTCATTGTGTCATGTGTCAGGACTGTGGTCATTATGACATTTGACAGTAATGTGGTCACTATGACATTTTGGGAGTGTTGTGATCACTGATATGTGACAGTACTCTGGTCACTATGACATTTGACAGTACTTTGGTCACTATGACATTTGACAGAACTCTGGTCACTGACATTTGACAGTAATGTGATCACTATGACATTTGACAGTACTCTGGTCACTATGACATTTGACAGTACTGTGATCAGTATGACATTTGACAGTACTGTGGTCACTGACATTTGACAGTAATGTGATCACTATGACATTTGACAGTACTGTGATCACTATGACATTTGACAGTACTATGATCACTATACATTTGACAGTAATGTGATCACTATGACATTTGACAGTACTCTGGTCACTATGACAATTGACAGTACTGTGGTCACTATGACATTTGACAGTTAGGTTATCACTATGACATTTGACAGTAATGTGATCACTATGACATTTGACAGTACTATGATCACTATACATTTGACAGTACTGTGGTCACTGACATTTGACAGTAATGTGATCACTATGACATTTGACAGTACTCTGGTCACTATGAAAATTGACAGTACTGTGACCACTATGACATTTGACAGTACTGTGGTCACTGACATTTGACAGTAATGTGATCACTATGACATTTGACAGTACTCTGGTCACTATGACAATTGACAGTACTGTGGTCACTATGACATTTTGGGAGTACTGTGATCACTGATATGTGACAGTACTCTGGTCACTATGACATTTGACAGTACTGTGATCGCTATGACATTTGACAGTACTCTGGTCACTATGACAATTGACAGTACTTTGGTCACTGACATTTGACAGTAATGTGATCACTATGACATTTTGGGAGTACTGTGATCACTCTGTCAGGTCATTTGACAGCGCTGTGGTCACCTCGTCATTTGACACAACTGGGATCACCAAACATGACAGATCATAAAAGGAACTTTTGATGTTTTAGTATAGTTTTAAGTTGCGCTGCATCTAATCTCACGTGGGTATTGTTTGTTGATGGATGAGCTTGTGGTTACAGTATGGAACCTGGCTGATTGTATGACATCGTGCCCCAAAGACGTGAGTCATACTCCAACAGGTTGGTCTCATGAAGGTGGCCGTGGCGCAAAGCACTATTGACGCTTTTGTTCATCAAATAATAACGAAAGCAAAGATAAAGATTAATCTACATGCTTACTTTCGATCTTGTGATTTGAGTGAATGAGAGAGATTTTACGCCGCTTTTAGCAGTATTCCAGCAATATCACGGCGGGGGACACCAGAAATATACCCACTTGAAGAAGCGAACTAAAAAATTCGATGTGATGAGCGAACACTTAAACCACTAGGCTACCCAACCGACCCTCCAATGATTTGAAAAGTACCCTTCTGATTAAATTATGATACAATTTCTGTGGAAAGGTTTATTCCAAACCAAATCGAGTGCGCCATCACTTGGTGATGTGGGTGATTCCATTGACACCAGGTGTTTGGAACGTACACACACGTTCCTATGGAAACAGAACTTCGTGACTTACCCATTGCGAGGCAGTTGGTGAAGTGATCTAACCCTGCTTTGCTGACAGAGTACAACGTGCAGAAAGGCATCTGTCGACATATAGAAGGGTGCATTTTGTACATTACTGAACATCTGCTAGATAAATACAAATAATATGAAAGCCAATTTGGGTTGGGAGGTCGCGTTCTTTTTCTTCAAAACAGTTAATTATTATGAGTTGTCAACTGGTTTTAAAAGGGCCATGTGCTGATGTACCCTCGGTGTCAGTTTATGTTCCCGAGCCCGAATAGGGCTGTTCACTCAAAAGCTAAGAATGTCACAGTTAGGCAGTTACTAAACTACTCACGGAAATGAAAAAAACCCTGTTTTTCTCAATTTTAAAAATCGGCACAAAGTGTTACGTAGCTGTAAATACGAAGTAACAAAACAACTCGAAAAGTACTAGTCTGGATTTGCTAGTTTGATCTCAGTGAACAATACACAATGTACTTTACAGGAGGTAATTTGTCGGCACTTTCAACATTCAAAAATAAAACTAAGTCCAAATTGACATAGCAGAAACAGACTATAGGCATTATGCACCTGTTCTCACCTGTCGTCAAGGTGTCATAGGTCACCTTGATCTGCTTACACCTGGTTATGCCCTGTTTCACAATAGTCTGTTTTACGTGTAAAGAGATATGAAAACATTTGATACGCTGTATTTGTGCCACGGCCCAGTTAGTACTAATTTAGTTGTTTGATATATTTACATATTTTGTATATTAACTACATTTATTTAAGATCTGGGGTCGAAAAAACAGGTTTTTTTTCATTTCCGTGAGTCCTTTAGCCCTATTCTCGAGACAAGGGAGTTAACTGACAGTTTCCAACCTTGCCGAACTAGGCTGGAATTAAGGAGTAATATTTTCTGTGCATAGTCCAATCAAAATCCCGTAACGAAATCAACATCCGGTTCATAAACAACAGAACAACCGCCTTGCCGAATTCGTTTTATCGCAGGATTTGCAGAGCATGTGTATCGTGAAATCGACGAAGACAGATTTTTGTCTGGATTTGTTCATGTATTTAATCAATGTGCGCAAGTGATTTGATGCACTTCGCGAGGTAAAACCCGTTTTATTAAATAAAGATCTTTACAATCGATGAAATGGGCGCCGCCATTTTGTTTGAAGCAAGTGCAAGTGATATGAGTGGTGGAATCTGATTGGTCAATTGTGGGGACATAGAAGGGACGTAATAGCCACAAGTTGCGCTACAATCGACCCCAGAAATTCCAGTCTAGTTCGGCAAGGGGGGAAATTGGACTTTTAAAGTCTGTTACCTCCCTTGCCTCGGGAAAAAGGTTAATAGCAGACGACAGAAAACAAACCTAGAAGTATTCCTCCTAGACATATCCTTTCGGACAAAATCGGAAATAATCGGAGAATGGTATTATTTCGAGATACAAAATTGCGGTTGGCATGTTGTAAATGTAATGCTAACAGTTCAGCAATTCGAGGAGGCAACATTCGAAATGTACCTTACATGTCAGCGGGGTACATTAAACAATTGCATGTGTCTCAGTCAGAATCCGACATTCATGTGTAAGATAAAATAAAGTTGAAATGCCTACTTTATCAGTTAAACGCATGAGGTAAACGTCCTTTGACAAGAAACCCTAAAGCACGCTTGTTCGATTGAAATATATGCGTGTCGTTCAGGCGAAATAGTTCCGTCAAAAAGTGTTATTATACAGATAATTTAAGTATTTCATCGCTGAATTATACACGTGGAATTGGACCCGTGAAGATCAGGGTTGGAATAGTTCTTCCGCAGCCCATTCTTGCCGTAAGAGGCGACTAGCTGGATCGGTTGGTCAGGCTCGCTGACTTGGTTGATGCATGTCATCGAACCCAATTGCCAGGATCGATGCTCATGATGTCAATCACTGTATTGTCTGGTCTAGACTCGATTATTTACAGACCGCCGTCATATAGCTGGAATATTGCTGAGTGCGGCGTTACACAACAAACAAACAAATGACAAACGATAATAAACTGTTTAACCTGTATTTTGTATTTAATTGACAACTGTATCGCAGTACTGTAGTACTGTTCTTATCTTTTAGTTTCAATCACAGCTTCTATAGGGTATACTCACCGATTCTGTTGATGCTGTACTGGATATGTTAATGATAGAGCCTGTAATGAAAATGTCAGAGGTTTTAGATGCATAAATGTCCTGAAATATTAAACCACCCTAATGTTTGTCATAGTTTTGGTGGACCCTCCCCATGTCCTTGTACATTTTTACATGACTTCATATCACTAAAGCACTTCATAGTTTTATTATAAAATGTCCATTTGATCATGACCTCCCCAAATATGTGTATTGTTTTTCAATACCCTCTTCCAGAGAGACCGCCTCCGTGGTCTAGTGGTAGAGCGTCCGCCCGGAGAGCGGAAGGTCCGGGGGTCGATTTCCGGCCGCGTCATACCAAAAGACGTTAAAAGATGGTACTTGTTGTTACCCTGTCTGGCGCTCGGCATTAAGGTCTAAAACAAGGACTGGAATCTGTGTCTGAGTGGGGTATTCATGTTAAACTGCGGCATGGTATCTCAGTGGGCTAGCACTATAAATCGGCATCAGTCCGGACTAGTACAAGCAGCCACGTCGTTATATAAGTGCAATAACCTTAGACGCGACGTTAAACCCAATTTCACCTCGCCTCTCCCACAGAGTGTCGCATATTTTTGTGACCTTCCCCTGATTCCCTCTGCTCCCTCTACTATCAAACAGTGATGGTACCATTTGTTCTCGAAAAGATAAGCGTATGCTGCCTCACCGGTGGCACCCGTCACAAACACATGCAAATGCAAGTCAATTGTTCACCTGAATAAACAAGGGAACACATGGTCATGCAAAATCTGGAATCATTTCTAAATGGATGAAGGACTGAAATTATTCATATCGTTCGTGGGACGTCTTCAACAACCTAAAAATGAAACTTTTCTCAAACATTTTACCTTTCGTTTTCTTCAGATGAGGCACTGCCGCCTGGGACAGGAAGATAGGAGCCTTCAGGTTGACTGACATGGTTGTGTCGAATTCATCTGGTGTATAGCCATCAACGCCCGCCATACTGGTCATCGTGGCAGCGTTATTCACCTGGTCAATACAACACAACGGTCAATCTGCTAAAGTGAGTGAGTGAGTGAGTTGGGTTTAACGTCGCTTTTAGCATTATTCTAGTTGTATCACGGCGTGTCAGCTTAATGTGGGAAGAAAGCCCGAAGTGATGCAGGTCTCAGACGTTTACCACTTCGGTGAAACCCACGAGCACGGGTATGGTGCTGACAAACCTAGAAACATAATCGGGGTGAATCGGGATTCGAACCCACAATCATAGGTTTCTGGCGTGCCCAAGGGACGCAACTCTGTACAGCGAATCGCGGCGCCTTGGGTGACTGTTTAAGGACATATGCTTTTTTACCATGAGTGCTTTGTGAATAAACCCACCAGCACGGGTATGGTGCTGACAAACCTAGAAACATAATCGGGGCGAACCGGAATTCGAAACCACAATCATAGGTTTCTGACGTGCTCAAGGGACGCAACTCTGCACAGCGAACCGCGGCGCCACCTATTCTGCTAGAGCAAGGAGTAAGATTAAAGCTGTTTAAGCAAAGGTCTGCATTTACATGGAGATCTGGTTCCAACATATTTTAATGTTGAGAATCGAACAAAGATCACCGGCGTGTCGAACAATACTCTATCCACTGTCCCGACACAAACTATCAATATCACCGTTTTCAAACCTATTTTCCTTTGCTGTCATCCTCTATAATATTAGTCTGCATCTTGGCATAGATATATTAACACTTTAGCATCAAGGCAATATAGTGATTTCCTTTACATACCAGCACATCAAGCTGTCCGAACCTTTCAATCGTCTCAGAAACAATTTTCTTCAAATCCTCCAGCTTTGTCAGGTCTGCAGGCAGAACATGGATCTGTTGGCAATATGTCTTGGGTGAAATATTTCATCTTACGAACGACAAAATATGACCAAAACATGTTATGTTATGTCCTGTTAAACATCCGACACTTTGTTCTTTCAACTCTTGAATTGTTCTTCATGCTTTCAATCACTGGTTTGCCGCGCTCAAACTCGCAGCTTTATATACCTATGTGATATATACTACTCTAAAGAAGTTAAAGAACACCTAAGTCTTTCATATCAAATAGAAGTCATATTAATGTAATATGCGCGGTCTTTAACTTCTTTTGAATAGATTTGTTTAAAGTATGCTGAATTCATTCATTGACATGTTTCAATTCTGTCCGTTGTGAAATGTCTCCTTCAAGACGAACTGGGCTTTAGGCTGGTACTTATATGCATACATTATCTTTCAAAGTGCTCACTCTGTAGAGTATATTGGGCTAAACCTATAATTTCTTTATTCCTCACCTTCTTTTTTACCTCGAACGTTGTGCAGAAAAGGCAATGTCTTATAGAAACGTATTTATTTGAGGGATTGTAAATTAGAATGTATGGTGTATGACACTGACACACCTGGTCCCACTTGCACAAAGCCATTTTAGCGCTAAGATTATCGATATCTTAACCCTAAGAATGGGAGTTAAGATCATCTGAGGATCGCTTTATGCAAGTGGGCCCAGGTCACGCGGCAGACCGTTCTTTCCGCATTTGAAACGATCTTAAATATATCATAGATAAAAAAGAATTAAACCATCTTCCTGATTTAGTATCTAACCAAGTTTAGGCATGGATACCTTGTCTTTAGGCAGCCCCTTCTCCCTGCACTGCTCCGCCACCTTCTCCAGCAACTCTTGACGGCGAGCCACCAGAACCAGTCTAGGCTTGTACTGGGCCAGATGGAGGGCGGTCTGGGCGCCGATACCGGAGCTGGAGCCTTGCAATCGAATAAGTGAGAGAATATATATACGTTTCTATTTCACCGAGCTGAGAGGAGTGTGTGAAAGAGTTTAACGCCGCTTTAAATAGTATGTCAATAATATCGTTAATTCATTATATGGTGTGGTGAAGCCCTAATTGTTGCAGAGACATGTGTTTGTTTGTTATCGCGCTCAGCACTATTCTAGCTATATGACAGCGGACTGTACAAATCTGAACCAGTGATTGACATCATGAACATCGATCTGCATAATTGGGACACGACGGCATGCATTAACTAAGTCAGCGAGTCTGACCACCCGATCCCGTTTGTCGCCTCTTACAAGCATGGGTTGGTGAAGACCAGGGCCCACTTGCACAAAGCGATCTTAGCGCTAAGATGATCGTAGCTCCCATACTTTAACATAGGCTTACAATAGTCTTAGCACTAAGATCGCTTTGTGCAACTGGACCCAGGAATCTTCACCGGGATGCAGAGGCAGTCAGCTTAAGTTAAATTATGACGTGACATTGAGCCCCGTATGAGTGAGTGAGTGAGTTGCGTTTATCGTCCTTTTAACAGTAGTCCAGTTATATCACGGCGTGTCAGCTTAATGTGGGAGGAAAGCCCGAAGTGATGCGAGTCTCAGACGTTTACCACTTCGGTGAAACCCACGAGCACGGGTATGGTGCTAACAAACCTAGAAACATAATCGGGGCGAACCGGGATTCGAACCCACAATTTCTGGCGTGCCCAAGGGCACAGCGAATCGCGTCGCCTTAGACGACTGGGCCACCCGTGCCCCCAGCCCCGTATGACTATGTATGAGGTCCGTCCACTGGCGCGTACCATTGTGAAGAAAGGGGTAACGGGTGCGTTTGTTTGTTGTTTAACGCCGCACTCAACAATATTACAGCTATATGACGACGGTCCGCGACAAGCAGTACGCTGGATATGTGCGGATACGAGTTCTATTGGCGAGTTCAATACCACATTATAATACGTGCTGATGTGAGGTAGCCAATGACTACGGAAGCGTAGTAGGGCCACGGTGAATTAGTTTTGTCTAAGTATCTCCTACATAGGACTTTGTACCTCCTACGTAGGACTTACTATCTGATGAAAGCACATTGGGCGTTCTGCCCCAATAGGAGGTATTTCACACCGTCCTTTTCCGAGGCTTTATTAGATACACCAGCTACGTCGATATCCCATCGAGCATTGAGGCCTGAAGCCACCACTCTGTTCCGCTTGAACTTGTATCTTAAAGGTCGCTGAAGTGAATAGACGTCTTGAGAAGCTAGCCACTTCTTTATGTGATGTAAACTGATATCAGATTTACCTTCCTTTCTCACAATGTAATATAACTCAGCAGGGCCAGAAAAGGAGGCTGGATGTTTGGTATTTAAATAAATACTAGACAAGTATGCTTTCCATCCGTCAGCAGGCATGGTTACATGAGAAATGAAGCCTGAACAATGTAAATAGAGCTGAAATATTTATCAACTACATAGCCATTCATAACTACAGAGACGAGGCTGGGTTACATTCAATAACAAACGTGCTTGTGTGTTCTCGTATGTTAACTCGTGGATACGGAGGACTGCCTTCCTCAAAGGTTTGTTTACACAACTGATTGCCTTCAGTGGATAATGCAGTTATGTGACCTAGTTCAACACCGTGTTCGGAGTAACACCAGGATTCTATTTATTTTTACAAATTCTGTAAACATAACAGGACTAACTACATCGTACCCTTTCTATTTTAAAGGAGTTTCATACATGCTATTGTATAGTTTTAATTATACCGATGTTTGAATGTATAACCGTTGGTCTATCCTTAGCCAGGGTTTTCCCCCGATTGCAACACAACCTGTAATGTACTTCGCTGGTAAGCTATTTTTGGCGTGACGTCATTTAGATTGCCATGCCTCCGTGCTTGGGGTAAATGAGTGCAAAACGGCCCTGGGTCAGAACGCCCAATGTGCTTTCGTCAGATAGTAAATCCTACGTGGGACTGAATGAATGTATCTATACTATTAAGTTTATTCATTTGATTCGGTAACAATATTTCAAGTTGATTTTTAAGTGTTTGTTTGTTTGTTTGGGCACTGTCAAACATTAAGGAATTGTTATTATGTTCAAATATGTACTCTCCAAGTCTATATCTCACCTGTGATGACGATAACCTTATTCTCCAAGGACGCCATTTTGAAGGACACTTCTTACCCTGTCGAAACAAAATAGGTAGTTACAACATGGCGTTGTGTTTGCTGGCGATGTTAGGGGGAAAACTCAGTGTGACAGCGACACAGTTCGCCAGAGTTAAAGCTTAAACAATATAAGTTCAAATAAACATTATAGTAGCTGTCGAATGACCTACCTGATATTTTGCAAAGTCACCGACTGGTCTGTGCACTTGGATGAGCAAGACTACTCACTTTGTGACTGTACACGTACACGCATGCTTGCTATGTCAGCCCTGAATAATGCATTTTAAAACTCTACCGTAAAAGGCGTTATTGCCTGTTCGCTTTTCAAACGATTAACATCTTAATTGTTCGTTGTGCTCTTTACATTTGTTGTAGATTGTGTTTCCACAGGATTTTTATTGTCAGTTAACGCCCTTGCCTCGTTGTGCTAATTACATTTGTTGTAGATTATGTTTCCAAGGGATTTTTATTGTCAGTGAACGCCCTTGCCTCGGGGAAATTGATACTGGTCTCAATGTAATCGGTGGGGAGAGGGATAAGCCCATTGGCTAAAGAGTTCGCTGGATTATTTCTAAAAGAGTCGTGAAACCATACTCATTCTCAAATGAAAGGAAAATTGAAACTGCTATCTCACGCCTCAGACTTGGTCACAAAAAGCACTATGACAAGGTTTGTTCATCTTGCAATCAGGCTGAAACCATTGACCACCTGTTACTAGAATGTCAAGACCATGCCCCAGCCCGGGCTAGGTTAAAACAAGAATTGCAGTTAGATCCGCTATCTGTCATAGATCTCCTAAAGCCAAGAGATGCAATAGCGAAGGCCAAACTAACTCTATTTCTGAGAGATGGACAGCTGCTCGAACGTATATAAACAGAGCAGCCAAGGATAAAAATGAAATCATATCAATATAAGAAAATAGAAATCATATCAATGCAAAAACAGAAATTATGTGAACACCGAACTCACAATAGATATGTGAACCCTTCTCACACACAGGAGTCCCAAAGAGGGACAGGTCAGCCGAAATTGCCTAGGCAGAAGGCGACCTCTTAAACACCTAATGCAACAACATACTCATTCACAAAATGAAATCGCACAGATTAACGAAATACTGGCACCATACAAGTATGTTGGCATCCTCGGTGTGATGCCAGGTTAGAATTGGTCTCAAGTAACTAATGCTTGTGGCCTTGAGAAGGTGACGGTTGGTCAGGCTCGGTGAATTGGTTGAATGTTTGTTTGCTTGCTTGTTTGTTGTTTAACGCCGCACTCAGCAATATTCCAGCTATATGACGGCGGTCTGTAAATAATCGAGTCTGGACCAGACAATCCAGTGATTGACACCTTGAGCAACGATCCACCCAATTGGGATACGATGACATGCATCAACCAAGTCAGCGAGTCTGACCACCCGATCCCATTAGTCACCTCTTACGACATGCATAGTTGCCTTGTACGGCAAACATGGGTTGCTGAAGACCTATTCTACCCCGGATCTTCAGGGGCCTGGTTGAATGTGTTTTACCGTACACAACGGCGTGGATTCGTTGCTCTTAATACTAATCACTTGTTTGTGTGCTCCAGGCTCGATCATTTACATGCAGCCGTCAAATAACTGGAATATAGCTGAGTGCAGCTTCAAATAGCAAACAAGCAAACAATTATCTGAGCTGATATTTAAATCAGGAAACCATACCGGCTAGGCAAACCATACAAAGTTTGAATGCGTGAGTGAGTATGTTTTTACGCCGCCTTCGGCAATATTACGACAGGGACACCAGAAATAGGCTTTATTCATTGTACCCATGTGGAGAATCGAACCCGGTTCTTCGTACCGAGCGAATGCTTCATCCGCTAGGCTACACTACCGCCCACCAAACAATGCATGACAATTTGCTTGTTACAATGAATTCGAAGTATGCTAGTGAGTGAGTGTGGTTTTGTGCCACCCCTTACCGTTATCCCCGCAATATTGAGGGTGGTGACACCAAAAATAAGTTTCACATTAGATGTCATGTGTGGAATTGACCCCATTGTTCCGCGTGACGAGCCGGCGCGTTTACCACTTTTGGCTTAAAGCACGACTGTGACAACGTACGTCCTATAACATTGAATGGGCATGGGGGAACCCGTCGTCTGAACACCCGCAATTCGCTGTACCATAAACTAATAAGCATGGGTAGAATCGCCGATTCGACCTGATTGTTTATCTTGTTCCTAGGGACCGCCTCCGTGGTCTGGTGGTAGAGCGTCCGCCCGGAAGGTCCGGGGTTTGATCCCCGGCCGCGTCATACAAAAAGACGTTAAAAGATTGTACTTGTTGTTACCCTGTCTCGGCATTAAGGTGCTTAAACAAGGATTGGTCGGCTCGGAGTCAGTATACTGTGTCTGAGTGTTGTATTCATGTTAAACTGCGGCATGGTATCTCAGTGAGCTAGCACTATAAAACGGCATCAGTCCGGACTAGTACAAGCAGCCACACACACACATACACGTGCATGCACGTCGCTATATAAGTGCAATAATCTTGGACGCGACGTTAAACCCAATTTCACCTCACCTCTTGTTCCTAGGGCTTTCCTCCTACACCAAACTGACACGCCGTGATATAACTGAAATGCTTTTCAAAGCGGCAGTAAACCGATCTCACTCAGTCACTCACTTTAATATTGAAACAGTGTACAAGCAAGACGTCAAGCGGGCTTTGCTTTTTATCAGGACTGCTTGGAAAGAAGTGAAACAAGACACAATCTTTTACTGTTGGCACCACACCCGTATTCTCCCCGATGCGCCTGTTACAGCTAACCCTGTCATCGCCTACCTCGAAGCCATCAATGCTACTAATACAACTTGCAACACCGTGTACGGCGACACGGCATCGAGCGAAGGCTTTTTGATCGCCGATGACGACATCCCATGTGAGGAAGAGATGGCCAACGACACCATCGTTGACATCGTCCGCGGGCAGCCTGACGGTGATAACACAGAAGATGAAGCAGACGACAGCGAGCACCCAATTATCCCACCAGCAGCAACCATCAAGGCACATCTCGCTCAAATTGCATGCTACGTCGAACACCACTTGGGTGTGTTTTCCGTTACTGACTTGGACTTTATTACAAACATGCGGTTTTTTTTGAGAAATGTGTCTTCAAAATGTGAGAAACAGAAAACACCGAAAGACTATTTTCAGTAGATGAAGTGTCAATGAAAGCAAGTTGTCAAGACGGCAGCACTTACATGTACACGAGGAAACGTGTGTCGTTGATCTGATGAATTCAGTGAGTAATTTCTCTTTCGTTTTGTACAAATGGGAAAATTATTATTATTATTGCAATGTCATTAATCATAAATTAAGTAATAAATGAATGAATAAACAACATAACATTATAAATAGTCATGAAGATGTCCGATTTTCGATCACAACATACTCGTTAATCCGACACATAATATGCAACCAACAATATCAGATTAACGGGACTTGACTGTATATACTTACCCATGTTAAAACTGCTTCTATATGTTAATTTACAAAGAGACGACTAACGGGATCGGGTGACCATAGTCAGTCTCGCTGACTTGTTTGATGCATGTCATCGTAACCCAATTGCGTATATCGACGTTCATGACCCGATTATTTACAGACCGCCGTTATAGCTGGAATATTGGTGAGTGCGGCGTTAAACAACAAACAAACAAAAACTTAAAAGATAAAGACACAGTTATGATAGGATTTATTTCTAAAAGGAGTGATAAAATAGATTTTAAAAAACACAAAGTACATGAGACAAAACATGTCATGCAATGATCCGTGAGTAATAACCCGTGAATATCCCGTGAATAGTTGTTAAAACACATCTTCCCGAGGCAAGGGAGTTACCTGACTTTAAAAATGCAGTTTGAGTGGGAACTGGACTTTTAAAGTCGGCTAGCTGCCTTGCCTCGTGAAGACGTTAAAACAAGACAGAATGTATCACCATGGGTGATCGGGTGATCTGACAGATGATTGGCAGTCTTGTTGTCGGGGCAACATCTGTTCACCAGCATGTCACGTCATATAAAAGCGACAAAACCATTTCTACAATCATAAAAATTTCTATTAAAAGCAGACTCCATTCTACGATTCCGACTATACCATGAACATGTGTTTATGAATCATACTCTCACATATTTTCTTTGTATCGAACGGACTCGTTTTCAACATTTTAAAAACTCATTGCGGGTTCAGTAGAAAAAAAAAAGATTTTAAAATCTTAGTTTTCTATATATTTGATTGTTATTGATGCATTCTCATGTGCATATGCAAAACATGTACACTTTCTTATGAGCAATATCTCATTGGAATTGTATCGATATTATACCATTACAAAATGTGCGGCAATTGCAAGATGAAGAATGGATATTTTTCTTAAATTCTGGCCTTCCTTTCATTTATTATTTAATTGATTCACATTGTCCATTTGATATAATGCTAAAAGTAGCTTCTAGTGTTAAACTCTTTACAAACTGGAAATGTATATATAAAATGCAATAATAATAACATTATTTTTAAAAACATTAAAAAACACAAGGCTACAGGCCGAATAACGAGAGACATAAAAACTGTTCGTTCGCCTTCATTTAAAGAGTGTCTCGTCTTAGATTGTCATGGCGGTTCTATCCCATCTTCACTAATGCTGAGGCGCCCATGAGATGGCGGCCACCGTCGACGTACATGCTTTCTCCGGTCATGAAGGCGGAGTCGTCACTGGCCAGGAACTTGACGACTTTGGCAATGTCTAGACCCTCCCCGACTCCTCGGAGCGGTTGACTAGTCTTACCCATCTCCTTCATCTGAAAGATGGTCGTGTAATATCAAAACACCATTTCCACAAGAAATACGAACTGCAATCCACATTCTTCCTTAAAAGAGTGGGTTTGAATCCCCGTCTCACCCCGATTATGTTTCTCGGTCTGTCAGAACCATACCTGTGCTCGTGATTTTCACCAAAGTGTTGAACGTCTGAGACCTGTATCACTTCCGATTTTCCTCCCACATTAAGCTGACAGGCCGTGATATAATGCGGCGTTAAACCCAACTCACTCACTCCTAAAAAGACTTAGAGAGTTGTTCCATTCGATAAAAGCTGGGGTATTTATTCATATTTTTTCGTTCACTTCTTTAAGACCTACATCTTTTCTCTGAATTAGGTGCTGCATCCAGGGTGTGTTTCTTCAGGACATCTCTTAACAAGGTATATTGTTTTCAAAATATATTGTCAACTTGTGAATACATTTATGGATCTGGGTTAGAATTCGTCTTCAGCTACCTATGCTTGTTGTAAGAGGCGACTAACGAGATCAGATGGTCAGACTCACTGATATTGTTACTGCATGTCATCGTATTCCAATCGCGTAGATCGATGCTCATGATCTCAATCACTGGATTGTCTGGTGTAGACCGGATTATTTACAGACCGCCGTTATAAAGCTGGAATAATGCTGAGTGCGGCGTTAAACAACAAACGAACAAATGTATGATTGGTGTGTTCGGTGCTTGAAGGTGCAGCAGTGGAGGTATTAAGTAACTAATCGTACCTTTTCTGTCATATTCGGTATGTTGGCCATGGAGTCTGTCAAGATCAGCCCAGGTCTGGAGAATAAAACTTAAATAAATAACCGTTTGGCATCTTCAGTAATCACTCACTACCATTTATGCAATTTGTAGGAGAGACGGGTGCCCTACCGGTCGGGAAGGATATGCTCACCCTTTTGGCGAACACCTGGCGTCATCACATATTTTCAGGTCCATTAATATAGTTTCACCACTATTTGACCTTATACGTCATTTGGAATCTGTTTCGGCGGATAATAGAGACTTGTTATATTCTGGCATCGACGTTTTATAATTAAGATTAACCTATTAATGTACACTGCGGGGATATCTTGAATACTTAAAATACACACCTGATTGTGTTGACTCGGACGTCAAATGGAGCCATTTCTGAAACACATTGAACAATTTTCTCAAAATATTTCGAGTATTGTCAATAACACATGTATATGTTTTTTTCGTATTTGTGACCGATCGCGTTACCTTCTGGGATTAACATTTAGGATCACAGTAAACTACGGTTATAACGAACACGCTTGTAACGAACTGACCGAAATAATTTACTTAACGTTTTGGTCCCGACTATTTGCTGTAGTTATGCTGTATATATGCTTATAACGAACTACGGTTATAAAGAACTAAAATTAGTTGTCCCTTTGAGTTCGTTATAACCGTAGTTTACCATAACTGAAATAGATTTGGTCTTATGTACCGATTTGATGTTATACCGGCAAAGAGAATGCTACCGTGCAGTCCAGGGGGGTCGAGGGTGGTACACCCCTACAAGGAGGCGGGGTTAGGGGGTGGGGGTAGGGGGAGGGGATACTCACCCAGAGCCAGGCAGTTGGTGAATTGGTCAAGTCCCGCTTTGCTGGCACAGTATATCGTGAAGAATGGCGTCTGGAGACAAACACATCTAATTTATACAACTCATTAAAACAAAGTTACGTGAACGTAAATGATAGTTGGACTGATGCAATCATTTTGCTAACACTCCAATAGTTTGAGCAAGGGTACTAAATCGTCCCACAGGTTTCCTTGAAAGGTTCCCCTCCCATAGTATAGCATAGTATAGTGAATATCACTTGAAGATTAGTTTGAGACATTAACTTGATCGATCTTTGTTTTAAGTAGGAGGAAGTCCGAAATCTCGCGATTATTTTCGCACGTGAAGCTTCACATGCGAAAATAATGGCGAGATTTCCGACATTCTCCTGATCCTATACTTAAAACAAAGTTACGTGTACTTCAATGACAGTTGGATAGATACAATCAGTTTGCTGACACTCCAATAGTTTGAGTATGGGTACTAAATCGGTTTCCATAGGTTTCCTTGAAAGGTTCCCCTCCCATAGTTAAACAAGAGCGGCCACCCTCCCATAGTATAGCATAGTATAGTGAATATCACTATAATAATCGCGAGATTTCGGACATTCTCCTCTACATAATACAATATATATATAGTAGGTGATGACTATATTACTGTTAGGCTAATTAAGATACATCGTGCACTTACTGCTTCGGTTGCCGCTGTACTCGAGATGTTGATTATGGACCCTGAAACACAATTTTGATTATTTAAAACTTTCCCCAAGAATAATTAACTAAGTTGGATATCTCTTTCGTATGGAAACCTGGAATTGGTATTCTCGGTTCCTGATATATGCGTGAAAAGAATAATTTGTCGTCAGGTTTTATATCCTCATTTTTCCGAGGCAAGTTGGCGGACTGTAAAAGTCTAGTTTCCACCCATGCCGAACTATAAGCTGGAATTTTGTGGTTCTGTCGTAACGCAACCAGTCGCTATTACGAGTTATGTCCCTTCTCTGTCTCTCCTACTGACAAATCAGATTCAACCTCTTATATCACGAGCATTTGTTTCAAACAAAATGGAGGCGCCCAGTCAAGATGATATGATAGGTAATCAAGATCTTTACTTTAATCTTTAACTTTACCTCGCGAAGTGCATAGAAAAACATTGATTAAAAACATGAAGTGATTTGGAAAATATCTGTCGACACTAAGTTGACGGTACACAAGCTCTGTATACGTAAGTCCTGCAAACGACCGAAATCTGCACGGCAGTCGCCTGATCGAGTTAAAATTTAGCGTCGCCTCGGCATTATTTCAGCCATATAGCGACTTCGTCGCCATGTTGAATAAAACCTGATGTCGATATCGTTACGCGATTTTGGTGGGATTATGTAAAGACTCGTTAGTCCAGCCAAAATATAACTCCATAATTCCAGCCTAATTCGGCAAGGGTGGAAACTGGACTTTTAGAGTCAGTTAACTCCCTTGCCTCTGAAAGATGTATCTCCTGCGTTAAAATGAGTACAGGGACACAGGACAGTCATCCTCTTTATCATTTGGTACCAAAAGCAGAGTCGCTGCATCACGTTTAGCTGAGGGCGTTTCCATCTATTCGTATTGAGACAGTGAGAACACTCCATGGCCAAGTCATGCAAGAGCGATTCTGAATATGATTCTAAATATTTCTCATGGTCATATTATTTCTTTAAAAGAATTACATCTTTTTTAACTAGAGCGGGCCATGGAGGTTGAATATTTCAAGTTATTGTCCCACAGTATGTGCCTATCTTACAAAACAGCCATAATCCCTAAGAATATTCAATTGCCGTCCCTTTACGTCGGTCATCACCAGTACCTTTACGTCGGTCATCACCAGTACCTTTACGTCGGTCATCACCAGTACCTTTACGTCGGTCATCACCAGTACCTTTACGTCGGTCATCACCAGTACCTTTAGTCTTTTTCAGATGCGGCACGGCTGCCTGTGAGAGGAACATCGGGGCCTTCAAGTTGACGTCCATGATCTTTTGAAACGCCTCGGGGGTGTAGCTGCCCACCCCTGTCATGCCGGCCATGGCGGCCGCGTTGTTGACCTGGTCAACAGTGGAGGTCAAACTAAATATGGACGGGCATCTGGGCTGAACAATCAATACATACGTCTGTTTCCTGTAATTGTTCAAGGGTGGGATTCAGGCATGTCGGCATTTGGTCGTCAAGCCTTCCATTTCAGTGAATTTTCATTTACTGTATTTAGTGGACACTGACTAGCCCATGACAAGCATTCTATGTTATTTCAGTGAAGCATAAATATTTGTAACAACCGTGTTAATTCCTCCGTATCTAGGAATTATAATACTATTGTAATGTTTGCCTTTAGTGTTGTAGATAGCTTGCTATCTTGTACGTAGTAGCCTTATGAGAGGTACTGCTTTCAAGTGAGACCTGCTGAGAGGTTTCATATTTCAATAGTTTTAACAGCTTTTCAGCGAGCCTGACCACGAATACGAAATGAGAAATTGTGATTTGACAAGACAAAAATAATATTAATTCTGAATTTCTAACAAGTATCAGAAGATTGTTCTTTTCATGTTGAAACAAAATTCAGCCATAAAGTACTTTTCACTAATTCGTTTGAAATGGTGATTGTATGTGTTCAGATGAGTACAGTAATTAAATCATTAAATAATACATATAAAACAAAATGGGATTTACAAACAATTATGAACAGCATTGGGAACTTTAAGAAAGCCTAAACTTCAACGATGTCTGGGTATACACTTACACACAGCCATCCAGATGTAACCCATGTACATTTACACTCGGTATATGGTCTCTGATTTACAACATTTCACCCTGGGCCGTTATCAAACGATGGTTCTTAGCAGAACATCCTACTTACCAGCACGTCAATTTGTCCAAACTTTTTTACCGTCTCAGAAACAATTCTTTCTAAATCCTCCAACTTGGACAGGTCAGCAGGCAGGATAAAAATCTACAACACAAAGACTGGTTTGAAGTCATCTGTGTTGTGTTCAGAGAAATATTTTCAACACTGTGTTGATTTCTCTCAACCTCTACCCGTTGGGTCGCCTCGGAGTAAGTGTTGTGTCTGGTTTGTGTACCCATGTGAAACTGTGGCATGATATCTCAGTGGGCTGGCACAACACTAGTCCGGAACAGTAGAACAAGCAACAAACACAGGTGCATGCACGTCGCTAAGCCTATATAAGTGAAGTGATCTTGAACGCGACGTTCACCCCATTTTACCTCATCTCATCTACTCCAGTGGGCATTTCGGGGTCAGAGGAGGTGAAAGGAGGTCCCCCGTTTCTAATGATGTCGTCAGTGCCGAATCTGTCTCATTAAAATCAATTTCCTCTCCGCGTGCAGATTTGAAGCTGATGCTGATGCTGATGCTATAAAGGAGGGGTCTCCACGCAGAGTGAAGTCATAATGGATTAAAAGAACTGATTCTAATGAGACTGGGGCCGGCCAAAATGGGTAATTAGAATCACACTGACAGAAATAGTTTGTAAAGTTTACTAAATGAATTTCACTTTCCACTCAGACACTAACATGTTAGTAGAATTTACTAATCAGTTAGTATTATTTTACTAGGTGGCCTATCGTCACTAACTTAAAAGGTGGAGTAGTAAGCAGATATATACTTCCTCTCTGACAGAAATACCGTTGAGCATACAGCAACAACATATTGACGAACACAAAGGTTTGTATACAACCTCTTAATTCGTAGTCCGTCACGACACCACCCGTGCTACGGAGACTGCTGTCGTCACAAGGGTAAATTTTGTAAACATTGTTCCGAGTTCTTTGTAAGTTCTGGTGGTATGTATTATACAAGTACATGTGAATCTGATTTGCACATCTAATTTCTAATGTGTAGTATACATCTCATCCATATTTGACTCATAGCCTGATGATATGCACTTTCATTTATTCATATACGCGTGTTTCAATTCTAAACATGTTCAAATGCATTTAAATTTTATACATGTTTGGATTATGGGTATGTTACGTTTCGATGTTTTTTGGTGCTATGAGGCGTTAACTCATTTCATGTGTTTAGACTCTAAACGTGCATAGATAGAACACATAAAATATGCTTACCGTTTAGGATTGAAAAATATTACAAAACATATCTTCTATGTGCTTACATTCTTAACACATTTTTACAATGTGGTCTGAGTAGTAGTTATTTAATCAGTGATATTAACTAATCATTAGCGTATTCGTGCAAACTACTAAGAAGGATAGTAAATTCGTTGTCAACTGAGCTTCTGGCGCGGTGACTAATTAAATTAGTAGAATTAAGTTAGTAGAATTCATTAAAGACCCGTGAAGATCCGGGGTAGAATAGGTCTTCATCAACCCATGTTTACCGTAAAAGGCGACTATGCTTGTTGTAAGAGGCAACCAACGGCGTCGGGTGGTCAGGCTCGATGACTTGGTTGATGCATGTCATCGTATCCCAATTGCATGGATCGAGGCTCGTGATGTCAATCACTGGATTGTCTGGTCCAGACTCGATTATATACAGACCGCCGTGATATGGCTGGAATATTGCTGCGTGCGGCGTTAAATAACATGCAAACATAAAAAACATTAGACTTTTGTCTCAGTGCAGGGTCCGTGAGTTGCATGTAAGTGTGACCGGACGGCATGGAACGTGATCATGGTATCAACCACTGGCCCAACTGGCCTATGCGTCCTCATGTGTAAGCCGTCGTCAGCTCAATATTAATGATAGGACTAAGGCAGTGTAATACTACACAGAAACCAGGAAGCTCTCCATTGCATCAATAGGGAGGTAACGATCCAAGATTGTTTTACTTGGAACAAAACAAATTATCGCTCATTTCAGTTTTAAAATACTCTTAACATAATCATTGATAAAAAAAAATACTAATTAAACCATCTTCCGGATATGACTCTCTAACCAAGTTTATGCTTGGATACCTTGTCTTTAGGCAGCCCCTTCTCCTTGCACTGCTCCGCCACCTTCTCCAGCAACTCTTGGCGGCGAGCCACCAGAACCAGTCTAGGCTTGTACTGGGCCAGATGGAGGGCGGTCTGGGCGCCGATACCGGAGCTGGTACCTGCAGGCAACAGAAAAGAAAGCATGACAATTCACAATACATCTGTTACCATCATTCAAGAAAACTAGAAAAAGAACAATCACGTCACCAGAACCAGTACAATTATGTAATAGTACGAAAAACCTCATGAGCATGCGCCATAGAAAAGTGCAATGTAAGAGAAAGAAAACCTCATGAATGTGACAAGAGAGCTAGTTCCATAACGCAATAGACAAAGTGCTCATGAACATTCACATTAGAGGGAATACTATTATGAAAGAATGAACACTCGTGATACCAGACCTGGTACCATTATGCAAGGTGAGATGAAATGAGATTTAACGTCGCGTTCAAGATTGTTGCACGAATATAGCAGCGCGTGCGTGCGTGCGTGCGTGCGTGTGTGTGCGTGCGTGCGTGTGTCAGACCAGTCCATGTTTTAGCTCTTTAAGGCCGAGCTCCACGCAGGGTAACAACAAGTAACCTGAACATTCACAATACGTATAGCAGAGCCAGTGCCCGTATATAACCTTGATTGCTATTACATTCTATCATGTAAAGACTGATGGGAATCAAGTTCCCAGACAAGCATGTTGTCGCCTCGCCGCGATTCCGGAGATCGGGTGGTCCTATCGGGTGACCTAATAAGGGCAGTATGAATCAATATGCCCGAAGTCGACAATCGATACTTAATGTATTAACCACTGACGTGTCTCGACAGCGTCCAAGCCAATGTGGCATGAGTTGAATATTCATTAAGGGAACTAGGGTCGGGCAAATTATCAGTCCCACCTGATTTAAAAACTACTATGTATGTACTACTACTACTTCACATTTTAAGATACACAGCAGCATAACAGTTAACTATTACGTCATTACGTAAAGACAAATTGTTTCCGTTCCACCCATGACTGTAATATCTTGATTGGAAGACAAACCTTCGAGCAAACCCCGCATTAAAACAATATTCACTCACCCATTCACTGCACGTTCGATCAATTACCCCGGCATAGATACTTTCGTACATTTCACATACATACATACATGACATACGTACGTACGTACGTACGTACATACAAACATACATACAAACGTGACGTACGTACGTAAACACACACACACACACACACACACACACACATACATACATACATACATACATATTTTCTTCTACAATGAGTGAGTATGTAACTTGCACAGTAGTCCGTTTTTAACAGTATTCCAGTTATATCACGGCGTGTCAGCTTGACGGGAGAGGAAATACCGAAGTACAGGTCTCAGAAGTTGTCCACGTTGGTGAAACCTGAGAGCACAGGTATATGATGCTGACAATGCTAGAAACATAATCGGGGCGAATGGGGATTAGAACCCTCAATCTTCGCTTCCCCAATGAACTTCGTGACTAAAGAAAAATGTGATCACCCTGCTTACACACATTAGCTCAAACCTAATGACAGGGACGCCGATGTTTTTCTGCTTAAATAGTAATTTATTTCGTCTGCATGCGAGCTGGCTCCAGTTCACGCAAGGCGAACGATCACTGTATTGTCCACCGTTTGTCGTTATTAAGGGGAGGCAACTCTGTCATCTCTGTTCAAACTAGGTCATTGTCTTATATAAGGGCTGCTGTTGCCCTACTTTCATCTTGACGATGTTCGAGAGTACTTTCTGAGCATACAGTGCAATATAGAGAAGAAAACATTTATATCACTCATAAAGTATTCAATGTATTATAACCCACAGCATCTAAAATCGGATATCCCTATTACTGGTGAATCCTAACGCACAAAACAGCGTTACATTAATACAATCTTGATGACCTCACCTGTGATTATGATCACTTTATTCTCTAGAGACGCCATCTCTTATTATTCCCGCTGAAACAACAGACATAATTATAATTAAGACAAAACTCTACTGACATAGAGGGTCAGTCCGCTGTCAGATAATATGCATGACTGATATGTTGTATTATCTGAATAAAATTGACCGTCAATATTTCACAGATGTAAGATGTAATTTATATAACTACCCAGCAATGAGTGACCTACCTGTCCGGGTGTGTAGCTAATCAGATACTCGACTGTACTACTCACCTGTAGATATCGACGTGAACGTGTCACTGTCCGTCCCATTTACCGGCAACCGCAAACAAAACAACGGCTTCGATACATACCCCTTCGTCGGGCCACTTGTGTAGCTATTCAGCCCTGAACGTGGACCTTCCTGGAAAGAGGTGGTCCTGTGAAAGCGTTTCTATTTGGTTGGAACGCTCGTGTTATACAAGCGTGCATTTATAGGACGGGGTCGTGTATTTTACGTAAATGATTCTGTTAATCGTAGGTTTCGACATTTTGAAGATGAAATGAATATAAAACGCCAACGCCAGATAATAATCACTCTCAATAATCTGCCGAAACATATTTCATGGTCGCAAAAAGAATAACTGCGGTGAACATAATATGAATGGATATCTGAAAATCAGGGATGGCAAATAGGTGCTCGCGAAAAAGGTATTCATGTCCCCTACCCGTAGCACCTGCTACTCAAACAATTTGCAAAAAAAAGTGTTTGTTGACCGACGTTCTGCAGTTACGAGAGATTACCTGCGGGTATTTACCACCATGTACTCTTAATCGTGTTTTGTACGCCGTGATATAACTGGAATAATGTTAAAAGCGGCGTTAAACCCAACTCACTCACTCACTCACTCACTACTCTTGTTATGTAGTTTATGACTTTATCACTAGACATATCAACAATTATATATAGTATAACCCTAGATATGGCAACTGGACTGAGTGACATAATCAAGAGTAACTGGTTTGTGACGGCCCGCTCCGTTGTCTGCAAAAGGCTAACATTATCTCAAGAAATATAATTTGATTTCGCTTGTTGAAAGATAAATATTGATAAAAATACAAAACTGATATTGGAATATAACAAATCACATTAAAATCAGATCGTAATGCTGGCTACCGCTACACGTATGTAGCGATCAGAACCTGGATACGACCAGAACTGGGATAAACAGTATAGAGAATTATATCTGTCACGTGCAACTATGTGTTTAATTAACAAAAAATTAATAAGAGCAAAATCATCTGCACTTCTTGTGTTTTTTTATTTTTACTCCCTTCTGCAAAGTGCGCCAATGGCAGTGCTTCTGACTCGATATCCACCATTTGTAGCTAAATATAGCACCGCATAAAAGTGGTAATGCGGAACTAAAGCGGAATACAATTTCTTCTTTTTATACAGATCGCTAATGAAAACATGCAATTCCTATGCAAAGCTTATTATCAAAGAACATGTTTCTCATGGTTTAAAATGTGAATGACAATTATCAGAAAACAAAACTCTCAAGGTTCCTTTCATTCTTGAAAGCATTACATTTATGCCACTACTGGTTGAGGGGATGTGAGTAATAATATAGTCAATAATCTCTTAAACTTAGAAATATTGACCCATTGCATTCAGATTCTGCTCACAGGTTTGAAATGAGATTTACTATCAGCAGCCAAAAGAAAATCTTAAGATTCCATAACCTGTAGATTTTACAGGCGTTATACCATTTCTGGTCGAGGCGATATGAGTAATAATATAGTAAAAAGTCTCTTAAAATTATACATATTGTAACATAGCATTCAGATTTTGCTCACAGGTTTATAACAGATAATAAGCAGCACGGCCATTTTGATAGGAATTACATTTTGTTGCATGTATGTATGTATATGAAATGCACGAAAGTATCCATGCCGGGGTAATTGATCGAACGTGCAGTGAATGGGTGAGTAAATATTGTTTTAATGCAGGGTTTGCTCGAAGGTCATGGGTGGAACGGAAACAATTTGTCTTTACGTAATGACGTAATAGTTAACTGTTATGCTGTTGTGAATCTTAATATGTGAAGTAGAAGACATGCATAGTAGTTTTTGAATCAGGTGGGACTGATAATTTGCCCGACCCTAGTTCCCTTAATGAATATTCAACTCATGCCACATTGGCTAGGACGCTGTGGAGACACATCAGTGGTTAATAATATTAGTATCGATTGACGACTTCAGGACATATTGGTACATACTGACATTATAAGGTCACCCGATAGGACCACCCGATCCCCGAAATCGCGTCGAGGCGACACATGTTTGTCTGGGAACTTGACTAAAAATTCACACCAGTCTTTAGAACACGCACACGCGCGCGTTGCTATATTAGTGCAACAATCTTGAACGCGACGTTAAATCTCATTTCATCTCACCTTGCATAATGGTACCTGTCTGGTATCACGAGTGTTCATTCTTTCATAATAGTATTCCCTCTAATGTGAATGTTCATGAGCACTTTGTCTATTGCGTTATGGAACTAGCTCTCCTGTAATATTCATAAGGTTTTCTTTCTCTTACATAACGGCACTTTCTCTATGGTTAATATCATGATCACGTCCCATGCCGTCCGGTCACACTAACATGCAAGTCGCGGACCCTGCACTGAAACAAAAGTCTAATGTTGTTTTATGTTTGTGTGTTATTTAACGCCGCACGCGCTAGCCCGTCACGCGGAACTATGGGGTCAATTTCACACATGACATCCAATGTGAAACTTATTTCTGGTGTCACCCCCCTCAATATTGCGGGGATAACGGTAAGGGGATGGCGCAAAACCACACTCACTCACTAGACATACTTCGAATTCAATGTAACAAGCAAATTGTCATGCATTGTTTGGTGGGCGGTGGGGTAGCCTAGCGGATGAAGCGTTTGCTCGTTACGAAGTACCGGGTTCGATTCCCCACATGGGTACAATGTATGACGCCTATTTCTGGTGTCCCTGACGTAATATTGCTGAAGGCGGCGTAAAAACATACTCACTCACGCATTCAAACTTTGTAAGGTTTGCTTAGCCTGTATGGTTTCCTGGTTAAAGCATCAGCTCACATAATTGTTTGCTTGGTTGTTATTTAAAGCTTCACTCAGCTATATTCCAGTTATATGACGGCTGCATGCAAATGATCGAGTCTGGAGCACACAAACCAGTGATTAATATTAAGAGCAACGAATCCATCCGTTGTGTACGGTAAAACACCTTCAACCAGGCCCGTGAAGATCCCGCTTGTCGTAAGAGGCGACTAACGGGATCGGGTGGTCAGACCCACTGACTTGGTTGATGCATGTCATCGTGTCCCAATTGCGTGGATCGATGCTCATGATGTCAATCACTGGACTGACTGGTCCAGACTCGATTAATTACAGACCGCTGTCATATAGCTGGAATATTGCTGAGTACGGCGTAAAACAACAAACAAACAAACATTCAACCAATTCACCGAGCCTGACCAACCGTTCCACAACTTCACCTCCTTAATGCCACAAGCATTAGTTACTTGAGACCAATTTTAACCTAGCATCCCACCGAGGATGCCCCCCCCCCCCCCCCCCCCAACCCCCAACCCCTTGCACCCTTGTGGCCATCTTCTCTACACACTGCTTTAATATGAGGAAGTTAGGACTCTTGTGACTTCTATGAGATGTGTCTAATTTTACTGCTCGACTTGATATAGACACCCGCTACAATGCAGTTTAATTAAGGTAGGTAGGTAGGTAGGTAGGTAGGTAGGTAGGTAGGTAGGTAGGTAGGTAAGAGGAAAAGGAAGGAAGGAACGTTGTGTTTACAAACCCGTGAAGTATCAATTGATGATATATAACAAGAAACCCGAAACAATGTTCGTGTTCCTGTACAGCGCCGGCGGCGGAGAGTAGTTGGATTGAAGAGTAAGAGATCGAAATGAAAAGAAAATGTAAAATATTTTCTCTTAAAAGTCATCTCTCGAAGATATATTAAATAACAAATGAAAGATTATGTGTTTTTACAGTCAAGTCAAAGAGGTACTTTATTTGCCATATTGACCCAGACACGTAAGATATATGGATTTCTGGAATCTTGCTTAAATATATTTTCAAATGTCTGATTGTGGTTCTTGATACGTCAATTCTATACCCATAGTCATGCATAGTTTTGACCACAGTGGCAAACGCCTAAAACTGGATCACTGGATATCCTCCCACATCAAGTTGATACTACGTGGTTTAACTGAAATACTGTTCAAAGCGGCGGTCGGTCACTGTTGTAACACTGTCATTTTTACTATTGACCAGTGTGATCTCGCTGTTTATTTAGCGGTCTGCACCAGTCTTCCTCCATCAACCGCGATTATCTGCCCAGTCACGAAGCTGGCATCATCAGACAACAGGAATTTTATAACCTTCGCCACATCTTCCGGTGTCCCTGCGCCTCCTAGCGGTTGAAGAGTCGCTTGTCTTTCCAAGTACTGAAAACAAAACAGGCCGTAAGTTGTTAGACTTCAATGTATTCCACCACTGTACTCATTTTTCAAACAGTGATCAATGCGTCAAAATATCCTTACTCTTTAACATGCAATATACGTGTATGTATACGTGTAAAAAACATATAACTAAATTCGGATATACTTTTCAACAACAATAACAATTAATTGTCTAATTTCTGGCTTACAAACATGTTGTTTCCCGAATTATGTCTTAACATTTTATAAGTGCTTCAAACCTCTTTTCCAAAACGCTGCATCCTCGCTTGTATAATAATTTATAGATATCAGTAATTGACATCTTGATATCAATTTTTGAATCAGTACGATTTCAACGGAGCCTACGTTAATTATGTTTAATGCTGCAACATTCCAACAATATCACGGCGGCATGCAATCGAGCTTGGACCAAACAAACCATGAAAGTTGTTTTTCTAAACGGGACATTATAACACACAATCAGCAAAGTCACCAACCCTGACCACCCAACGATTCAGTCGCGACACGCAATCAACCATGTGAACCTGACATCCGATCCGTGTTGTGGCCTCGTACGACAACCATAGGGGTTGCTGGTGGTCTTTTCAACTCCGGAATCCCCGCGTGCGTCCATATCAAGGTGGACCAAACAAACCAGCGACTGAAAGCATGACCAACGATTGGTTGGTTGGTTGGTTGGTTTGTTGTTTAACGCCGCACTCAGCAATATTCCAGCTATATGACGGCGGTCTGTAAATGATCGAGTCTGGACCAGACAATCAAGTGATTAATATCATGATCATCAATCCACGCACTTGAGATCGATGACATGCATCAACCAAGTCAGCGAGCCTGACCACGCGATCCCGTTAGTCGCCTTTTACGACAAGCATAGTCAACTTTTACGGCAAGCATGGGTTGCTGAATACCTATTCTACCCCGGATTTCACGGGTCGCATGACCAACGAACCACCGAGTGTTACCAGCCCAAACAGTTTAGTCGTCTTCAAATACTTGCATGCGTTGCTGGAATCCCCAAAGAACAGTACTGGAGATTCACTGTGCATGTGTTTCCGCAGGGGCTGGCATCAGCCTGACTTACCGAGCTGTACTTGGTGGACTCCATGCCAGCTCGTCTTTGAAACTCGGACAAAATGACACCAGGGCTGAAACAAGGTCAACAATGATTCTGGGGCTCGTTCCACAAAGCGATACTTTAACATAGACGTACGTTGGTTTGTTTGTTGGTTTGTTGGTTGTTTGGTTGTTTAACGCCGCACTCAGCAATATTCCATCTATATGACGGCGGTCTGTAAATAATCGAGCCTGGACCAGACAATCCAGTGATTAATATCATGAGCATCGATCCACGCAATCGGGATACGATGACATGCATCAACAAAGTCAGCGAGCCTGACCACCCGATCCCGTTAGTCGCCTTTTACGACAAGCATAGTCACCTTTTACCTATTCCAGCCCGGGTCTTCACGGGTCATAGACGTACGACAATATAGACTGAAATCACTTAGAACGAGGCCAACGGGGTCTTTTATCATTCATCTTCCCGACGCAAAGGAGTTAACTGACCATAAAAGGCTGGAATAATGGAGTTATATTTTGGCTGGACTAAAGAGTCTGTGTATGGTCCAATCAAAATCGCGTAACGAAACCGACATAAACAACATGGCAACTGCCGTGCGCATTTCGGTCGACTGCAGGATATGCAGAGCATGTGTACCGTCAACTGGGTGTCGACAGATATATTCCAAAACTTTTCATGTTTTTAATCAAGGTGCTCAAGTAATTTGATGCACTTCCCGATGTAGAACCCTCTTCATTACAATTAAGCTCTTGATTATCGATCAGATTGTCTTGGCTTGGGCGCCGCCATTTTGTTTGAAGCAAATGCACGAGAGATGGAACCTGATGGGTCAGTAGGAAGGACATAAAAGGGACATAACTCGAAATAGCCACTGGTGGCGTTGCGATCGAGCCCAGCCTTGCCCAGCAAGGGTGGAAACTGGACTTTTACTGTCAGTTAACGCCCTTGCTTCGGGAAGATGATTGTCATTTGCATAAAATACTCGGTGCAAACGTAATCAAAAAGCTGACTGAGCGGAGGGCAAGTGTAAAATAATGAATCACGATACGGTTGCTTTATATTTTACTGTGGAATTCCATTTGTTCCTACCTCATCCTATGTATCCTAACAACTACGACACAAACACGGGATGAATCCATGCACAGCGATATACATGTATAATTATTAGGTTCGTTGAAATATATATTTCTTGTTTCTTTGGACGATATATTAATTAAGCAAACTGTTAAGAAACAATTGTTTTCAATTCAAAGTTTGTTTTTGCACCAGGTTAAAAGTTTGTTTGCGGATTGAAAAAATAATCAAGCTTACATTAGTAGATTTGTAATTTTCTTAAAAAGAATATATGGCATGTACCTACCTCACGGCATTGACGCGGACTCCGTAGGGCGCTAACTCTGTAAGTAAGATAAAACATTCTTGTGCATGGATATGACATTGATAAAATGCGAAAAAAAACTTCGGAACTGAAAGGGCATTGTAAATTGTGTAAACATAAATATACTGGGCAGTACAACAGTTAATATACGTATTGTCAAATGTGTAGGTGCTCCTTATGATAAAGATCTTACAGATATGATCGCGATTAGTAACTAAAGGCTGATTCTGCACTCTGGTTCCCACAACGTGGCCAGAAACAAATACCTCTGGCTCAGATAAACCAGTCGTCGATTGTCGGAGCAACGACACAATCATAACACCACTGCCACAGTCTAGTTTGCATATCACGTGAGCGGACTTTTCTCTTGTTTTTAAACAAACGAGCTTTTTCAGAAATCTGAATAGAACGGACTAATGCAAGTATTTGGGGGCGCTATACATGTTGTTTTGCATAATTATATAAATATGCAACTCCAACTGCGACACTGAGTTGCATCACAATACATATTTACACATCAAAGTGACCGTATCGCTAGCTCTCCAAAGGGCTTCGGTGACAGCACGTGGAGCCGTACAACCAATGTAAACATAGGATAGCTACGCAAATGGAAATAATAGTTTTTCACGATTTAGGACATTTTCTCAATGAAAGTTAACCATTCTATGACATATGTTTATCTAGATATGTAGACTTGTCAAAAATGAAACAGATGAAAAACATATGAAATAGCTTTGATGGACTGTGTAAGATGTGGGGAATCGTCACATTGCGCTGGCCTGTGGCAGAGGTACTATGCTGGTCGCATGGAACTCTGGGTAGGAGAGTGCCACAAGCATGGGTTGCTGAAGAGTAATGCTAACCAGGAATCTTCACGGGGAGTACGTCAAATGAATTCAGAGTGAAAAGATTTGGGAAATCACACTGGCTGTTCCTTCCACACGTATTCAAACCCGACTGTATCAAAAAGACATATTTTGTTTTCACGCAAAGTTAATTTTCTGTTATAATCTACCTGGCATATAATGTACCTGTGTCTACCGTACGGGTGTCAGACAATGCTGTTAGTTATTACAAATGTTCCATATACTGTTTATATCCTATTCATATATTATCCAGGGGCGGTGGTTAAACCTGTGGTTAAAGCGTTCGCTCGTTCGATTCGCCACATGAGCAAAATGTGTGAAGCCCATTTCTGGTGTCCCCCGCCGTGATATTGCTGGAATATTGCTAAAAGCGGCGTAAAACCATACTCACTCACTTATATATTATCAATATTCGTTGTGGGCATATAATTCGCAGTTTAGTCGGCTATAAGCAACATGGGGTCCAGTCTTTTCCAATGACTGATGAATCTGTAAAAACAGGAACTCGTCATTCATAACCAAAAACAAAACACAAATATCAATACCTGTTGCGAAAATCTTCGTCATGTGATCTACTCCTGCTTTGGCAAGGCAATATGGCGTTGATCCCTGAAACTGAAACAGATTTGGAGCAGTCTATAGCGACATATGAATTGTGCTAATAGCGATATCTCAACTAATGAAATGGTTGTTGAAATGTGTAAATGGTGATGCTGTCGTTTGTTTGTTTGTTTGTTTGTTGCTTAACGCCGCACTCAGCCATATTCCAGCTATATGACGGCGGTCTGTAAATAATCGAGTCTGGACCAGACAACCCAGTGATTGACATCATGAGCATCGATCCACGCAATTGGGATACGATGACATGCATCAACCAAGTCAGCGAGCCTGACCACCCGATCCCTTTAGTCGCCTTTTATGACAAGCATAGTCGCCTTTTATGGCAAGCATGGGTTGCTGAAGACCTATTCTACCCCACAATCTTCACGGGTCAGGATGCTGTCGTATACTTTTGGAACCAAAGTGGCGACTTACTGCAAGCTGTGCCGAGACGCTGGACACGTTGATAATTGAACCTGAAATATAAACAACAGATCAGTATGACGTGAATATTTATATTATCCATAAGCATAATCAAAGATTGAGAGGAGTCCAACTCCCCCATATGGTTAAGACGTGGAGGGTCAGCGACCGGGGTCACTGGTAACGTAAGTTATGTAAAACTTGGTTTTAGATTAAGTCGATTATGGCTCAAGTGAGTTGGGTTCAACGCCGCTTTGAATAGTATTCCAGTTATATCAGGGCGTGTCAGCTTAATGTGGGGGAAAGCCCGAAGTGATGTAGGTCTCAGACGTTTACTACTTGGGTGAAACCCACGAGCACGGGTATTGTGCTGACAGAGCTAGAAACATAATCGGATCGAGCCGGGATTCGAACCACGATCATACGTTTCTCGCTTGCCCAAGGGATACAACTCTGCACAACGAATTGCGGTGCGTTAGACGACTGGGCCACCCGTGCCCGAGCTTAAAAGAAAACATGGAGCGAAAACTGGACGACTTCACATAACTTACATCGGTCACAATAGAATGCCCTTTCTGCACAAAAACACATGTGTTGTAACTATAAGTTAGGACGTATTTCTAGAAATATAAATCGTGACGTTAAAAAATCGCACCATAATGAAAGGAAAAAACACGTTTGAAGTGAAATCTCGATGGATAACTAAAATGTGGAAAAAAAAGAAGTGCAACAGAAAATTACTCTCAGACCACTTTGATGAAAATCACCAACACGGGTATGATGCTGGCAAAACCAAGAAACACAACAGGGGAGAATCTGCAACTCAAACCTACGACCATCCGTTTCACACTCCGACGCAGTTGGAGACTTGGCAAAACACCACTGGCTAATTTGCATATCACATGACCGGACTTTTCTCTTGTTTGTAAACAATTGTGCTTTTTTCAGAATAGAACGGACTAATGCAAGTATTTTGGGGCGCTTTACATACTGTTTTGCATAATTATATAAATATGCTACAACTGCGACAGTGAGTTGCATTTCAATACATTTTAACACAAAGTGACCGTATCGCTAGTTCTCCGTAGGGCTTCGATGACAGCACGTGGAGCCGTACAACCAATGTAAACACAGGATAACTACGCAAATGGAAATAGTTTTTCACGATTTTGGATATTTTCTCAATGATAGTTAACCATTCTATGACATATGTTTATCTAGATGTGTAGACTTGTCAAAAATGGAACAGATGAAAAACATAAAAAAATATCTTTGATGGACTGTGTAAGATGTGAGGAATCGTCACATGGCGCTGGCCTGTGACAGAGGTACTATATGCTGGTCGCATGGAGTGAGTGAGTATGGTTTAACGCCGCTTTTAGCAATATTCCAGCGATATCACGGCGGGGGACACCTTAAATGGGTACACATTGTACCCATGTCAGGAATCGAACTCGGGTCTTCGGCGTGATGAGCGAACGTTTTAACCACTGGGCTACCCGACCGCCCCTGGTCGCATGGAACTCTGGGTAGGAGAGTGCATCAGTTTCTGGTACTCCTAAGGAACGCAACTCGACGACTGGGCACCTGTGTTCTCCCTCTTGTACCTATAAATGGGGCGGTCGGGTAGCCTAATGGTTAAAGCGTTCGCTCGTCACGCCGACGACCGGGTTCGATTCCTGACATGGGTACAATGTGTACCATTTCTGTGCCCCCCCCCGCCGTGATATTGCTGGAAAATTGCTAAAAGCGGCGTAAAACCATACTCACTCACTCATGTTACCAACATCAGATTGAATAGAGCTGAATGAGTGTTGTCTTCAACGTGTACCTTTAGTTTTCTTCAGATGAGGCACAGCGAGCTGACACAGATAGAAGGGTGCCCTGATGTTTGTGCTCATGACCTCGTCAAACACCGGAAGTGGAACGTCAATAGTGTCGCCATATTGAGCACCCCCCGCGTTGTTGACCTACAACATAGTTCCCGGTAAAATGTGAGAGCTTATCCTTCCTTCAATGAGGTGAGATGAGATGGGGCGAAATGGGGACTAACGTTTCGTTCAAGATTATTGCACTTAAAAAGCTACGTGCATGATCGTTTGATACAACATAGTGCGAGCCCTGAGATACCATGCAGCAGTGTAACATGGATACCCCACACAGACACGGAATACTGACTCTGGGCTGACCAATCGTTGTTTTATCTCCTGAACGTCAGGTAGGTTAATAACAAGTACCATCTTTTGGTATGGGGATCGAACCACCGACCTTCTGCTCTTCGGGCGGAAGCTCTATCCACTAGACAACGAAGGAGGTCGCCCTATAATGTGTGTTTGCTGTTTAACGCCACACTGAGCAATCGTTCAACTATATGATGACGGCCAGTAAGGAATCGAGTCTGGACCAGACACTCCAGTGATTGACATCACTTGGGATACGATATCATGCATCAACCAAGTCAGCGAGCCTGGCCACCCGATTCCGTTAGTCGCCTCTTACAAGCGTTATCGCCTCTTACGGCAAACATGGGTTGCTGAAGCCCTATTCTAACCCGGATCTCCACGGGTCCGCCCTATGATGACTTATCTCAGGAATTGCATGCACGAGGTTGTTACACGTTGATCTGCTGCCTTACGTGTATGATTTGTCAACTATGTGTTACTTTTCACAAACATAGCATGGACGGGTTCATTTTTTGAAGAGCAAGAAGTTTCCAATAATTCCGAGTCATAGTGGAATCGGCTTATGAAATAATATCAGGGCCATATGCTTTTAAGAGTAAATTTTCTCATGAAGGCTTATAACTCAGATTTATCACATTCTGACCCGACCCGATGATGTACAGACTGTTCTGTTCAAGCTGGAATATAGCTGACAACGATAATGCGAAAAACAACAAACAAAACACAACAAACTGAACAGGGGTGTTAATCGGAACAGACAGGCCGCGAGTCTGAGCATGGATACATATTAATCATATTTACCACTCAAAAGAAGTTAAAGAACGCGTGATTTGTTCGTTTTACTATGATTTATCTGTTATGACAGATAGTAATATGAAATATGAAAACATCGGGTGTTCTTTGACTATTTGGAGTAGTATAAATGGCATTGCATATTTACCAGACAATCCAGCTGACGGAAGTGGGTCAGGGTTGCCTCCACCAGACGCTCATTGCTGCCCTCCTCACTCAGGTCACATATGGTGGTCAGAACCTGGAACAAAAATATAATTTAAAAACACAATATAACAGGATCGTGTTTTCTCTTGCATTCTGTACCAAGTCTGCAAAATATTGCACATTAGGATCATGCTGCACATATAAAGCTTATTCATCCAAACCGATGTAGGATGTCTGGTTGCATGTAATATACATGTAATATGACAGTGGTGATGCAGTTTAGTTTAATGCCGTTTTACAGCGGATAAGCTTAAAGAACGGTGGTGGGGTTGTTGGTTGGTTGTTTAGTTGGCTGGTTTACGCCGCACTCAGCAGTATTCCAGCTATATGACGGCGGTCTGTAAATAATCGAGTCTGGACGAGACAATCCAGTGATTGATATCATGAACACCGATCAACGCAAATGGGATCGATGACATGCTTCAACCAAGTCAGCGAGCCTGACCACCCGATCCGTTAGTCGCCTTTTACGACAAACATAGTCGCCTTTTACGACAAGCATGGGTTGCTGAAGTGTTACTGAAGTTGCCTGTTTTATAGTGCTAGCCCACTGAGAATATCATGTCGCAGTTTCACATGAATACCCCACTCAGACACAGTATACTGACTACGAGTCGTTTTATCCCCAACGCCAGGCAGGGTAACGACAAGTATTATTAACGTTTTCGGTATGATCGAACCACCAACCCTTCTATACAGTGGAAAGACTGAAGTGGCAAGATGTAGACATTTACCACGAGCCACATTGTGTACCTGACGATCCAAGGATCAGCATCAGTGTGACGACCCCGACGTGACTAAGGGAGGCAATAGAGAATTCCGACACTTTAGATGTGTAGGCTACATGTGAACGCAACATAATAATGAATATTACCTTGCAAGGAGATTCTGTATAAAGCCTTTTTTTAAAATTCATAATAAAAAATAGTGTTTAATGATGATAGTGATAACATTGCAACAATACTGTCCTCGTGACGTATCTTAAGATTGCGTATGAGTGAGTGAGTTTTCTAACGGGGCTTCGGACGGTATTTCAAGGTGTGTCAGCTTGGTATGGGGGAAGCGATGCAGGTCTCAGACATTTACCTATTTGTGAAACCCATGAGCATGGTTATGGTGCTGACAAACCTAGAAACATACTCAGGGCAAATCTTGGATTCGAACCTCGAACCATGGGTTTATGCCACGCCTATGGGACGCAAATTGTACAGCGAAATGCGACGCCTCTGAAGACTGTGCCATCTGTGCACGCGAGTCGACCTTGGTAACACACTTCACAATCAAATAGACCAGTAACTATGTATAATGCAGTCAGCCATTTTGGTTGTTGTAATGCTTTTTCTGGAAAGTGGTAACGTTTTGCTATTTAATTCAGGTTATCACCTATAATCAACGTCCTGTGAAAATCCGGGTTAGAACTGTTCTTCAGCAACCCATCCTTTTCGTAAGAGGCGACTAACAGGATCGGATGGTCAGGCTCGCTGACTTGGTTCACACATGTCATCGTATCCCAATTGCGTAGGTCATGCTCATGACGTAAATCACTGGATTGTTTGGTACATGCTCATATTATTTAGGGACCGCCGTCATAGAGCTGCAATATTGCTGAGTGCGGAGTATCAAACAAACAAACAAGCCTTTCATCAATGGATGTGTATAATAAATCACTAACATCGCCTTTACCAAGACCTCTTTCGTAGCACTGATTGGCTACTTTCTGTAGATTGTCATGGTTACGCCCTGTGATTGACAACTTAGCTCCATAGTCTGCCAGAAGTATTGCTGTCCCCGCGCCAATACCAGAACTCGCTCCTGTGGAAACGGAACATACTTTGTCTTACATCATAAAGACACCTGTAAAAATACTAATCACCTCTTACTATATAACTCCATATAAAAGACATTTGTTTACAAAGTGACATATTCCCACAAATATTTATAAGACAATGGCTTTAAGACACCTATGTCTTGTAAACTCATTACTGAAGGGTCACCCAACTGTGTGGAGTGTTAAACACGCACATGTGCCAACAAGCGTCAATAGGTCTGAGAACGTTGACAATGTGATAAACAGTCAAGCCAATGTTGTTTATACTTTTGTGAAGCTAGAAAACTGATCAACGACTATTAAAAACAATGAAAAGTGAAAGATTGAAGGGGATGGAAAAAGCTTCACAAAACACATTTAGTCCATGCACGTGCGATACATGACAAGTAACAGTCAATGTCGGTATAAAATTGTTCATTACAGATGCAACTGAACTGCAACTTATGTTGAAAATGTGACGCTTTTTCAATACTTTTAATACCCATTCGACCCCTCAAAACAACGACGCTGAGTACTAATTGTGTAAAATCAGTCAATGTATAAAATAGCAGAAATTTTCACTTAGGAAATTTACAACATGCCTGAATATGTCAATTAGTTCACACATTGACTGATAAACATGTTCATTTATTTTATCATGATAACGAATTCCACATTATTTAGGTTTAGATGAAAAGCGTGAGTGAGTATAGTTTTACGCCGCTGTTAGCAATATTCAAGCAATAACACGGCAGGGGAAATTAGAAATGTGTTTCACACATTGTACCCATGAGGGGAATCGAACCCGGGTCGTCGGCCTGACGAGCGAACCGATAACCACTAGGCTACCCGACCGCTCCTTCAGATGAAAAGAACACGAAAGTCAATGAACATTATTTTGTTTTACTTTTTACCTCTAATCATAATTAGTCACTTTCACTTGGACAATTTACAAAATGCTTACATATTTCAGTTATTTTACAAATTGACTGAAAAATCTGTTCATTTATTTTTTATTTTTTTATTATTAATTTTGCCTCTCATCCAAGTATAATTAGTCTGTTGTGATGTTCTAAAACCTTTTTTGAACTTCTGAATAATTATAAGTCAATCTGATTTCAATCAGATTTCCACATATACAAGCAGATACTTCGAATCACAATTTAATTTAGCGATATTTCAGTGAATCGTTCCAACCCAGCTGACTATGACTTAGTACTTGTTTTGTGGTGGTTTCTCAAATGTCTTTGCTATTTATATAACAATTATCGCATGTCGTATTTGTAACATTACTGAGACAATGTGTCTGAAAATTGTGAATTTTGTTTCAATAATATCATCACAGGGACAATTCATTGAAACAAATTAAATTCTACCCTTTTCGTATATTTTCTGATGACACTTTTGACAGAACCTCATCCAACCTGAATCGCCGACTTCAGGCATAAGGGTCCATTCGGGTCTATTCGACTTATTCCGTAAATAGAACACACGACAGCTGAGCCGAATGCGACCTGGGGTGCAAATGGCGTCAAAAACCGGCTGTAGTCACAGAATGCCCTGCAATGGATATGTTAAGACAGCAATATGTATATGATATATGTCCTTACCTGTGACAAGCACTACTTTGCCTTTAACAGAACTCAAACTCTTCGTTATCGCTGCCATGACGTGGATATATTACAAGGGAGGTAACTCTGATGAAGCTGTAGGCGTGAAAGCCATTCACTAACTTCAAAGATTTGGAGTTGCCGGTTCGATTCTGGTAATCACAAATGAAAAACCTGACAGTTACAGTTACAATTCAATATGTATGTAACACCAAACAGTGGATACGGTCGCACGTTAACCTGTTTGAAAAACACTCAGTTTTCCTTTTCGTCAGTACTAGTCAGCGTGTGAAAGAATACTTCAGCAGTACCAGTATTCTGTTGAATGGATGTCATCGTTTCCCAATTGCGTGGATCGATGCTCATGAGGTCATCCACTGGATTGTCTAGTCCAGACTCGATTATTTTACAGACCGACGTCATACAGCTGGAATATTGCTGAGTGCGTCGTTAAACAACAAACCAACCAACCACAATATAAGCGCGTCTAAAAATAACATCTTAAGCACAATTGATTCAATGATACTTAAATTGCCCTCAATGGTTTGAGGTACCAAGAAGGGATACAAAATAGTAAAATGCTAGATAAAAACCACCTGTCCTAAACATGTTAATATAGTATTTCATATCTATATGGACCCGTGAAGATTCCGGGGTAGAATAGGTCTTCAGCAACCCATACTTGCCGTAAAAGGCGACTATGCTTGTCGTAAAATGCGACTAACGGGATCGGGTGGTCAGGCTCGCTGACTTACTGCGTGGGTCGATGCTCATGATGTCAATCACTGGATTGCCTGGTCCAGACTCGATTACTTTACAGACCGCCGTCATATAGCTGGAATATCGCTGAGTGCGGCGTTAAACAACAAACAAACACAATCATATCTATATGCGTAATTAACTATAATCAATTATTTAGCAATGTAATATACAAAAAATAACTAAAGCAGAAATAGTGCTAAAATACGTTTATTTCATTTTGCTTTAATACAGCCTACATTCAGTCAATTATTGAAATTCAATCGTATCTAACGGAGTAAACTCCGATTTTAATGAGACGACATTTACCTGTTCTGGTACATGATAATAACATACATTGAAGCAAAACCACGAGCCTCGAACATATCTTCTTCATTATATTTTCAATTTTGTATACTTGTCACAAGAAAACTTGATAATTTACCACGTATTACATATACATAGTTCTTGATATTCTAACACCCTCAGTCGTCGTACGATCAATAAACGCATACATATTCAACTGCAGCTGGAAAAGACACGCCCTCTTTAGTGAGAGAAGTGGGAATGTTTATTTCCAACAATGATATATATAATCTCATTAAAATCAGACCTTGGTTCTCGCTACCGCTTATAAACATTGTGACACAGACACACGCTCCCCAAAATCCCGAACACACACACTTTCCCCAATACCCCCCCACCCCCCTCCCCTGAATCCCGAACACACACAAACACACGCACGCTCCCCTGCATCCCGAACACACACACACACACACACTTTCCCCCATACACACACACACTCACTCCCCTGAATCCCGAACACACACACGCACTAACACACGCTCCCCTGCATCCCGAACACACACAAACACACGCTCCCCTGAATCCCGAACACACACACACACACACACACACACTTTCCCCCATACACACACACACACTCACTCCCCTGAATCCCGAACACACACACACACACGCACTAACACACGCTCCCCTGCATCCCGAACACACACAAACACGCTCCCCTGCATACCGAACACACACACACACACACACACTCACTCCCCTGAATCCCGAACACACACACACACACACACACACACACACACGCGCTCCCCTGCATCCCGAACACACACACACTAACAGACTCCCCTGAATCCCGAACACACACACACACACACACACTCCCCTGCATCCGGAACACACACGCTCCCCTGAATCCCGAACACACACACACACGCGCGCGCTCCCCTGAATCCCGAACACACACACACACACACACACGCTCCCCTGCATCCCGAACACACACACACACACACACTAACACACTCCCCTGCATCCCGAACACACACATACACACACACTCCCCTGAATCCCGAGCACACACACACACACTCCCCTGAATCCCGAACACACACACACACACACGCTCCCCTGAATCCCGAACACACACACACACAAACGCTCCCCTGCATCCCGAACACACACACACACACACTTTCCCCCATACACACACACACACACACACACACTCACTCCCCTGAATCCCGAAGACACACACGCACTAACACACGCTCCCCTGCATCCCGAACACACACACAAACACACACACACACACACAAGCTCCCCTGAATCCCGAACACACACACACACACACACGCGCGCGCGCTCCCCTGCATCCCGAACACACACACACACACTCCCCTGAATCCCGAACACACACACACACACACACACGCTCCCCTGCATCCCGAACACACACACACACACACACGCTCCCCTGAATCCCGAACACACACACACACACACACACGCTCCCCTGCATCCCGAACACACACACACACACACACTCCCCTGAATCCCGAACACACACACACACACACTCCCCTGAATCCCGAACACACACACACACACACACACCCCTGCATCCCGAACACACACACACACACACATAATCCCCTGAATCCCGAACACACACACTAACACACACACACACACGCGCGCGCTCCCCTGCATCCCGAACACACACACTAACATACTCCCATGAATCCCGAACACACACACTAACACTAATACACGCTCCCCTGCATCCCGAACACACACACACACACTAACACTAACACACTCCCCTGAATCCCGAACACACACACACACACTAATACACGCTCCCCTGCATCCCGAACACACACACACACACACTCCCCTGAATCCCGAACACACACACACACACACACGCTCCCCTGCATCCCGAACACACACACACACACACACACACACACTCCCTTGAATCCCGAACACACACACACACATGCTCCCCTGAATCCCGAACACACACACACACACACACAAAAACACCACACACACACACACACACTCCCGTGAACCTCGAATACCATCAGTACTACATAACACTAATCTCGATAGTATTGAGAAAAGGGAGCGATTTGAAGTTCATTTACTGTTGAATACTAGTATCAAAACATATAATATATAAAATAAAGAAAATATTTACATGCACCTTTATTTTGATATATATACTCGGACCCCATGGTACCGCGGCATTCATCGTATCGCGGCATTTGTGATTTCCGGTGGTTCACGCGGGACACGCCTCTTAGCGGCTGTCTATTAATGCAAATCAGTAACCAGGAACTGCTGACTTCGTAAACAATTTCAATTTCCTCGGAATGTTCCGTCTGCTGTTAATAAGGAGTTATTAATCCGTTGATACATATTTCTGGCATCTGTTGTAATATTGCCTTACCCCCATCTTTCAATGGCCAACGATATAACCCGCAGTTCCCCAAGTAAACTTTCTCTATCGACCTGAACTAGATCATCTGCCTATTCGTGGCGACTAATGAGGTAACGGAAGTTACGTAGTCCGCACATTTTTTCCCGCTCTGTGCCCAGAATCTATTGGGAGATCATAAGGGCCATAATGCCAAACTTAGAAAATACGTTTTTCACTAGTAACCAAAAGATAAATACATACTTTGGGCATACTAGGAGTGCTTTTTATATATTTATTGTTGACTTTTAACATTTTTCCATTTTGTGACAAATTATTGTCATTCAATTTTGTTTAAACAATCTTAAAATATCATTTCTGATATTTTGTTGTTGACTTATAAAAATATGTTTCTCTTACTTTTCGATAAAAATGCATGGAATACCTATTGATGATAACACATTTCGAATTTTACTTGCGCTGTCTTTGCAATTGTCTGGACAAATCACTGATGTCTGGCATGATCATACCAAGTGGTTGGTAGAATTATGTCCTCTTTTTGTCCAATTCGGACCTCCATACACAACTTTTCTCTGTACCGCGATACGATGGAGTTCTCTCCCTTGTCAAACAGAGCGCGAGGCCCGGCTTTTACTCGGAGCTACTAATGTAAATAATGAACTTTTATGAGTTAAATATGTATTGTTTGATAATATGAATGATATCTGATACAGAGAACACGAAAAATCATAAAGGTTAGTGAGTGCATTTTGTTCTGTTTAGCGTACATGACAAGTACCGCGATACCCCGAGGTTGCAGGCTAATTCATTTTATAAATGTTGGATCTGCGTACCAAATCCGATTTTTGAGGTATTACTTGAGGATATTTTGTATCATTGTTGCTCCATGTTCTTATGTCTCTGAGTATATAAACGAACATGGAAATGCAGATCATAATGGAGATAATCCTGCAGCCGAAGCGGATGACGGTCTAAGGGAGATAACCGCGTAATGATTGATCCGTGCATTCATGCAATATTGTGTTAAATAAACGCCTGAATTAATAATAAATAAAATTGCACGTTTGAACATCTTTTGTATGATGCTTTTTCTTCTTTAAATGAATTTAGCATAAAAAAATATTCGCAAAGGACCTCGCGGTAGGCTCTACCACCAGGCAGGGGTGGTTTTGTTTATGGTCAAAGGGAGGTAATCGTATTTGTACATTGCCTTAAACTCAACACAGTGTCTTGTTTCAAACTTCACACACGGCGTGTTCCCTCCATAGAAGGGAGCTAACCGCGTATAAAAAAATCAGGAGTTATGTCCCTTAGCCCAAAGGGAGGTAAGTCTGTTGAGCAAATGGTAAGCAGGGTTTACAGTTACTTCCCTTTGACCATCAACGACACGCCATTTCACTCGGCATATATTTCGCAAACTAATCTACCAAACACTGACATGAGTCAGAGTACACGAAACCGTTGGTTGTGTTGTCTCCCTTTTGGACCGATTAATTTTCTCTTAAACTGGATTTGGTGTCGAGAATAACCCACATCGCAAAGGACCACACGTTTGGCGGGAGTGGTTTTGTTTATAGTCAAAGGGAGGCAATCGTGTTTGTACATGAGTTAACTCCCTTACCTTACCTCCGCACAGTGTCTCTCTTGGTACTTCACACACGGCGTGTGCCCTCGATCAAAGGGAGTTAACCGCGTGTAACAAATCAAGAGTTATGCCCCTTGTCCCAAAGGCAAACATGATTTACAGTATATCCCTTTGAACATCCACGACAAGGCTCCTCAAATCTAATGAGTCGTATCAATAGTGTATGTAGGTAAGGGAATAAGCCGAATGGACCTGAATTAAACTGATATCTTACGTGCGCGGCCTAATAAAACACTGCCATGTCCTCTTAGAATATATTCAACACACAACTACCAAACACCGAGATGAGTGCATGAAACCGTTGATTGAGTTGTCTCCCTTTGACCGTTACAACACAAGTCTCATCCCCGCGGGACACTTTCGTTACCCTCCCGGTATGATCCCAGCCACTTGGCTGGTTCAGTTACGGGGGCCTGGAAACCGATCAAGTCTAGAAATTATAATGGGGACCAGTTAGTTGCTGTTGGAACGGAATAGTCAGGGACTCACGTTAGAGTTACGTATGAGCTCAATCTGTTTGGACCCGTGAAGATCCGGGGTGGAATAGGTCTTCAGCAACCCATGGTTGCCGTAAAAGGCGACTTTGCTTGTCGTAAGAGGCGACTAACTGGATCGGGTGGTCAGGCTCGCTGACTTGGTTGATGCATGTCATCGTATCCCATTTGCGTGGATCGATGCTCATGGTATTAATCACTGGACTGTCTGATCCAGACTCGATTATTTACAGACCGCCGTCATAAAGCTGGAATATTACTGAGTGCGGCGTTAAACAACAAACCAACCAACCGTGAGGACTCCGGGTCAGAATACGTCATCAGTACCCCTCCTTTATGGGCAACTCGCTGCGAAGCCAGGATCCGCTGATCATGGGTACAAATTTAAAACCACGCCCTTGAATGAACATTGCTTCACAGCACCAACACTTGCTGGTGGGTTTCACCAAAGTGGTCTGAGACCTGCATCTCTGCGGGCGTTCCTCCCACGTAAAGCCGATTATGTCACGCCGTGATATAACTGAAATGCTGCCCTAAACGTGAATATTCACTGTATCTAGCCCGTGTGACGTCATGAACAATAGATGACGTCACCGTCGACTGACTGCACTTTACGACGTCACATTGTTTGGATCGAAAGCAAAAAAAGGAACAATAGGTGTGTGGTAACTCCGCATAACAAACACTGTCAGTCTTTAGAACAGTTTATATAGTTCATAAGGTTGGCGTGCACATTTGCTGATCACCGGAATGATCGCCATGCTGTTACAAGAGGGAGCATACATTGTATATATGAATGTTCGATGTACATTAGGGAGCGAGATCTATTACAAGGCGTAAATAACCTATGGATTAAAACTTCTATTTTCCAGTGTCCGTCGTAAGATTTTCAGAAGATAAGGATCGAATAAAGAGTACTTGACTCGTTCTGGATGATGCCACGTACAGCCCAAAAGTGGTGGACGATCGATCCAGCGTTGCCAGTTTGGCTTGAATAATTAGCTAATTAACAATCACACTAAACTTTTTCCTCCATGCGACGTATAACTTCTTTCTTTTTCACCTGTTCGTAATTGCAGATCATATTATATTAATTGCTTTCAGAAATGCATGCATGGTGAAGGGGAGATAACTGTAAAGAGAAAATCGTCATGTGATTGTTGTCATGTGACAAACTGACATTCAAAATGGCGACTTCCTATGTGCCACTTGTGTTTTGTCTCTGTGTTGTTAGCGCTGTTGTGAATGGACAGGGTGTGCCGTACACAGAGAAGTACTATACCCAAACTGTGGACCACTTCAACTACCTCAGCTACGGCAATCAGACCTTCCAGCAGCGATATCTCATTCAGGGTGAGTCACTTGAAGTACCGGTACGTCTGTGATAGTATGATTTGAAGAAGTAAAACTATACAAATAGTGAAAATCATCATGATTCAATTATTGACATTAAATAAAAGACATTACATTTTTGTCATGCGTTTGTGAGTACCAAGTATATCAAGTTGTCATTCATGGATCAAATACATTGCCTATTTGTACACAATATAGGCCTACCAGGTCCTGTCAAAATGAAGGCCTCTACTCCGATAAGTTAGCATCTGTCACTAGTGTCAGTCCCCGCTGAAAACTGCGGTCAGTCGGAGAAGATTTTGCAGAAATGCCTACTCGCTACAGAAATCTACCTATCTTGCATACAATCACATTTTATGCAGAACTGGTGAAAGTTTCCTTTTTAAATGTGAGTCCAAATCTGGTTTAACATGTAAACATTTTGAAGCAGAGTCGACTTTCGAATTATTGCTTACCAAAAGTGGATGTCTGCATGTTTACACTAGTGATTAGCAGCTGCACTTCAATAAGGTGTTGTAGCCGTGGATATGTTTATCATAAAAATACCTGCCACAAGTCAAATAGGTGCAAAACTACGGAATTCGCGAAAATTTAGCTGAAAAGATGCAGAATTGGGTGCAGAATTTACAATAACTGACTGCAGAATATTTTTTGTATTTTTATCAAACACATTGGGGACTGCTCGGTCAGCCGGTAACAGGTTATTTGGAATAGTGTCCTGACCCAATAGTTTCATATATCTTGTGTCATTTCATAATTAGTATTTTTGTATTCCTTGTGTAATTTGTAAACAGGTTGTTCAGTAGAAGGCGTTTTTGTCAAGGACAGGAAGTTGCATTAGCACCTGGCATTTCAGCCTGGCTATATTGAAAATTTTAGTAGAATATACCAAGTGGTTGACACAGGGCTGTCATGTCTACATACACCTGCTGCAAGTTAAATAAAGTTCCTTAAAATGAGCCCTGGTAATGTTCAGCCCATTAAACCTACACAAAAACAGGGACAGAACCTGTCATACCAAAGTGAAAATGGATATTTTTAGTAAAATAATGTACCACTGAACTTGCCACAAGTCTGACTAAATTCATGTCACATTTTTATGAAACCACACAAATATATATGATGCCATAAAAGCAATCTGGGGCATGATCCAACCTCAGAAGGACAAAACTACTTGGATTTAAAACTACCACTAACAAGGTTACAAAATTACACGGAAGGTTCAAGGTTGGTCTCGATCTTACATTGCTATAACTACTGCTGATAGCACGAAACTATCTACCTGATCTAGGACATGTACAAACACTGTCTGGACTGATAAATGACATATGTTTGGTTACTTCTATAGACTGGTTGAACATTGACTAAATTGATTTGAATTTGTTTCTAAAAACATTAATGATTTTAATAGATAATTGTGCACAGACTTTACAAAACTGTTGACATAAACATATGTATTTTTATTTTATTTTTATAAACATTTAATGTGGGTTTTAACCCTTGACAATGATGCAGCAATTATTTGATTGCCATAGTAGCAGGTGGGTAAGCAATTTGCATAGATGACAACTTGTGAAGTTTACATTGATGGAAGCTTTGTATCACATTTCTTTAATCTTTTGCTTGTGACACAGGTCATATAGATACACCCAGTCAGCAGCTTACCTTATCATGATAAAACCAGGCCATGTTAATTATTTGTTTTGCTTTCAATGTGTTAGCTTGGCCATCTTCCCTAGACAAGGGAGTTAATTGACCAGTAAAGTCCTGTTTCAACTCTTGCCTGGACTAGGCCAGAATTACGTAGTTATATTTTGGCTGGACTACCAACTCTATGCCTAGTTCAATCAAAATTGCATAATGAAATCAACGTCCGGTTTGTTAACTGTCGTGCTAATTTCGATCAATTGCAGGATTTGCAAAGCATGTGCACGGTCAACTTAGCAAACAAATATGTTTCAAATATTTTCATGTTTTTAATCTATGTGCTAACATGATTTGATACACTTTGTGAAGTGTGACACATTTTTTTGCAATCTAGATCTTGATTATTGATCAGATTGACTTGACTTGGAGCTGCCATTTTGTTTGAAGCAAATGCATGTGATATGAGAGGTGGAATCTGATTGGTCAGTGGGAGGGACATAGAAGGGACAGAACTTGTGGCGCTATGATCAAGCCCAGAAATTCCAGCCTAGTTTTACAGTTAGTTAACTTTGCCTTGGGAGGATGTAGTTTGGCTGAGACAGAATTAAAGTATATATACATAGTCAACACTTCAGTGAATCGTCTTTTATGTAGACACCTGACATTCCTAGGACAGTGTATCATATGTATTGACATTTGTAGGAATAGTGCCATCTAAATATTATAAGATTTTGTTTTGCTGAAAAATCTGAAATCTGCAACAGTTGTTTGATTTAGCTGTCAATCATGTCAAGAGTGTGTGAGTGAGTATGGTTTTACGCCGCTTTTAGCAATATTCCAGCAATATCATGGCGGGGGACACCAGAAATGGGTTTCACACATTGTACCCATTTTGGGAATCGAACCCGGGCCTTCGGCGTGACGAGCGAACGCTTTAACCACTAGGCTACCAGACCGCCCCCAATCATATCAAGAGGCAGCATGATCTGTATGTACTTATCACTAATTTGGCAAAATTTGGCTGTGAATTTGGGACTCTTTCCCTTGAAAACCAACACTTTTTTCAAAGTAAGAGGAAATAATTAGTAAATAGGAGCAAAATGGTCAGTGATAAAAAAAGGGCCAATAATCTTTCAAAATCTAAATTATTAGAACTATTATGAAAGGGAGGCTACTCTTGTTCCTTACCTCCTAACTCTATGATGCATATAAATCTTATGACACGTAAAACCGATAAGAGACAAGCTTATCAAACATGGCACAAACAACAACATATGCGATAAGTTATTAAATAAGAAAATAAATATGAAATGTCTTTTTTTGTCAACTGCCAGCCCAATTTCTTCACAAGATCTTTAAATCTGAGATGATGAGGTTAAATTAGGTTTAACGTCGCGTCCAAGATTATTGCACTTATACAGCAACGTGCAAGCATCTGTGTGTGTGTGGCTGCTTGTACTAGTTCAGACTGATGCCGATTTATAGTACCAGCTCACTGAGATACCATGCCGCAGTTTAACATGAATTGTTTTAGCCCCTTAATGCTGAGCACCTGACAGGGTAACAACAAATACCATCTTTTAACATCTTTTGGTATGGCATGGCCGGGGATCGAACTCCGGGCGGACGCTCTACCACAAAGACTACAGAGCCGGTCAAAAACCGAGAACAAGAAAAAATGGTCTGGCATAGCTATATTGACATGTTGAACAGCCAGCCTCAGTAGATCTGAGATTTTCTGGTTAGTGGGAGGACTGTGCTCCAGATTGCCTGCATAACATACATAAAATATATCACATTGCACAATTACTTTTAGAAGCAGTGGGGTAGCTTTAGCTGTGGGGTAGCCTATTGGCTAAAGCGTTTGCTCGTCACACCGAAGGCCCTGGTTCAATTCTCCACATGGGTACTATGTGTGAAGCCCATTTCTGGTGTCTCCCTCCCTGATATTGCTTGAATATTGGTAAAAGCAGTGTAAAACCATACTCACTCACAATTACTTTTGAGTGGCTGATTTACAAATGTGCATGAACAACTTTCGGTCTGGCTTTTTTCTTTGCGGAATGCACTCAGCACTTCTCTCATCAGTGTGTTAGGACGCTGACGCTAATCTGGTAATTTCGCAGACTAATTAAAGTAGTGCCGGTGAGACAACACAGTTGGAGTATTGTTGCCCTTGAAATATTCCAATCATATATGCCAACAGTTTGACAACATGGAGAATGAATACCCAATGTTGCATTTTCTGTTTGTGTACCTGCATTTCATTACAGAATCATACTGTCTATTTAGTATATCTAGATGATCATCATTTTCTTTGTGATTTCATACATTAAGGCCACACTTTTTTAATGTTATGTTTCACAGATTTATTCCAGCTTTTCCACAAGTTGGTCGAAAAAAAGAAAAAAAGAAATGTCAATTATATATTTATATTAAAGTCAATCTGCTGTGGAGTTAAACATGTTAAAACTGCAGGTTGCCTCTTGAGTCACTGAGGGTGATGGAATTTATGTATAACATTTTGTACTGTACAAGAGATAAGAGGGTTTATATTACAAGCAGGATAAATAAATATTTTTATGTTTAATTTAATTCTTAGACCGGCTGCTTTTCAGTGTGTGGGGGGGGGGATCAGTGAAAATCAAAAATGTGTAGCCTAAACTTGAGGTTGTTTGACAAACATATTATTTCGGTGTGTGTACTTTACCCAGGCACCAGGAACTTATTTTAACTGTCCATTTTAGGCCTTTTACCATGTCATCGGTACTAAACTACAATGATATTCAAATCTTTGTTTACCATTGTCAGATAAATGGTGGAATCGCGGTGTGGGACCCATCTTCTTCTACACGGGCAATGAAGGAGCCATTACTGATTTCTGGGATGCAACCGGATTCGTCACTGACATCGCACCACAGTTTGGGGCCCTTGTAGTCTTTGCTGAACATGTGAGTACTTTTTACTTTTGCTTCATGTCCATGAATCTGTACGAAACTCTGCTAGACTAGGTTCCGTTGTTCAAAGCGATCTTAGGGCTGAGGTGATTGTAACCCCCATACCTTAACACATATTTACGACAGTCGTAGCGCTAAGGCTGTTTCATAAGTCACCCTGGACCAAAAACTCTCTGCAGCATCTTGTGGGGGCACGGGTGGCCCAGTTGTCTAAGGCGCTGCGCTGTGCAGAGTTGCATCCCTTAGGCGCACCAGAAACCTGTAATGGTGGGTTTGAATCTCAGGTCACCCCGGTTATGTTTCTAGGTTTGTCAGCACCATACCCATGCTAGTTGGTTTCACCAAAGTGGTAAACGTCTGAGACCTGCATCACTTCGGGCTTTCCTCCCACATTAAGCTGACATGTCGCGATATAACTGGAATACTGTTAACAGCTGCGTTAACCCCTACTCACTCACTCACTCACTCACTCACTTACTCACTCACTCACTCACTCACTCACTCACTCACTGCAGCATCATGTATGCAATCTGCATGATCTGAGACTGAGGAGTTTGGACACTAGAATGAAGCACCCATAAAATATTAGAACACACCCTTGTGCAGCATGAACAAACATTGGTTACACAGATCACCTGATATTATCACAGTTTGATAGTGATTCATAAACACATGCTTTTGATGTAGTAAGAATCGTACAATAGACTCTGCTTTAAGTAGATCTTTTTATGATTATGGAAAAAAAATTGTATCTTGATATTTATATTTGTTAATATATTGAAGAGTGATGATGACTTGTGTTTGAGTTCTCAGTAGATGTTAGAAGTGTGACCTACAGAACTTGGACCTGATATTAAAATGTATCATTAATATTAGATATTAGCCTAATATATTTCTGCATATTTGTCACTGGATTGTACATGATTTATATTTTTGTTATGAGACATATTATACGTTATGATTATTCCTAATAATGCAGTTTAGTTTCCAGCTTGTGTAGTTGGAAAGTTTCACTTTCAGCACTATTGACATCGTCATCTCTCATGTTGAAGATAACCATGATATAAGGGTAACGCTATTTTTCAGGGCATTATCATTTGCAGAAGCCCGAGGTCTTCCATTAACTGCCCGACGAAGGAGGGCAGTTGAAAAGACCGAGTGCTTTTGCAAAATGATAATGCCCTGAAAAATAGCGTTACCGTTATTATAGCTTAAATGGATAGAATTAGTATCAAATAAAAAGAAACAACAACATCGGTTTTGAAACATTTACTGCAATCAACACGAATGTCACTGACCCCATTTTACAAATATGGAAACGTCATAGAACAAACCAGATGACGTCACTATAATACATACGTGACGTCACTTTCTCTACCCTATGACGTCACCTAACAATGGGCTTGAGAATGGCCCGTAGTCAAGCCATATGAGGGCATTATGAAGTTACAGTGGCCCACACATTTCTGATAACGTGCAGGCAGTTTAATGATAATTCTATCCATTTAAGCTATAATGACTGTTATTGTATGTTGTATTTCACTGTGTTGTACATATTATCTAACATTATAGGTTGTACATATTATTTTATGTCATAACATTGTACATGTTATCTTTCATCATTACATAGCATACTACATATTATTTAAGTCATAACGTTGTACATATTATCTTACATCATATTGTTGTTCATATTATCTTACATCCTGTTGTTGTATATATTGTCATATTTATTATTGTTGAACATATGATACATATTGTTGAACATATATATTTTCATGTTATGAGATCAAACATACTTTTGAACACGTTATGATCAAACACTGGGGTACACATATCATAATTAATATGGTGGAACATTGTTGAATACATTATTATGATCAAACATTGTTGAACTCATTATGACCAAACATTGTTGAACCTGAGTGGGTTAGATCACTGACTTTGTGTGCTGGCTATTAGATGGTTCACTCTGACAGTGTGGATTCGAATCCCAGACAGGAATCAACCCCCAAAAGTACTAGAATCCAGGGGACCCCCATAATTCATTTTAAGGGTCCTTGTAGGCAGTATGGGGGTCCTGTAAAGTAACGAAATGATGTAGTGTACTGTATGTTTTGATATTACTTTAGAGCCTCGAATGAATCAATGATCATGTGGATAGTGGTCATGATTGATGGATGAAATAACAGGCACCCATAACTGCTCTTGATGCGCTGTAGGTACAGTGAATATTATTGTGGTCTCCTGTGATGCATTATATATTATTTTTACGTCCATTCTCTCCATTTGTACGTACTGGACGCACATTTGTGTGTCGTGTAAAACTCTGTCCATGATAGAGGCCAGTTTAGATCAGCACCTGACACAAAAGTTTAAACTGGGGGGATTCTTGGTAAGAATCAGTCCCCAGCAACTGATGCTTTACTTAGGTTGCATCTTAATGGATCGGCCAGACATGACTTGCTTGATACCAGGGTGGGTTATTGTTTATAATATCAATCACTGGCTTGTCTGGTCCTAACTCTGACTTTCAGGTTGCTGCGATATAGCTGGAGTGCAGCATTAACAACACACAAATGTAACATTGCGGGCATGCACTGGACATAACAGTTTACCCGTTCTGAAGAGGGATGACATATAGCAACATATTTAAGTAGCCTAAGATTTTGCTAAACTTTCAAATCGTTTATATGTACTACTGAGACAAAAGAAGATTAACACCCATCATGGCAGGTGGGTATTGCAACACACAGCCTTCCAATTGGGGTGCTCTTTACTTGTTTTGAATAGTATACAACATGTATAACAGCAACTTTTCTGTTGACATGGATGTATCCCTCTAAATGTACCCTTTCAATAACACACCCTGAAGATCCGGGTTGGAATAGGTCTTCAGAAACAAACAGTTCCCTACAGGATTCATTGATTATTTGTTTTGTCTGTTGTGTAAGTCTGACAACAAGCCTCACCGGCACCGACTTCTACATCCAATCTTTGAGACCACGGAAAGGCGTTTCATATGAAGTGGGTCCATTCTTTTGAGAATTTTATAATGTTCTTTGAGCATATTCTATATCATGCATACAGTCACATCTGGTATATACTACTCGAAAGAAGGTAATGATCACATGATTCTTTCATATTACAATAATTTATCTCTCATGCCATGACAGATTAACATTACCAATATGAAAGAATCGGGTGATCCTTAACTTCTTTTGAGTAGTATACATCACAAGCAAAACTAACTTGATTTTTCAGCAGTAATGAAGATAAAGTAATTACTGAATTACTTCAGTGGTAACTATATCAAGAACTTCATAGTCCTGTTGAATATAGAGTGAAACAATCATGTTAATCAAGACATCAAGCTACTGGTTACATGTACAATCATCTGGCTGTCAATGCTAGCTTGTGTGTGAAAGTGTTTTTCATGTTTAAACCCTCTGGTTCAGTTTAGTTGATGTTTCAGTTTGGATGTTCAGTTTCAATGATAGCCAGAAAGTGCTTAAATAAAGCAAGTAATGTCTGTGTTCACTATTGTAGTACCCGAGTCCTACTCAGTTACCACCCAATCCGAGTACCCGACTACCAAAGTTACCCAAGTTACCCGTCCCAGCCCTACTATTGGTTGTAATCTACAGTAAATAATTTGTAAGTGATTACATGTCATTTGATTGGCTGACCAAGAATATTATTTATGCGTTTAGGTTCCGTAAAAAAAAACAACATTATGCCACACCTTAGGCCAGACTACTTATTCCTGACTGGCCGATAGTAGAATTGTTAGGACTTGTGTTGGATTATTGCGCTGAATGATGTCACTGATTTCATATTGTTACAGTTTTGTTTGTTTTAAATAATGAAATTAAATAATATTATTTAGTTTTTTTATTGACATATTTATTGATCAGACATGTAAGAAGTGACTTCAATATGTTTTTGTGTTAATGGATCAATAAATGTAAAAATATTGTGTGCACATTTTGCATAAATCCATCCTTTTCCAGACTCAGTTAAATTCTTTACAGGCCGCTGTCATATGGCTGGACTATGTCTGAGTGAGGCTGTAACTTACTGGACTCTGGTTTCAGAGTAGTAGAGAAGGCTGCATCCTGCTCTGTGTCAGCTTGACTCCTTCCATGGGGTTTTGTTATCTTCGTCACTTGGGGGATGTTCATTATGTGTTTTCACAAAATGATAGTCTTGGTTTGTTTGCTTGTTTGTCTGTTTGTTGTTTAACGCCACTATGAAGGCGGTCTGTAAATAATCATGTCAGACAATCCAGTGGTTGATATCATGAGCATCAATCCACGCAATTAAGATACAATGACATGCATCAACCAAGTCAGCAAGCCTGACCACCCAATACCTTTAGTCACCTCTTACAGCAAGCATTGGTTGCTAAAAGACCTATTCTACCCCGTATCTTCACAGGTTAATAAGGGGGTCACAGGTGGCCCAGTCGTCTAAGGCGCTGGGATTCATTGTGCCGAGTTGCGTCCCTTGGGCACGCCAGAAACCTATGATTGTGGGTTAAAATTCCAGTTTGCCCCGATTCTGTTTCTAGGTTTGTCAGCACCATACCCATGCTCATGGGTTTCACCGAAGTGATAAACATCTGAGACACGCATCATTTCAGGCTTTCCATCGACATTAAGCTGACATGTCGTGATATAACTGTAATACTGTTTAAAGCAGCGTTAAAACTCAACTCACTCACTCACTCACAGGTTAAACGTCTTGGTATTATTGTCACTGGGTGATATTTAAACCTGTTGCTGATGTCTTGCCACCAGTCCATGAACAATTGCAATGCACTGATCGTCGGATCAATCTTTCCTGACACTTTCGATCAAAACATACCTCAATCTCAAATCTCAAATCTGCATATATTGTTTACAATCGACCAGAAGCTGATGAAACCTGGGACAAAAAAAAATAAAACTTGAAACTACTCTGATTGATTTGGTCTGTTTAAAGCAAGTCTA